AAGACCAAACACCGTTTTTGAATGACCAGAAACCAGAAGAGCATTTTACGCTGGAGAGTCAAAACCCCTGAAGCGAGGGGAGATCATCCACATTTGTCTAATACCCTCCAAGATTTGAAGCACAGGCACGCATCGCGAGATAGACACCAATTTTTCCAGCGAGCCCACAATCTTTCTAACATGGAGGAATCCTCTGCGTTGTTCCCGATAGAAGAAACATCCAGTCAACAATTAATCCGAGTACGGGAGAGGCTAGGTGATCTTTGTAAGTGGCCGACTGAGGCGCTGGAAAGTGCGCGTTCTCTAGTGTACTCCGTGGAGGCCTTCATGAAAGAGTTTCCGCCAACCACACGGTTTGATAGCTTGGAATGGGTCATCGAGACGATTGGACTCCCCAATGCATGCGGCATCCAACGTCTAGATCATGTCGTGATTCCCGTACAGCGCACTCCACACAGCAACAGGTGGCAAGTTGATATCGGAACGGTCGAAGCTATTCTATCGCTTTGGATGGCCAGTATCGAGACAAAAACTGCAGCTGAACGGCTGAGCTCGGGCAATGCTAGATTAGGCAAGACTTACGGTCGAACTTCAGACCTTCACAACTGGCGACGTATGAAGGCAGGAGTCAACTTGCGATACGATTACTGCCGTATCCTTGGAGACGACTTTGAAGATGGTTCATTGAAGAGAGACCTATCCTGGTGGGTGGACGAGTCGATCGCTGATCAAAGCGACTCGCACCGTATTTCGAATAAGAGACGAGATACGAGTGTGAGAGCTGGAGCACCCAGAATTCCAATAGGATCAGATCCAACATGTACCCAATGGGAATATAGCGACGCTAGGCGTTTGGCTGACATGGTCATCGGTTTCAATGGCCGCAGTAAAGATTGTAAGTTTGAGTCCCTTCAAACATTACTCTCGTCCCATTACTGATTACTTTGTGTAGCAGATCCGCGGCGTTCGTCGTCTTCAAGAGGAGCTAGAGAATTAGCAATCTCTTCCAGTGGACTTCTACCAGACATACTTGCTCAACATCTCTTCACAAGTTTCATCTGGACTATCGTTGACCATCTGCCTAAGAACGTCCTTCGTCAGAGTGTCTTGGAACGCGAGCAAGATGGAGACTTCGAAGGCCGTTCTAACAACGTTCTGCTCACAGGATCTCGTTCTAGGCTGCGCGACCGTACACTGGTCAAGCTTGTTCGCCAGCTTCAGGAATTCGGGCTCGGAAATGAAACCGATATATTACTTTGCGTAATCCCAGCGTTCAGCTTCAGGGACCTACTGCCAAATCATGCCCTCCTGGAAACGATCCCTCAGATTCGCCATGGCAAGAGCTTAGTGGGGACCGCTAACGGCTACATCAAATTGCTAGAGCAGAGTCTTAGCATAGCGCCATATGGAACTACTGTCGAGGGGAAGTTCTGGTACACCCTTGTGGTCGCCGCCATTGACTTCCTCTTTTTTGCTTCCGAGCCTTATGACGAATACATCCAGGCACCTGAAGAGCTCCGCACAGCACTTCAGGACGTTGTGGTTAGACTTACCTCAAACATAATCGCCCCCGTGATCAAGAAGCTCGCAGGGGCATACATGCTGCAGCGCCGCAATGGAGAAATCGCAGCCATCTTCAAGTTGTTCAGTCGAACCCGCCTATTCCCGAGCATTTGATACAGCTATTCGGTGGTGGTGAAGATCTTCCCGGCTGCTTAAAGGCCCTGGAAGTCCCTGACAAGAAGCTGGATTACGTTTTTTTTGAGGGTAGTCTCGGGTTCTCTAAGTCGTACAGAGCTGTATACGAAGCATTGTACAATGCTAATTTTAAAGTAAGTAATACGCGACACCTGGAGACGTAACAATGCTAATCAGGTCGTCAGAGTGAGATAGTCCGTCCGTCCCTGTCAGAAATCGAAAGTTAGTGCTCGAATCCAATGCAAATTAACAAATTCACTAAGCCCTACATGCAGTCAAGGAGGCTACAAATCGCGATGTTTTCAACTGGACACCCCTCCATTACGCCGCATTCCTCGAAGATACGGAAATTCTGTATCGTTACTTTGATCCAACACACATCAACGCGCACATCAGCCTCCATAAAGAGCTTGGACCCTTTCGGACGGAGCCCCATACATATGGCCGCAATTTCAGGGAGTTCAACAGCTTTGCGGTGGGTATCAAAGTGCCTGAGCAGTACTGAGAATAAGAGGAACGCGTACGATACAGTCGGGATCGACGGGATGAGCCCTCTTCACTTGGCGACAAAGAATGGTCATGCTAGATTGGTCGAGAAGATCATGAAAAAGAAGCGTCTACGCACTACAACTGGTGTTGACTTCTGGGGACGCGCGGCAATCCACCTGGCTGCTAGCCATGGCCATGGTGCCATCACGAAACTCTTGTTGGGCAATGACTCACAATTTGACGCAGTGGACGAGATCGGAAAGACACCTCTTGAATATCTATTGAAAGTTGACAGGAGAGCTGCCAAGATAATCGAGAAGAGGAACCATGAAGATAACACATGATAAAGACAAAAATGCAGAGGAACAAAGTGTGTGGGAAAGAGGCTGATCACGCAGATTCCAACTCCGAATACCGTCTTAAGGCAGAATCAGAGACTGCCGCAGCTGAAAGAAAAGCGCTGGTCGCGCAGAAGCGCGAGATCTTCATCGAGTTCGCGAAGAAGAGCTTGAAAAGTCCATTGAATCGCGACAAAAGCGGTAGAACATACCTTCACCATGCGATCAGGTACACGAACATTGAGACTATCGAAAGGCTTCTTTCTATTGGGTACAAACTGGAGACAAAGGATTCTGTGGGCCACACTGCGCTACTCTTCGCAATTTGGGTTGGGCAACGCACTGTTGCATTAAAGCTTCTTGAAGGATTTCCTAACCTAAGTGGACTTGCAGCGTCTACTTCGGTCAAATCAGAGCGGGGGACTACCCCTTTGATGTTAGCTGCTGCGCAGGGCTACATTGATATTGTGCGGATACTGGCGGAGCGGCAGCCTTTGGGACCTCGGGAAGAACAAGAGACATGCCGCGAGGATGACGAAGCAATCGTACAAGAAAAGCCCCTCGATATGCCATTGACAAAAAGAAGATTCCAAGGAAGACTATGGACCCTTAGCAGAGGAATGTCAATGGTGAGACTGCATTATATCAAGCACTGGAATACGGCCAGCTTGAGGTAGCGGACTACCTTCTGCATAAATCTGACCAGGTTCAAGAGGATCCCTACGAAGATGGAAATAGTGACTGGAAAGGTGATAACTGCACTGCTAATAGCTGCTGTACAACAACAGATCAGTCTCCAGTCTTGTTCCGTCAATCCTTGACAGATGGCCACATATTCTCAACCAGCCCGACGCCTTATTTGGGCAAACGCCGCTCTCCCGGGCATGCGAGACGGGTTTAGAATCTGTGGTCGATTTGCTACTCGGCATTGAGGAAGTAGATGTGAACAAGCCAGCGTCGGGCTGGGGAGACAGAACGCCGTTACATCTCGCTGCAGCGAATGATCACCTAGGCATTGTTCAAAGACTGCTAAATCACCCGAAGACTCTCGTCAATAAGCGAGACTCTTCCGGTGAGTCCGCTATTGACAAGGCATCTCAGGAAGGCGAAGCTTCCATCTTGCAAGCTCTGCTCGTTCATCATCAAACTTCATCGGAACGGCGTCTAGAGTTTGTGTCGAGTATCTGCACATCAGGCACCTATAACCTTCAAGGGATCGTTCCAAACATACTCGAGTACATTGAGGACGCCACAATCACTAATGAAAAGTTAATTCAGCTCATTGATCTTAGTGAAGATATGCGTTCTTCTGTGCCTTACAAGGCATTTGTTGAGCGCGCATTCAGTCGCGATACATGGAAAGTCATGGACCATCCCTATCATCCAGTGGTCCGAATCGGTCGCTCAGATTTGGTGAAAAGGCTCAAAGACTACGGTAGGGAGACCACAGATCTGGATGAAGACGGATGGTCCTGCATTGAGTATGCTAAGACATACTGTTTGGAGAATGTGCAAGACGATATACTGGATCTGGTACAGCTACCGCCTACCAAGTCTGGACGGCCCAAAAAGCCTGAATTTAACACACCAAATACGCTACATTATCCCGAACTTGCCGACAGCATCGAAGTAAGCTTTTGCAAGGATCACAAGGAATGCCCAAGTTTACATTGTACGCTACTGTCCAGCGCGCTTTCCAATATTCATTTGCTAAATACCACTCAGACGTGACAGTCACCAAGCACGAAGATAATTTTACACACGCAAGTATTCGGAGTGAGCATTGCACGCCTCCTCTATCAGAATCAACAAAGCACTTTTACTTCGAAGTGACAGTGTTAAACGAACCAGTTTCAAAGTATGCAGTAACAGTGCATCAAACCTAGAAAAAGCTGACGAAAATGGCAGAATCCTTGGTCTGGGCTTCTGCAACAAACGGTATCCTACGGGTGGCATGCCTGGTTGGTATAGAAGCTCGTGGGGTTATCATGGCGATGACGGCGCAATCTTCCTCAACAACGCCAATTCTGACTTCTCATACTACAAGAAAGAAAGTCCTTCTGACGACTTTGGAGCAAAGGGCGAGTTTGGAGCAAACGACATTGTCGGGGTAGGTCTGAATTTAGAGACTGGCAAAGGATTCGTTACTCTCAACGGGAATCTGAGAGACGTTGGTGAGCATTCATTCACAGTTATACGAGCTTAGCTGCTGTCACCACAACTACGAAGATGCTAATTTTGACTAGGCGACATGTTTGAGGGCGAAAAGTTCAACGACAGGAAGATGTACCCGTGTGTTGGGATAGATACTACGGATGAAGGTGTGGGCCTACGCTTCGTGATCAACTTTGGAGAGTCTGCCGACCATCCGTTCAAGTTCAAGGGGCCATATCCTTAGAAGCAGCTGCTCAATTGTGAGAGTAGGAAGAGGCCACGTGTAGCGGGAATGGAACGTGAAAATGTGTCTGTCATGTGCCGCTTACAGATTATCATTTGCTACGTTTCAAGTACGACATCTTCTTCGCCACGAGCCAAATGGCTACGTTGCAAGAGAAAATCGGATCAGCAGCCCCACTTTCTTACATGCTGAGGTTTACCTCGTGCATGGCTTACTGTAAACCTGTAATTTTCTCTGTCTCAATGAATTTTGAGCGACTCCTAGAGCTGTTGACGGCTGTATTTTGTAGTTCCTTCTCAATCTCCAAATGATTGTAGCAGTCTTGCTGCTTAGTTCTGTCCGACTCAGCTTGCAACCCAGACGTTGAGAACACGAGTTGATCAGCGTGGGCCTGATTGACATTTGACCGTCCATCTGGCCGCCGATGCTGTGTGGTGGCGCGTGCCGCGTTCACGTGCTTTGGCCATGCGCTCCAGGACCCACATTTTCCCTCTCTTTGCGGAGAGCGGATGTCAAGCCTAAACGGTAACCCCGCAATCGTTCGGTATTACTATGACGGCGTGGTGCAGCGGACATGGAGCACGACGGCATTGGCTGCTGAACCCTCGAGAATGGAGGCACGAATCCCGTGATGTCTGCCACGTTTGACCTGACTCGAGGCAAATGCGTTGAGGAGGAAGAAAAGCTCGTCCTCTACGGAATCGGACGGTGCGCGCCGAGATTTCATTTCCTAAGCGGCCTTAAGCGGATTGTTGAGCTGTTGAAAGCACCCTGGCCTCTAGCGACAGGAGAACCGCAAAATTTGTCGCGATGCCGCGGGGAAGTGCAGGCTACCCAGAAAGGGCGTGATGGCTCACTGTGGGGGGTGGGTTCACGTTGTCGCAAAGATGGAGCGCGTGGTCTGAATTGTCCAATTGCAGCCTGAGTGAAAGATGGCCTCTACGTCATGCAGAGCTCCGAGCTCCGAGCTCCATCCTTCCCACTCCCAACCTCCACGCTGTCCGTGCACCACAGCGAGATTCGAGGCATTGTGCTTGCGGCTCTCCATCAATTGCATCTCCGCTACAAGCAGGGCCCTCCGTCACCTCGGTCCCTACAGTTTCGATAGCGCGGTGCACAGTTTGATTGACAGTGCAGTGCAGGACCCCCAAGCTCAACTACCCTGCACCTGAATACATAGGCGCTTGTCTAGCGGCAGCCCGCATTAGCTCAACCAAGCCCAAGCTCACAGCTCCCCAACCTTCGAGCAGCTCCTTCCTCAAACAAAACCCGCGCGTCTGCCATTGCGCACTTCTGCACCTCTCGATCACCTTCTTCTTCAGCACACAACATGGCTGAGACAACGACGCGGGACGTCAACAACCACGTCCTCTTTGAGGTTGCGACTGAGGTTGCGAACCGAGGTATGCTGCCACGAACAAGCTGCCAGCAGCATCAGCTAACATTCTTCCAGTTGGCGGTATCTACTCGGTCCTCAAGTCCAAGGCCCAGGTCACCACCGCCGAGTATGGCGCGTCCTACACGCTCATTGGGCCGTGGAACAGGGCATCTGTACGCTGCATCAGACACCAATTGGACGTCACTTACTGACGAAACCCCCAGGCCTCGGTCGAAGTTGAGCCGATAGAACCCAAAGACCCGGCTCTCGTAGCCACCATCAAGTCGATGCAGGATCGCGGCGTCCAGACCCTGTATGGACGATGGCTGATTGACGGCGCACCACGTGTGCTCCTCTTCGACACTGGCACGGGCTACAGATGGCTCGACGAGTGGAAGGGTGATCTGTGGTCGAGTGCTGGCATTCCTTCGCCGCCGGGCGACTCGGAGACCAACGAGGCCATTGTCTTCGGATACCTTGTTGCATGGTTCCTTGGCGAGGTATGTGTCCATTCTTTGAAACCTTGATGAAGCCAATGCTAATTCTCCACCAGTACGTCTTCCACGAGAAGAAGCGAGCCGTCATTGTTCAGTTCCACGAGTGGCTCGCAGGTGTTGCGGTCCCGCTCTGCAAGAAGCGCCGCATCGATGTGACCACCATCTTCACCACGCACGCTACCCTTCTCGGTCGCTACCTGTGCGCGGGCTCTGTCGACTTCTACAACAACCTGCAATTCTTCGATGTAGACGCCGAGGCAGGAAAGCGCGGCATCTACCACAGGTACTGCATCGAGCGCGCTGCCACCCACGCCGCCGATGTCTTCACCACCGTGTCGCACATCACCGCATACGAGAGCGAGCATCTTCTGAAGCGAAAGCCAGATGGTGTCCTGCCCAATGGTCTGAACGTCAAAAAGTTCTCGGCCACGCACGAGTTCCAGAACTTGCACCAGCAGGCAAAGGTCAAGATCAATGACTTTGTACGTGGACATTTCTACGGCCACAACGACTTCGATCCAGAGAATACCCTCTACTTCTTCACTGCCGGTCGCTATGAATACAGGAATAAGGGTGTCGACATGTTCATCGAATCATTGGCGCGATTGAACCACAAGATGAAGAGCGAGAACTCCAACATGACAGTTGTCGCCTTCATCATTCTTCCCGCACAGACACAATCCTTGTCAGTCGCCTCCCTCAAGGGACAGGCTGTCATCAAGTCTCTGCATGACACTGTCAACAACATCGCCGAGAATGTGGCCAAGAAGCTATTTGAACGCTCTTTGACTTGGACTGAAGGCCAGGATCTGCCAGAGGACAAGGACCTCATCTCGCCCGCAGACAAGATCCTCCTTCGTCGGCGATTATTTGCCATGAAGCGACACGACCTGCCGCCGATTGTCACTCACAACATGGTCAACGACGCTGAAGACCCAGTACTGGCTCAGCTCCGCCGCTGCCAGCTGTTCAACCACCCCTCGGACCGTGTCAAGGTTGTTTTCCACCCCGAGTTCCTGAACTCGGCGAACCCAGTACTTCCCCTCGACTACGACGACTTCGTCCGCGGAACTCATCTTGGTGTTTTCTCATCGTACTACGAGCCATGGGGCTACACTCCCGCCGAGTGTACCGTCATGGGAGTACCAAGTATCACCACCAACCTGTCCGGTTTCGGTTGCTACATGGAAGAGTTGATTGAAAACGCCTCCGATTACGGTATCTACATTGTTGACCGAAGAATGAAGGGTGTTGACGACTCTGTAAACCAGCTTGTGGACTACATGTTCGACTTCACCAAGAAGAGCAAGCGCCAGCGCATCAACCAGCGGAACCGAACAGAACGCCTGAGCGATTTGCTTGACTGGAAGCGCATGGGTCTCGAGTACGTCAAGGCGCGACAGCTCGCTCTCCGCCGGGCCTACCCCGGCTCGTACGAGGATGATGAGGAACCCGACTTTTTCGGCTCGCAAGAAGTCAAGATCTCACGACCGCTGTCTGAGCCCGGGTCGCCGCGTGACCGATCCGGCATGATGACGCCTGGTGACTTTGCCTCGTTGCAAGAAGGCCGCGAGGGCCTGAGCACCGAGGACTACATTGCGTGGAAGCTTCCGTAAGTTCTTTGATAAGACATTCCACACGGCACGACTAACAACATCACAGTGAGGAGGAAGAGCCCGATGACTTTACGTTCCCGCTCACTCTCAAGACGAAGAGTAAGCCTAATTCAGGCGCCAACACACCCACCATCATTAATGGTACCGATGGTCTCAGTCTTAACTAAGATTTGTGTGTAGGGTGACTTGACCGCACGGCGAAGCGACGTGTTTTTCGAAATTGCATTACTTGAGTTGTTTGTTTTTCCTTGGTTGTCGACAATCGACATGTCAAACGCGATATCTGCATGAGGTAGATGGGTCCCGGGCGAGGCAGTGTATTTTAGGGATGTGAATAGTGAACTATGTGACAGCGCTGATACCAGTGCCATGGAATTGGGTTTGACGGTGTGCGTTTGCTCTGTGATTAAAAAACGATGCGTGTTTGCCGGTACTTTGAACATTGACTCCTGGTGAGCTCTTCCATGATCTACATGCTAAATCCGGAAGTCACAGTCTTGAACCATGGGACCCATGTCTGCCGGATGGGGCCCGCAAAACGACTTTTGCCTTGCTCGAATGCGGAATCCGATCGGGAAAACTCAGATGAAAATCGTGTTCAACAGCGACACGTCGTCTGTGGCGGTGTGGCGGCATCGGGACGTCAACATAGCCGGCCACACTCCAGACAGAATGATAGCGGAAATTGTCAAATGGCGAAATGCCGTTTCACAGAGGGGGCCGTGCATGCTATCGTGCATATCGTGCATGCAGAATGCTTGTTTCTCCCGGGATGTTGGCGTGCTAAGCAACAGGGGCGCCGCGTAATTGGGAATGTTCCGAAGCGAAGCGTTCCAAGGTTCTCGGTCTCGATCTCCCTAAACTTGGCGTCATACAACCATCTTCCCTTCACTTGCGCCAACCAACGCCGCACCCTCCTAGCCCGTTTTCCTTTTCCACACGCCCGTTTCCCCCCTTCACAGCCTGCTTGTCGAAAACATGATGCGGCCCACCCACCCCTTCACCATTCGCGCTATCGGGTCGGTCCGTTAATACTTGGCCCATTGTTTGAATGCACGGGTCAGACCACGCATTAGTTCAACAACTCAGCTCCGCGCCCCCCAAGATCGAGTGCGCTGTCACTATCGCACTTCATATCTAGACCCCGCCACGTCGGCTTTGTGATCAACAAGTCGCCAACATGGTGTTTGGGCCGTGGATTTCGACGCTTGCGTGGTGCCGGGCGCGCCTGCCCAAGAGGGGCCAGAAGATCAAGTGGTGGAGACCGAGTGTGAACTTCATTACGCTGCATTGTAGGTCCCCTGGAGGGAGGCGAACTAGGCGAACTAGGCGAACCGGGCTGACGAGCAGTAGATGCGTACATCATCTTCCAGACGCTGCTGGGGAGTGTCATCATGTATGGTAGTGGAAATAGTGGACTGCGCTATATCGACGCGCTCTTCTTTGCGAGTGGATCGGCCACCCAGAGCGGCTTGAATACGTACGTGGGCTGACCTGAAAACAACGGGGAAGGTTGCTGACGGTCTACAGCGTTGATGTCAACTTGCTGCCATTGTACGTGCAGGTATGTCGTCGTCTCCTTTCCGGCTCCCATGAGGCAAGACTGACACTCGCAGGTATGGATGCTCATATCCACATGCATGTGCACGCCCATCTTCATCAACACCTTCGTCGTCTTCATCCGCCTCTACTGGTTCGAGAAACGGTTCCAAAATGTCGTCATAGAATCACGCAATGCGCGCCACACTCGGACAATGTCGCGCAGGAGGAGCGAGATGAAGTCAGAAGAGATCCAACGCGATCTTGGCAGCGAGGAGCGCGGTGTGGGCGACCGACATATCAGGGTCATGCGCTCCACCAACGGAGAAGCAGAGGGCGGCAAGATCGAGGACGAGCATGCCTTCAGCGGCGGTCTGGGCAATGCTGGCATTCGCAAGGCTAAGCCATCAGACGATGAAGAAGTGGATCCGCTCGAACGCCCCATGACACCAGTACATCAGGTCGCTTCGAACGTAGTGTGGGCAGACGACCTGACCACGCCACGACAGCGTGAACGGCAGCGTCTCCGCGACTCGGTCGAGTCTCCCACTGAACGTCTGCCGGAGAAGAACCGCGAGCAAAGCATAGCTTTCGTAGAGAAACAGAGGGAACCAAAACAAAAGGCCACTCTCCGCATCCCTGGACCACGCGACTACGAGCTAGGTCTGCAACCAGAGGAGGTCAAGGAGGACGACGAAAAGCTAGACAAGGTGACTAGCAGGCAATCACAAGAGTCTCATCCAAAGCGAAATCGATCCAACTCTGTGCCTCCGGAGATGATGAACGGAGACGACCACCCCATGAAGTACCACATCACAATCGACGTTCCCAGTCGACAACGTCCTACTACTGGCGCCTCTGTCTATAACAGGGGTCGAACGAATACAAATGACGACACCGAAGGACATCACACCAGTGGTCTACGCCCTCGCTCGAGATCGCGAACGTTTGCAAGCTTTCTCACAAGCACTAAAGAAGAAGATGAAGATCCTATGCCATATCTCAGCTGGACGCCGACTCTTGGTCGCAACTCAAATTTCGTGGATTTGACCGAGGAGCAAAGAGAAGAGCTGGGCGGCATCGAGTATCGAGCACTAAAGATGCTTGCCATGATACTAACTGTCTATTTCGTTGGCTTCCATTTGCTGGGCATGGTATGTCTCACGCCATGGATCACTCACTCTACCGAGTACAAGAACATCTTAGATGGAAACAACATTAATCATGTCTGGTGGGGCATCTTCACTCCGGCCTCCATGTTCAACGATCTAGGCTTCACCCTCACACCCGACTCGATGGTGTCTTTCCAACGCGCGATCCTTCCCCTCACACTCGGTACATTCCTCATCATCATCGGCAACACAGGGTTTCCTTGTATGCTGCGGTTCATCATCTGGCTCTGCTCGATCTGCGTGCCCAAGTTCAGCGCAAAATGGGAGGAACTCAAATTCCTCCTTGACCACCCCCGCCGCTGTTTCACGCTGCTATTCCCCAGCAAAGCCAACTGGTGGCTATTCTGGGTTCTTATCGGTCTCAACGGCATAGACCTCATCTTCTTCATCATTCTGGATCTTAATGACACGACAGTCACCAGCTTACCTCCCGGCTTCCGATTTCTCGCCGGCCTCTTCCAAGCAGCTGCCACAAGAACCGCAGGATTTGCTGTTGTCAACATCGCCGAATTGCATCCTGCGATTCAGGTTAGCTACCTCGTCATGATGTACATTTCGATTTTCCCAATCGCCATGTCGATGCGCCAGACCAACGTCTACGAAGAGAAATCCCTCGGCGTCTGGGCCGATACTGATGACAGCGACGAACAGAACTCTTACCTTGGTCACCATTTACGTCGACAATTGTCCTTCGACTTGTGGTTCGTCTTCCTAGGTTTCTTCCTCATCGCCATTATCGAGGGCGCACGTCTCGAGAACACCAATGAATACGCCTTCTCTCTCTTCTCCGTGCTTTTCGAGATTGTGTCTGCATACGGAACTGTCGGTCTATCCCTAGGCTTCCCAAACACTAACCCCTCCTTCTCCGGACAATTCCGCACGCTTTCTAAACTCATCATCATCGCGATGCAAATCCGTGGTCGCCACCGTGGCTTGCCGTATGCTCTCGATCGCGCCATCCTACTGCCGTCCGAATCTCTCCACCAGAAGGAGAACGAGGACGCGACACGCCGAGCTAGGCGCAGTAGCAATGCACTTGACGTGGGCATGAGTACTAGCATGAGCGTGGACCGTGGAGGTGCAGGCTTGACGCGACAAGGCACAGGTTTGAGCCGGATCAGCACTGCGTCTGGTGATGCTGGGCGGCCGAGCGCAGGCGACAGGTTCAAGCCAAAACAGCTGAAGAGGATCTTGAGTGGGGCCTTCAGTGCAGGACCGAGCACGAGGTTCCACAGTGAGGAGAAGCGGGCTTAGAAAGTGATTTATGGCGTTGCAGGGATGGCGCCAGGCATGGGCATGGGCATGGGCATGGGCAAAGGCATATGCATGGGATCAAGCGTGAGCGTTGAGGTGTTACAGTTGTCTGGGGATTTGTTTTCTTATGTGGTTTTGCATTTTAGAAGGTACATGTAGCTGTGGCGTCAATCTTGCGAGGACATGTTTGTTGGTTAGATCTGGTGGTTGCATATTTATCACATTTACACGTTCGGCTTCGATAATAACTTGTCTTTGTGTATTCTTCTTATAACGCTCTTCCTGTACTATCGCCGGATAGAATCTAGGAACCATGATTCGGCGACTGCATCTCCCTCGTTCACAGCATTCGAGTGACGCCATCTGACTGTAGTGTATGATTGATTCGCTTGAATGTGTCGCCATGGAGGAGAAGAATACTGCAGCTCAAGAGCTTGAGGCCGTCTTAATAATCGCAAAGCTCGAATTCTGTGAAAAAGATTAGGTCTACTATGTAATTGCGTGCCAATGAGAGAAACCAACCTCTAACTTCGGGTTACTCTTTTTACCTCGACGGAATTCATCCCCAATAGAGACTTGCAGCCAGTAACAACCCAAAGCCAACCACAGTCACACCAGCCTTGACCAGGACCATAAGCGACTGCGCATGCAGAAATTCCATGGCTGCTCGATATTTTCGAGGGATAGAAATATTTGTAGTGGCAAGAATGAAGAGCTGAAGAAGGAGCTGAAGAGACAAGTGATAAGTAAAAAGCCAAGAAAAATACACGTATAAGCTGCTTAGTCGAGCTGACAGGGCCGAAAGTCTAGATAGTAATGTAAGCCACCACAATCATGCTCATCAATCCGATGCTTAGCATAGCAATAGTGACAGGGATTCCCCATCCGCTCCGTTTGTTGGACTCGCTTCTACCAATCTCTCGCACGCCGAGTCGATCTACCAACCCATCTCCCTCTCCACAACCACTGCCTCCTTCTCCATCCTCAACTTTGCAATCGCACCATCCCCCATAACGCAATCTTCCACATCCTCGCTCTTCCTCTCCCACATCCACCCATCCCCATATCTCCTCGCAACCCTCTTCTCACCCAGCCAACACTCCCTCAACCTTGTAATCCTACCAAACGCCCCCCGCACAATCGTATTCTCAACCTCGACGCGTAGCTTCTCGTTTTCGCGCCATAGCATGCGGCGATACTCGGCGTTGGAACATGCTTTAATGCGCCGCTGCCAGACGCTTTGGTAGCCCATTCCCAAACTGCCTGATTTGACGAGATGCAGGGTTTGGAGGTTGGGTAGGTTTTTGCCAAGAGTGTCGATGATGGTGGGGGTTGAGGCGCGATAGCAGTATGTATCGCTCCGCATGCGGAGGTGCTGGAGATGGGGGAAGGTTTGCACTAGGGAGAGGAGTTCGGAGATGGACCAGGTCGCTGTGGCGTCAAAGTGTCTTAATGGCGGCGTTGATGTTATTGCTGATGCATGCAGTGGTGCAAGACGGCTTGATAGATCTATGTAGGTTTCGAGTAGGCAGTCACTTCCATCCTGCACTACCAAGCTCTTGAGGTTTGGACAGTGGTTGACGAGAAAGGCTGCGGAGCTGGTCACGACGAGATTCTCGATCTTGTCCAGCGTGAAAATGCCTGGGTCTGGGTCGGAGAAGGCGGCGCTGAAGATGTCGATACTGCGCCTCATCATGCTAATCTCCAAGGTCTTCAAATTCGGGAGGGTTTGGAGGCATCGGAAGAGGTCCATGGCATCAGAACTAGATGTGTATGACCCCGAACACCACCACCATAAAGAGCCGAACATGTCGAGTTTGAACGTACGCGCGTGTCGTGCAGGGAGTGATGTAGGCATGAGCTGGGTGACCGGTCTGTTGATCTGAAGGGTTTTGAAGACGAGTGGACACAGAATGTCATGGAAACGGCGATTCGTGAGAGATAAGTTCTTCAATGGTGTTTCGTTCTCTGCCAATGTGTGGTTAAGGTGGTCGCAGATCAGTAAGATAACGTCCTCGCAAAGATCGTTCAGGGACAACCGCTTGTGTGGAGTAGGGTCGTTCCATAGTGAATCTATTCTTTCCAATCTCATATGTGTCGGTGCTAGAACAAGGCCGCAAGGGATGGTAAGAGGCAATTGTGAATCGCGGAGATATTGTGATAGCAGATAACGTCAATGAAGTTCGGATGAGGGAAGCTACCCCACGTTTAATGCACATCCGTTGCTCGAACGAGTTAGCGCCATTTGAGCTTGAGAAACGAAGTACCTGGCAGATGGAAATTCGGAATTTTGTGATATTGAGATCGTGAATCGTAGCTCGTAAGTCATGGCCGTAGCCTCGTATCAACAACCCTTTCTGTACAGATTGCCATGTGTTTGCAAATCCAGACAGCCGACCCAGCGAATACAGACCATGTGTATATTACTCCGAGGAGCCCAAAAATAAGGATATCATGGAAGAGCCATCAATGCTCAAATTTTTTAAGTGGAAATGCCGGAGCTTTCAAGCAACGCTGAGTGGCGCCTTGCCCTTACCGATAGTTTCTGACGAAAGCAACATTTCTCTCAAACGAGCTTCTGCTCTAGTCATGTCCTGCTGACTTCCAGAGGTGAGGTCTGATGGCCGAGGCCATGGTAGCCACGATGTGATTGAAGAAAGTGTCCCGGAACGCATCCTTGAGGTTGAGAGACTGATAGTGGACGGTCCTCTTCCATGTCCGGAGCTTCGCCGAGGCATAGCCGGCTTTGTGTGAGCCTCTGCTTCTCCGACGCCTGCTAGCTCGTCCATAAAACCTTGCGGCGTACCAACGGACAGATGCTTCGAAGCTGTCGGGGACGCGATGAGTGTGATGGCCGGGTGGTTCGAGGAAGACGAGGACGCAGGTATTGCCCATGCAGGCCCTTGAGGCTTGGTCTGGCCAGCTTCCTGGTCGCGGAAGGTATCGCCATCAACGGCTTTCCTCTTTCCGCTGCCACCACTGATGACGCTCTTCAAGCTGCCATATGCGGACTGGCTTCTCTTCTTGCTGCTGCTCACTTTCTCCTGAGCAAGCCTCTCGCTACTGCTGCTTGCTTCCGGAACAGCCATCAGCGTGTTCTCCGTCGCCCAGCCCTGGTTGATCCGTGACAAGCGGCCCCGTCCTACTAGAGCTCCCGTACTCGCAGCCCACCCACCAGGACCTGCGCCGGTGATCTCGCCCTGCGGTGGGAGGTGCGAGTCGTACTCGTCTGCTAGGCTCATGCGACTCCGTGCGCAAATCTCAGCGATGGCGTCAATGGCATCTCTAATCTCAGGGTCGACGGCGCGAAGGATGGCGGAGAAGGAAAAGTCTTCTGCCGAGGGCAACTGCTCGCTTCTGCCCGCTGCCAGGCCGGCTGACAGGTTCGAGGCGTTTGGGAGGCCGCTCATGGCGAGCGATCGGGGTGTGTTGAAGCCAGACGCTGGTCTTGATGTGTGTCGAGACCCCGAGTATGTGCGGACTACGACGGGCTGGCTCGTGACGGTGGTGCGGCTGGACGTGGATTTTGCGGACTTGCTCTTCGCAGGTGATGAATGAAAGGCAGGAGCATTGAGGGCGCGGAGAGCGGCCGACTGTGTTGGAGGAAGCGTGTTCGTCAACGTCGTCGTCGCACTGGGCACCGAGCCTGTGCTTTCTGCAAGGTCGGACGGCCCTTCGTGTGCATTGAAGAACGGCTCGTGGGTGGTGATGGTCGGCACCGCGCTGCGCAGCGAATTGCCGTGAGCGGCGGGCCCAGACGAGGAAGCGGTGCCCCAGAGCGTGGAGAAGACGCCTAGCGCGACAGATTGCCTAGTCGTCGTAGCAGGCGTCAACGCTGGTGGGAGTGCGCCAGAGTCTGCGGCGGCGGGTGCATGGTTGTTCGAGGGAGGGGCAGAAAATGAAGCGGGTGCTGGAGCATGCGGGGGATCAACGCGCGAATGTGAATTCGCCGCAGATTCAGGCATTGTGGGTTCTCCTTTGCTGGAGCTGCAGGTCAATGCATGGCCGCTATGCGACGCCGTCTGAGTTGTGGACGTGGGCTGCCGTGATCGAGAGGGATGCGTTGTCGAACACGGGACGCGCTTGGCGAGATGCCCTGTCCCACCACTGACCCCGTCTTCGCCATTGGACCACCTCGCACTGGCCTGACATGTCTACCATCGTCGTGCATTGGCCAATTGCTTGACCTTTGACGATTATGCCGAACTCTTACCCAATGGCGTGCCACTGTCTCTGCTGGCATTGGGTCGACACACTCAAGCAATGCAATGCTGGCGACATGTACTTGCTACTTTCGCATTCGTGATATTGTGCGAACAGATCCTACAGCCACCACGCACATTGGGACCCAAGCGTGTAACAAACCATTAGAACAGCATACCATCGTCCGAGCCATGACTGTCCACCAACAGCTCCGAGCGCTCACATGCCGTACCCAGCACGCAGTTCAACCACGACACCAGTCCACCAGGTAGCTCATCGAGTATCTGCATCTCTGCCTTTGTGTTGAGCATAAGCATAGCTTGCAGCTCGTGTCGCCAATCTTCCTCGGGACCACCTTCGGCACAGAGATCCCATTCTAGCATGCATGCAGCTTTGGTACGGTCGCGGGCAGTGAGCTTCATAAGGCCCTGGAGCTCAGGCATCACACTCGCGTCAGTGCCACCTTCGTCTACCGGAGTTCGGCAGATGTGGTGTCTCCTTACACCAATCCACTGGATGCTGGGCAGACTCAGGCCGGATGTTTCCTTCCGTGTCGTATCTTCATGGGCAAGGCGATACGAACCGTATTTGTACGTCGACATGATGGCCATACCGTCAGGGTCCAAGTCCACAAGCGCAAACATGGGGATCTTCGGTGCCTGGTCGGCAACGCGTCGTAGAAAAAGTCGCGATGCTACGTCGGGATAGCCTTTTGCCTGTATCTCATGAGTATTGGGCAGCCGCTGATGGTATAAGCATACCGTTAATACCAGGCCATGAGAGCCTAAGTCGTCCCATTGTGCAGAGCTAAGCAAAGAGCGAAACGTCGCCTGTGCGCTGAATCAGTACTGATCTGGAAAGTCGTGTCACGAACGAACCTCTTTTTCAATAACAAGGACCCAGTGAATCGATGCTAGGTCCATGGTATCATTCTCGCCAATCTTGGGAACAAGTATACCCTGCACAACTCTAAGCTTCGAAGCAGATCGTAGATTGGTTACGTCCTACCTCTCTGTCCTTCATGCCATCGATGCGGTGTCCATTTTCTCGGATGATGCCAAATCTTCCAGCCACGAGGCCCTTCGCAGCGGCTGTCTAGAATTGGGAGTTAGAACTGGTGTATAACTCAGCGAGGTAGCTACGCACCACGTTCAACTGGGACCGTGAGATGCCGAACGTGCAAGCGATGTCATCGACATAACGATCGACCACTGATTGCTTTATGAATAAGTCAGGGTGTCGGTAATACAAGTCTCTAGTAAGTGTCAGCACTCAGAACGCTCATGTACCTGGCAGCTGGTACCTCTTAGTCATGATAGTATTGTCGACCAGACAGGTATGCACGAGTTCCAGAATCCGCAGTAGGACAGCTACGTCTGTGAGCAAATGCTTCATAGATTCAGGCATTGACTCAACTGAAGTTCCACGCTTCTTGCGCGGTAGCTCCAGGAAAGTTGATGTCGCGCTGCTTCGGTTCAGGAGCTTGTCCATTCTTGTTGGCAACTTTCGAGCGTCTGGAAAGCCCGACACGAGATTTCAAAGTGATGGTAAGGGCATCTTCTTGATCAAGAAGACCATCGATGATCCTCTCGAGCATACCCTCAATACGGGCGATGACCCACTGCCTTTGTTTATGAGTACAGTGAATTTATTGGGGATCGTCGCACTACCTGTCACGGGCTGGTCGTATGGAGCCAGGCGCGCACTGTTCTTTGGACGCGGGTTGTTGTTGCACTGTTGTGAGGCCCATGTACTCGTCGACTTCTTGATCAGTGTGGGCCGGCATCAACAATGGGCTATCGTCGCTATGCCAGAGATTCAGCTCTCCGATGTCTGCTTCGTCAAGCAACTCATCTTTGGAACTATTGCTTGCAATCTCGTCGAAAAGTGCAGGCGATGTTCCTGCGCCGAAAAGTAGGTCCTCGATGTCGTCAGCATCCATCGTGGTGGTGAGTTTGGGACGCCCGCTGTTGTATTCTGCTTCAAGGTTACGAGGTGAGAGTGCAGTCTCGCAGCCTGTAATCACAACAGAACCTCAGCAATACGACACGTGCGAAATGATGCGAGAAGCTGGTGCGAGCGAAGTGGAAGGCACGATGAGTAGAAGTGGGTCAGTCAAACTCAAACAGGGAAACCCGCCCGGGACATCTCGAACAAACCGGCTCCAGTTGCTTCCAGTGTTTCTTTTGCTTTCTAGCACATTCAAGTTCATCATGTTGAAGTTCATTCACTTGATGCACGGGGCACAGAGAACGGGGCGCGCCTTTCCCGGCAAGGCAATTGGCCTACCTGATAAGCGAAACTGTCGGAAACACCCCTGTACGCCGCCTGTCGCGCGCGCGCCTTCCACGCGTAAAACGCGACTTCCCTCCTCGTCGCGTCCCCTCTCTGCGACCTAATTGACGCAACCACGCGCTTCGTTCAACCACAACTGCATGTTGAGTCACGTTCATCACCCACAGTCGACTCACGCACGTCTCTGGCACATTGCTGTCGTAACCATGATGGAGGATCCAACCCCGCCCACTCCTGTCCCCCAGAAACGCCCATTGGATGGCACGACCTCGAACCTGCCGTCTCAACGCCCGTCAAGGCAATTAGTTCAGCAGCGTCAACACCACTCTCCGTTCGCTCTGTACAGACACCATCCCCTTTCAAGGCAACCGCCACACCTACTACAACGGCACCAAGCAGTAGCGTCAATGCACCAGCGTCCAGCAATGCTGCACAGCCAGCGAAGCGGCGGAAGCTTACCCAGAAGGAGAAAGATGACCAGAAGCTAGAGAAGGAGGCAAAGGCGAAGGCCCGAGCGGAGAAGAAAGCACAGAAGGAGGGCTGAAGATAAGCTCAAAGAAGAAGAGAAGCAGAAAAAGGCCGACGAGCGAGAGGAGAAGCGGCGACAAAAAGAGGAAGAGCAACAGCAGAAGGAGGAGGAGAAGGCCAAGAAAGAGCGTGTAAGTCTAAACTTCGCCAGTAACGTTTCCACTGCTAACTCAGTTTAAGTCGCAGATGAAGCTCAACGCCTTTTTTCGCGAAGCCGAAGGGAACTGGGTGTCAGCCCCTGGAAAGGTCTTCGGTAGAGTCCTCCCAGAAACCCACCCCTGTCCACAGCATCATTATTACCCAGTACCATCAGGGGCTGCCACTAACTCAGCCCCTCCGTCTCCGACAGAAGAACATTTGTCAATGAACGCACAATCCGACTATGACCGATACTTCCTGCCGTTCAACCTGCCCGCACACACCATACTAGCCCCTAAGAACTCTTTCATGGAGGACTCTGATAAGATGCAAGCTGCTCGAGCCCGCCTCGACAAGCTCATCGCGCGAGAAGATGCTGCTATGGAGCCGATTACTTCACAACACCTGAAGTCGGCACTTCCATCTTTAGGTCGTAGGGGCATGAAGACCTCATCTATTGTCGAAGTTGTCGAGTGTGTCAATCGCTCGTCCGATCAGCCAATCGACTTGACCGACGACACTATTGCGAGCCGCGAAAAGCCACTGGACATGTTGATGCAAATTCCGATGAAGTACATACACTTTGGAGAGGACGTGCGTCCGCCATACTATGGAACCTACACAAGGTCATACACCGAAGTGCAAGCCGCAAGACTCGCTAGAAAGCCCGTCTCCCGTTTGCGCCAGGACACCAATTATGATTACGACTCTGAGGCTGAATGGGAAGAACCTGAAGAGGGTGAGGACCTTGATTCCGAAGGTGACGACGATCTCGAGGAGGAAGCAGAAGACGACATGGACGGGTTCCTCGACGACGAGGAAGACCCACAGGTCAAGAGACGCCTCATTAGTGGTGATTTACAGCCTGTCAGCACCGGTCTATGCTGGCAGGATGGACACGGTGTGTCTAGACTCAACGACGGATCCGACGCAATCTGTACCGATTTCCGAGAATTTTCGATGGGCTTCCTGCTCCAGCCGCAACCACATGCCATCGATCCGTTCTCAACCTCATACTGGACTCCAGAGCCTTTTGCCTCAACCCTGCCGGCAAACAAAGATTGCGCTGGTGGTAACATGAATCCTCCCCGAGTGCCTCTCGCGCAGCGCACTATGAACGGCCTCCTAAACACTTTCAATTCTCCACAACAAGCACCATCGGGAACTGCATCGAAGCCAGCAAAAGCAAAGCGGATGATACCGCCTGAACAGCTGCAGGCTTTCAAGGCCGAGATCGACGGCAAGGACCTCACTAAGATTGGCATGGTCGAAGCGCTGAAGAAAATTTTCCCGAAACTTCCGAAAGACGCTATCACCAATACCCTGAGCGTCGTTGCGGCACGGGTTGGGCCCACCGAGAAGGAGAAGCGATGGGTGCTCATCAACACCTGAAGCACATCGCTACATCACTTTCATCCTGATACCAAAGCGTTCACCACTTCGCGGCACAATACAGTACTCAGTCGGGAACTCAACCCATCACCATGATTTCAAAAGCTGGTACATACTAGAGCAAGTTGTCGTCTACATTTCACACAAGACATGTGTCGAGGGGAGGTATTCGGCGAGGTACTGTGCTTAATAGCATTACCATTCCCTGCAAGTATTTGTTGTCATAGCGTTCAGCATTCGGAGTTAGGTATGAGACAGCGGCACTCACTGTATGTGCCCTCAAAAGGCGTTAGGCTTCTATATATGTGCATAAGCTAGACAGCGGGTAATCGAATGACATGTCATACACTGACGTATTCACTTCAAATCGAGCGCCTACGAGCCGCTGACTGCGTCAAGATGAAACACCACAGAAGACGACTGCCGTGTGGCTTGTGTCAGCGACATCAAGCGCGTTCACTTTTCCTAGTGGGTCAGGTTGCGGGGAATGGTTCGGGGTACACATTGCGATGCCGAAGCCATCTGCTGTTCCTTGATTCCCGCCCTGGCAACATTATACGTTCAAATTTGGTACATTCGTCTTAGAATGTAAGCTTTCTACCAAAATGAGGTAAAATTGGGCAAGCGATAATTCGTCCTGAACGCGGGTTTGCGGCGGTGATGGACTGTGTGGCACCGTAAGCTTTGGATAGATTGACAGTCCGCAAATACACGACAGGGAAGCCAGCTTGCGAACTCAGACAGACCCAGGCCAGATTCCGATTGTCGAGCGTCAATAGCGAATTCGCTATGTCTTATATCGCAACATGCACAGGCTCGTCTTGAGGCGCAGAGGACCGCTGGAACGACTGCGGGGAGCACAAATGGCTTCGTGGTGGACTAGAGTATGCAAATACTACAGAGGCGCAATACATTCTGTATGACAGCGAACGCTTACCTGGAGGTTCAGTCAGCAGCACCGTAGTTTTGCTGCAATCTTGGTTGTGCAAGGGAGGTTGCGGTTAAGAATAGCGTCGCGAGTTTGTCTCCACATTTTCGCGGCCCGCTTGACAGCCAATCGACCACATCTTGTAAACGCCCGCTATTCTTGGTACAACGACCTCAAATATCCAGCCAATGACCACAATGCCCCCCACAGCTTGAGCTTACAATCGGCGCGGTTCAACCTTCTTCCTTCTAAAATCCTTGCATAGAGAGCGCTCACGCTAAACCTTTCTTTGCATTGTACTCCCTCCCCGGTATCAGCAGGCGCTCTGGAGCAGCGGTGCTTCAGTTGCGGCTCCACTCAGCGCCAAGATATGCAGTAGTTGCGCCATTAATGGATCTATGGAGATGACCTTGTGTGTAAGAATAGGTAGCGCCTCGTCCGCCTGGTTCCGTCCTGCAGGCTCATCTTAGTCCGCCAGTCGCGCAAGTGAGACAGGCCTACATAGCCACCAGACTGCCTCGCACGCATTTCTTGGTCCCCAGACGTGTGGTGATTGTCCATTTCAACTTTGTCAGCGAGTTTAGCAAGCGCGCCGGTCTCTACTCTACTGCCTAGACAACTTGCTGGAACAAGTATCTACTGTTTTCCCCATGGCATCAGTTCTCATCTACCTCTCGGCAACTGTGCTGTTTGCTCAGTCGACAGCTGCTTTCAACTGCTCGAAAAAGCCGATCTATGTCGATATACATAAGCGAGCAGTACATGACACTCCAGTCTTTCAGTATGGATCCTTCATCGGCTTGGGAACTCCAGCACAGAACCAAAGCCTCTGGCCATCATTATCACAAAACCATACCTCATTCACATCCCATATCTACTGCAACGAAAACGCTACACTCAAAGATTGCGACAGATCTACTGGGGGTTTCTACAGTAACGATGACTCTACCACGTAAGTGTACTCATAAATCAGGTCAATGGGACTTTCTAACGTCTGGCAGGTTTGTGTCGCAGCCGAACTTCCAAACACTAGACCGAGCCACCAACACCACCTTCTCGGGTTTCTTCGGCCAAGAGACTATTCGGCTCTATACCCATTATTTTGAAACCGACGCAGCCTCTGCGAATCTCCTGGAGAAGTCGACGATAGAAGTTGCAACACGCGGTTCAATAACAGCTAGTCGTGTCGGAGTAGGGGTCCTCCTCGACAGTTTTGAAGGATCTCGCTGCTCGAGACATGATCGGAGGGAAGACATACTCGCTATACATCGGCCAAGGCTTTGACCGTGCTGGCGGTGCTGTCAACGGAAGCAATGTTTTTGGAGGATATGACTCCGGTCGTTTCACTGGCATCCCAAACAAATATCCGATGAACATCGCCAACGTCAATCCAATGAGCGTACGCATCAAAGATATCATCATAACGGAGTCTGCGGATAATTCTAACGTTTCCTTGTTCGACAGCAAGGCATTTGCCGACATGAAAGCGCCAGGACAGAGCTTCGAGGCTCAGATCACTACGGACCAGTTTCCCCTTTCCCTCCCATACCAGATCACAAAGAACTTCATCACCCGCCTAGGAGCCGAAAAGGACAATACTTGGGGCGACAATTCCTTGAAGCTCAAGAATGCTTTCAACGGCACCATGTCTATCGTCCTTGAAGACGGCTTCACAGTCACATTCCCGCCAGAAGTCCTCATGAACGTATCGAACATAACACCCATCCAAGATCGTGATGAGAAATCAACAGACCCCTTTTACCTTGGATCTGCCTTCCTCGGTCAAGTGTATCTCATGGCTGATTTCGAGTCGAACAACTTCTTCCTCGCCGAAGCGGTGCAGAAGAACAACATGGTCATGCCTGTAACATTCTGCCCCAGGACCACGCCTGTAGCATACGAACGTCCTGATCAATCAAACTGGCAGAAACAAGGCCTGATCGGAGCCGTCCTTGGTGGTGTCATTGGCGGTTTGGCTACCATCGCTGCGCTGTACTGTCTGTGGGTGGCGCTGTTGAGACAAAAGGATAAGCGGAGGCTGCAGAGGGAGTTGAAGAAGAACCAGCAGTCCAAGTTGGCGCAGTTCGATGTAGAGGAAGCGCCCACATTCGAGCCTCCACCGTCCAAAGCTTCGAAGGTATTTTTCTGGAAGAAGAAGTAGCTGAGATGTTATTCCGTGTTAGATTTGTATACCCCGAGCTGGCAGTATGTCGCTTGTTTATCTCTATCGCCTTAGCTGTCAATCGAACAAAATTTTCAGGATTCGACTAGACCTGCGCGTATGTATCATGCACATGTGTGTTCGTTGCGATTTGACGTGCATACTTACCTAATCAGCGTCATCAAACCTCGGAAGATCACTAACTTCGTGGCCACGACGCGTCCTGTCCGGAACCAAAAACATCAGCCTCTACTCGCGACATCAAAGCACGAAGGACTATGTCTCTCCGCGACAACGTCTCGCAGTATTTCCTATCTCACTCGAATGTGGAGATGACTGTCTTGTGGATGTGTTCCACCACCAGCGGCGTGGGTGGGACAACCTGCACCTGTAAGAGCTATCGTGGCGTGCCAGCTACCAGGTTCGCACATGTAAAATACAGAAAGACGGAGGTATCGGAAACATGTTCTGACACATGTTCTGACACATGACCTATATCACTCGTACACAGTCGAGCCCTGCCCTCCCTTGATGCGCGCACATCGGACCCGCAACCACCATTTTGTACCCAACCCGTGGTACTGACGCACACACGACTCAAGCCATGATCAAATTGTGTAGATTATGGTAGACTTTAGTTGCCAGTATTCAAACTCCGGAAGTAATTCTGGCTGTGTAAATGTACTGCAGGCCTGTCTACTGACTGACCACTGCAACAACAAGTTTGCCTCGATCCAAGCTTCACGATAACCAGCAAGATGCCAGCCGCCTATACCGCGCCAGGAATAGACAATCTGCCCTTTCTCAGCATGAGCTTACGCTACGACTTGATGTGTTCTGTTTCTCCCTGCTCTGTCGGCTCGCTCCGATCACATTCCATGAGCACCCCTCGGTTGGCACTTTGTTTTGTCCCCCATTTTTTACCTGCATTCCTATACTTCTCTTCACCTTGACGACCGCAAGAGCACTGCCGGATGCCACAGAATGTATGTGTACACGCGGGATCCCCATGTGCTCGGTCGCTTTACGGACTCTTTTGCTACAATTTTCTTTGCGCCGCTCGTTGCCTCGCTGTCGTTCCTGGAGATATAGGATGCGAGTGCTGGAAGAAGGGGGATACTTCCGATAGCTCGACGATTGGTGCCGGGGAGCCGCTGGCGACTTGGTTGGCTGCATCGCAACTCTGGAAGCTGTTCTTCGAATCGCCACGAACGCACACGCGCGCCAGTCATCAAAGGACCACGGCGCATATAGATACGAACACGATATAATGAGCGACTTATCTCAGTCGGGTGCGCCGAGCGGGGGTCTGAGCACCACGGCCATTGCAGCCATAGCTACGGGGATCGGTATCAGTCTCATCTGCATCGTCGCGCTGATCTTCCTGCTGGTGCGAGCTATACGAAATCACAAAAAGCTTCTTGCTGATCTAGAAGAGCGGGGTGTATCAATTGCGCAAGCGCGAGGAGAGGTACGGGACTCTGTGACAAGACCACGTTCTGTGTTGAGGCGCAATACTATTCATCCGTACAACAAGAACTCTGGATGGGGAACATTGACATCCGTGGAGACTATCAAGGCTTCTGAAACTGTTGGTACATTGGATCACTATGTACCTCCAAAGCCGACAGAGGCCATGAAGAAAGGGAGCCGACTGTCATGGCCTTTCCATACAAGACGCGTGTCCGGACACAACATCCACCTGAAGAAAATAAAAGGCTCCAGGCTATCTACTGTACTGGAGGATCCGAAACCATCCGCAAATGTACCTGTCCTGAGAAGTTCGCTCAACGGTTCGAGCAGGCCGCTGTTGCTGACCTCCCAGCCTCATGGAAGCCGACATTCATCGTCTCAATCTATGCTTCAACATCATTCGGCCTTCCGGAATTCGACTCATGAATTTGATCCCAGCCAGCAAGGACATCCAGCCTCTGGGACTTCTTACTTTCGAGCTGGTGCAAACGATCGTTTGCAACGCGCCAAATCATTTGCAGATGTACCCTCAGATCCACCTGAGCGGCCACAACTTCGCGCAAGGTCTGCAAGTATGTCTGGCCATATCTCTGGGATTGCACCAGACGTGATCCTACCTCCCTTACCACTCGACATTGTGCGCATCAAGAATGAGGCAAGATGGCAGGGTCAACTCAGACGAATCCCATCTAAACAGTCCGACTCTAGCTTTGCATCAGTTGATACCTCCATTCTGATCAACTATGCAAGTCCAGTCATGCCTCCGCCGGCGAAGAGGCGGCCTCAAAAGATCACCAAGCCACGGACTCGAGGCTCAGGGTCTGCCGGAGCGAGACCATTCCGTGATTCATTAGATCTCCGAGCGAAAGTACTAGGTCTACGGCACACTCCCAGCACTAGCCCGGCTCGGCCAAAGACAGCTCCATCTGAGATGGAAGAGCGTTGGGCTGAGCATTGGAGCAAGCCGCTGGAAGCATCAGACATGCAAAATATGGGCAATTCCAAGAAGGCAAGACCCGTGACTGTCGTCGGACATTCTTTCACCAGCATGAATACAGCAGCATCTGGAGATCCCATGACGCCAAAAAGAAAGTTAAGGTCGCATGCATATTCGGAGGACTCGCCTGAACGACAGAAGCGGAGTACAGGACGAGAATCGAATGGAATTATCCGATCACCAAAGAGACAACATTCGCAAGCATCTTCGAGAAGCAGTGGCGGCAATCCATTTCAATGGGATCCTACACCGCTTTCTTCCACTGGGAAACCATCAGCGCTGAAGGGCAGCCCAAGTGCACGACAAGGTCACCGTCGCAAGAATAGTGTACGCATCTCCCTGGTGCCGACCTTTCATGGACCACCAACGAGAACGCCAAGCCCATCCTTCATCATAGAGAACAAGGAAGACATCACCGAAGGAGCTACTGTAGACAGATCTACCGCAGGTCTTGGTCTGGCTATACCGGGCCCTCGTGCGCTCCCCCACACCTCCGAGCTCTTCAACCTTTGCACCTGAACTTAAATTCCCTACCACATCGCTTCGCGCCTCTTTGACGCCAAGTTCTCCGACCTTGCCCCTTGTGAGTTATGATCAGACGTATGTCGTGTTTCCGACAGACCATGTCCTCAATGAACTTGCAAAGCTAGAGGGGAAGCGAGCGAGTAACAGCTCCGTGATAAGCTTCTCAAAGCCTCTTAGAACGCCCTCGGGTATTGAGTCTTGGGATGATGATTCCTACACTTTGGTGACTCGATCCTCTGATCGCTTCGATTTCAGCCGCGACTATCAGATGCCCGAAACACCATTTTTACCTCAATCGCCGTTCAAGTGCGAAACAACCGAGCAGGAACAATCTTTTCCATTCCCCAGCCTATCTGATCTTGATATGTATGATCCTGAGCGGCCCAGCATGGTCTTTCAGACTCCGACGAACACGTCCTCACGTGCCTGGCACTCAGATTTTGCGACGATTCCAGAAGAATCGTCAGTCAGTTCCCAAAAAACTGTTGAGATGAATACAATTCACCAGGACGACTCACCACCTGTCTCGCCAAAGACTATGTCTCCGCCAAGGTTCAGCCTGAACGACCGGGCTGCATACAACTTACCTGTATATGCTACTACTATTCCCGAGGAGACGCCGGATACGACCAATCCAGCCATATTGAGCAAGGATGCTTTCGTGCTACTCAATAATAGCTTCAATGATGTCGATAGCAGCATCATGGACACGGCTTACGGTACTTCCTCAAATCTCGCCTTGGTCATTCCAAAGACATCAGAGCTGGCCCAAAAGACCTTCGACCCATTACTTGAAGCAGCCTTTCCTTTTGATCTACAGCCAATATGGAGCAGTGAGTCGCCAATTCTTGGACATCGGCAGTCTGAGGCGAGCTCGATATATTCACTGCCATCGCCCTTGGAGACTTTATCGCCCACGTCACCTCCTATTGAGATACAAAATCCGGTCATGCCATGCTCTCCACGTCCCTCGCATGTAGAGCTGCCGCAGACTGCACCTTCCTTGGCCATAGACTTCTCAGATATGCCCAAACTGTCACCCTCGCCACGAGGGCCACCTATGTCATCTCCAAGACCTCTGCGTGCTTCCATTGCCGCCTTGAGACGTATGAACTCCGATGCAGCAAATGCGAAGAAGGAGAAAGCCGGGCGAGGAGAACGGCGATACCTCCGACTAGGTAGAGAAGACAGTGTTGCCCTTCCCGACGACGAGAGCTGGCTCGACGAGATGGACGACGCGACCAGCATCGAGCTCGACGAAGCTGAAGGGCGACGCCAAGTCGAGAACGCCCTTGATGAATGGGACGAAGGCTGCGCCTCTATTGATCTCGACGAAGGAAGTTCACTGCTCTCCACCTCTACAGTAACACCCGACACGGAAATCTTCTCGACTTCCATAGAGCAAGATGACACCACTGCAGGTGCTCAAGAGCGCTCAAGCAATATATGGGAAGACGGCGAAACATTCTGGGCCTCGTCAACACCACCACGCCCCAGCTCACCCAACAAACAAAGAGACAAACACCAGCCGTGTGCTTCGTCGCCGCTCGTATCGCCAATATATTCCATCTCCTCTGTTAAAACGATCAAGAATAAGAAACGCGACTTTGAAGTTGCAAAAGACATTTCCCGCTCTCCCTCGTCTTCTCCGACGCCAAAGGCTAATCGCAAGAAGCACCGGAATAGCGGGGACAGGTATAGGAAGCGAAATGCGTTGGGCGTGGGGACGCCAAATGTGAGGATTCAGGTTACGAGTCCGAGTGGGAGGATTTTGACGGGAACGTCGGGGAGTTTGTATGATTCGCAGGGGTTTTTGAGGTATTGATGATGGGTAATGAGTAGTGTTAATGTTGAATAATGTTAGTATGGAGCGATGAATGGGATTTGTAATCTTGACATGGCTACTTGGCTAATCGTATGTTGAAGTGCAGTGAAAAGCAAATGTCTTGAACCTACTTTGAAGAAAGTGTGGAAAACAAAGATATGGGTAGATAAAAGTCCATCCTGGATACTACAACAAGGTTTGAAAGAACAGATTGTGTCCCCAAACACTTGCGTTGAACGACAATTCACTCAAATCTTGACTACAATCAACGCCTGAATTCCTTGCCTAATGCGGTTTATACCATCTTTCTCATGATCATATCTTGCGATGAAATTATTTACTCAATCTTGTAGCAGAAAAGCTGTGCAAAGATTTATCCTGGAGACTACAACAGGTTTCTCACAGCTCTACAGCACCTGCTAGCATCTAGCAGTGCCTACACAGACATTCAATTCACTAAAAAGTTTACTACAATCAACACGTAAAATCACTTGCCTAATGCAGTATATACCATCTCTCTTATCAGCATGGCTCCTAGTGAAACTGTTCTGTCTACATCTACTCCTATTGCATAATTAATAATTTACTTAGTGCATCGAATCATCGTTCATTGACTCTCTCTTGGCTTGCTTTTCACTAGCTTTTTAGGTGCTTGAATTCACTCAAAAGTTTGCAGCAATCGATGGGTAGATTTTAGGTTGCCTAATTGGGTATATACCAACACTCTTGATATCAACGATTTTCACATGTCACACGTGACGTTATGGGACGCATGTTTTTAAACCCTTGGTTCGATGCTGGATATCTCATTCATCTCTCTCTCTGGGCCATATAGTACATGCTGAATAGTTGTACAAGAATCCAATCGCGCGGAGATAGCAATGGTCTATAGCTCTGCTGAGAAGTCAAATCCTAGCGGCGCAAGAATCTTTTCTTGGACGACTTTGTTGGCGGCTTCTCCACCCCGTTCGAGTGCGATAGCACCGACAATGGCGTACAAGGACGTCATCAGAACAGACTCGATACCAGATCCTTGGAGGTTATCCGCCTGTGATTGTGTTAGCATAGTATTACCCCACCCCGTCAAGAAAATGTACGTACCCTCTTCGGCGTCCACCGCGTTACTTTATCGAGCCCGTATCGCTCTGCTATTTGCGCCAACCGTGCCTTGTCGAGGATCTTGCTCTGTGCCTCGTCTGACAATCCTTGCAGTCCAATCAACGCAGGGTGCTGGAACGGTATCCGGCCAAACTCGTCTGTCTCTGCCTGTGCTTCTTGCGGGGAGCTTATAAGCGCCTGCGATGTCTGCAGCTCAACTATCCGCCGTCCTTGGGGAGATTGTTAGCACTCCCAATTGGCAATCCTGCATGCACGTCTCCACATACCCAAATATGCTAACCGGTCGTTGAACCCTCTTTTGCCGTGTTCGAAGCTCTTGTGTGTAACGGCCAGCCATTTGACCTCATCGCCTAGTAACTCGTCTCCGCCAGGTCCTAGCATCCGTATGTACGCTTCATCCAATCGCCTGGGGTCCTCGTTGACCTTGAATACGCCTCCCTTTGCTTTCGGTCGTATCCGATAGGGCGCCACCATACGGGCTGGGGTCTGTTGCCATCGCGGTCTGTCTGCGGCTTCTGTCTCATTTCCAGGCGCTCGTAATGGGGTACATGTCGAAAATGTGCATGCGGAGGTCCGCACGAGGGACGCTTTTAGTGGCGCTGGGCGCAGCGGCGATGACGCAGTGGAGAAAAGGCAGCGCAGCGGTCGTTTGGAAGCCATTGGGGCCTTTCACTGTCGAGACGAGATCGTACTGGCGTTTGGTGGCAGCGAGGTCGGGGCTCGTCTCATCATTCGGTCTGCTTCAGATGGTTCGAAAAGTTGCGGCTTCGATATCACGCCTTGCCCAGACCGGCTAGCGCCAGAACGCGCTCCATGCTCCCCAGCTTCGAGCACTTGCACGCGTTGCTCCTCCTTCTTGCTCTCTGCTTGCGCCGAAATGGCCGATATCGCTATGCACAAGTCGTTGAAGCATCTTTTGGCCGAACAGCTGCCCAAAGATGTGCCCTTCACCTTTTATCACTACTCCACTCCGCCCACCAAGTCCTCCGCCCTCTTCTCCGCTCCACCCCATGCAAAGTCCGAGCGAACATACTGCGAGTCGCATTTGCTTGCCGCCTCGATAACGCCAAATCATGCCGAAACCTCAGAACTGCCTGAGGAGCTCCTCGTTCTTGCCATTGAGGTCTTGATATACACCACCCGAAGCCTTACAACCATCTTCGTCTCCAAAGCCGACTCAACAGGCTGTTTATCTGAGCTGCAGCTCCCACGGGGGCAATCCGGCTCGCCATTGAAGACCATATGCGGGACATTCGTATCTTGGTTGGCAACAGAAAGGCAACGAGAAGGAAAGAAGCTAGTCGTCTCACTGTTCGCAAGAGCACAGGACCAGTACCTCTTTCCCGCGAGTATCGACAACAAGAACAAGCATGTATTGGATGATAGAGGATTGGTGAAATGGTGGTGCAAAGTTCTTGATCCGATAGTTTGGCAGTACAAAGCGGAAGAGGAGCGCAAGTCTTTTGCGGACAGGCTGACTGAGGGTGTCAATGCGGGCAGCAATGGCCAAACATCTTCAGCATACGCTACAGCCAAGGGCTTCCTTGTCATCCCGGGCTTTGAGCCATATGACACACTGCGATACATACCTCCACCACCGAGACCGAATACACCGCGAAGGTGGGCTGCTACGCATCCACTACTTCAGATCGCACCCCATCCCGCCGCTCCTCCACGATGTATTGTACCACATTTCCCTGACGATCCGAAAGCGCGATTCTTGGACGAGCTTGATGAAGAGCTTCCTGATCGAGGAACTGATGCTATGGTAGCGGACGGAGGTACACCATCAAGGAGCACTGGTATATGGAAGAGTGTCAAGACGCTGGATCAGTTCTGGGAATTCATGGCGTTTCGCCAAGAATGCTCGTCTGGCAGGATCGTGGGATTCATATGGGTGGTCATTACTCCCGCACAGCCTTCGATACCCGAGGAAGATGAGGAAGAGCCATCGCAGCAGTCAGCCTCACAGTCGTTCTCGCAACTCGGGTCCCAGGACAATGTGAAGTCCCCTAGGAAGCGGAGACATCCCAAACGCAAGAACAAGCCCAAGACTGAGTACGGACCTATCCCATTGCGATTACCACGAATCAAGCAGACATCGTCAGACCTGTCCGCCACTTCTACTATCTCCAGCAAATCCGCCTCCAAGGAAATGCCAGAAAATAGCCCGTATTATAGATGGCCAGTCAGCTCCCGCGGTACCATCTGCTTTTCGACCAAGGACTATAACAGAGCTCACGAGATTCTCATCCACCAGAATTTCTGCAGTCGCGCTTCGACGGCCAAAGCAACGAAGCGATGGAAGGAAGAGATTGCCGTATTGGGAGGCTTAGACGCATGGGGTTGGTCAGTGACCGGAACCAAAGAGGCTGAGGCTGCCGCAGATCGGGAAACCAACGGCGTGACTCCCGTGACAACAGTGATGGGTGTGCGGAAGAAGAGGAAGCCGTCTACATCAACAGCGACACTTCCAGAGAAACAGGAGGCAGTCAAGAGCCTCGATACAGGCTTGGTCAGGAAGAAGCAGAAGATTGAACCTCCGTCCGTTGCGGAGCCGACGAACGGGGTCAATACGCTCACGGCAGGATTGGTACGGAAGAAGCCCAAAGCGTAATACGCTGACAACAGCCTTGGATTTCGAGTTTGAAGTCTGCATACCAGGGTTTTGCATATTAGCGTGGCGTTTTGTGATTCTGCATTTTCAGATGTCTTGACTGCCGACATTCTGGCTTTGGACATCAGACTTGAGTATGGGTAGATAATTATGCCATGTGCTTCAAAACTATCAATTAGGTTCGAATCTCACACATGTGCATTAGCACAGTAATTCGAACACTCAGCAAAATGAGTCTCGGGACATATTTATGGAGAATGTCGTGGCGGTAAGCTCGGAGATGAAGAGCAGCAAACCTGACAAGATCCCGACAACGCGTAGCTTGTAGCACGTTTGTTTGCTGGTACAAGTTTCTGCCTTTATACTTGTCCAACACACTCCAACTTTGGAATTGACGAGACATTCGGCGGTGTATTTGACGCTAGTGCTCACACACATTGTGGTTGCCAAACTCCGCACACCTCCGAAGACCAGAAAACATCCCACCTTCCCTAACAACACTCCTTGGCATACGTTTCGCGCATGCGCGCGTTCGCCCACAGCACCGAGACGAAGGATGTCTCCATGCTGCGCACTATCGTCGCCGCCGGCTGTCTGATCTGGTTCGTGGTCGTATGGGCGGTGTGCGCCATTGGCTTCACACAACTGTGAGTACCTGCAGCAAGCTCTAACAGTCGGTGTATACTAACATTCATAGTTTCCGCTACAACTGGCGACGACCACAACCGGCGACATGTATCACCAAAGTCAAGGAAGAGGAGCTACCTCATGTCACTGTCATCCGCCCTGTCAAGGGTCTCGAGCCGCGCCTGTATGAATGCCTCGCAGCCAGTCTCCGCCAGACGTACCCGAAGAGCAAGATCGATACCGTCTTCTGTGTGTCTTCGCGCTCCGATCCCGCCCTCCCGATCCTCCAGCGCCTATGTGGCGACTTTAAAGATGCCAACGTGCGGATCCTGGTTGAAGAGGAGGACCCGTTGCTGCTGAAAGACAAGAATGCGCTAGGGCCGAACCCCAAGATCCGGAACATGAGCCGCGCATATAGAGAAGCGAGGGGTGACATTGTCTGGATACTCGATTGCAATGTCTGGGCTGGCAAGGGCGTTTGTGGAAGACTGGTTGATTTACTATGCGGATACAAGGATGGTGAACATGGCAAGACGAAAAGGTACAAGTTTGTGCACCAGACGCCTGTGGCTGTGGATATGGACGCTCAAGGCATGACCGTGGACGAGCGCAAGGCGCTGCTCGGAGGACGATCAACCGAAGATAACGACATGACGGACATTGCAGCAAGCACTTCTTCAGATCCACGGAACCACTCCAACAGCGTGCTGCGCAGGATCCTACAGCGCGGTGGTGGACGTCTCGACGAAGCTTTCCTGTCTTCTGCACACGCCAAGTTCTACAACGCCATCAATACCGTCGCTGTAGCGCCTTGCATCATTGGCAAGAGCACCATGTTCCGCCGCTCACAGCTCAACTACATCACCTCATCCAACCCCGAGCGCTCTCCTGGTATCGACTTCTTCTCCGACAACATCTGCGAGGACCATCTCATCGGCGATGCGCTCTGGAAGCAGCCACAAGCATTCGAAAAGCCCGGCTTCCACACTCCACCTGATGCCGAGAAGGTCTCATGGGGCAAACACGCCATGCTCTTCGGCGACTTCTGCTTCCAACCTATCAGCCACACCCCCGTCATGGGCTACATGGACCGCCGCATCCGCTGGCTCCGAGTCAGGAAGTTCACCGTCACGCTGGCAACCTTCGTCGAGCCCGGTACCGAGAGCATACTCTGCAGTCTCTATGGCGCACACGCCCTCACTACCTTGCCATTCTTCGCCCGCATCGGCATACCACCAACCTGGATCTCTTTCGCCCTTATCTGGCTCACCAACATGTCCCTCTGGTGTCTTGTCGATTACATCCAATACCTCCTCCTGCACTCGGCCAAAACCGTCGAAATCGACGCCGACACGCCTGATTTCGTGCTCCCACAGCGCTCCGCCAAAGCTTACCACCAAGCCGAATCCCTCAAACCCTTACTCGGCGACAAGACACCCAGAGAACCTAAGCTGCTCGACGGCGCGAGGAGAAACTTCAAGGAGTTCTTTGCGGCGTGGTTGGGCCGCGAGATGAGTGCGTTGCCGATTTGGGTGGTGGCATTTTGGGGTGGGGTTACGGTGGAGTGGAGGGGGAGGAAGTTTTGGGTTGGGCTGGATATGAAGGTTCATGAGATTTTGCCGCCGAACGAGGGAGAGGCGAAGGTAGATGGGGAGGGGAGAAAGTGATACTGAGCTTAGACTAGATGCTCGATCGTGCAGAGTTGAAATGCACGATATTTGTGGCTCAGGAGAATGTTGCTGCATGTATGTATGTATGTATGTATGTATGTATGTATGGGTGTGTTGTATTTCCACACACACGCGCTGCTGGCCATTTATTAGCGAAGTATGTCGAGGCTACGATTCTAATGTTCTCGCGCGCGCCAGTGACGTCTCAGCGGGTAGTGCGAACTCAACGCATACTCACATCGATGTACCAGAATCCAAGGCATGTCGATGTTCTGAAAGTCTCTTTTCAGGCATTCCACGATGTTGACCGAACTTCCCACATTCTCCGTCGAATAAAGCCATGTGTCATATCCACGGTTAAGCTAATGTCAAGTGTTTCGATGATTCAACAATTCTTTTGTATCTTTTGAAAGGTTCAATGAGGTCTGATACTGGTTAATCTTTATTTTCTTTGGGGTCGTTGTATACATGGCAAGTTCACTATTTCCTTGGCCCTTGCTTTTTTTTTTCGCCTGCCCTGGGTCATGCCCGGTATCAAGCCAATTTCTGGATCTGCTGAGATTTACTATTGGCTTACATCTTGATGCGCAGACTTGGCGACGACGATGAAAGGGTAGATTGGGAAGTGGGAGGTTGATGGTGTACAGATTTATGACAGGCGGCAGGCAGTGGCTGCAAATTTCAGGTCAAAAGGGAAGGCTACTATCATATTAGAATCATCATGCTATACTATTGTGATAGTATTTCTTTCGAAAGACTTCTGCCACCTCAAAGGCTCCAAACCTTCCCAGCTGTTAGGCATACGATATCTATAACGCCCTATACGCGTGTACGTAATCGCGTTCGGTTTGCGACCAAGGATGAGTCCGTAGCTATATGACGGCGATCCTGTCCCTTTGTGAAGACTGGATTGAGCTTCATCCTCTGTGTAAGCCGACCTGATGATGCAAAGAAGATACACAAAGATTTCTGGCTCATCCCCAGCCTCTGTAGTCAACTCGGGCAGGTACGCACCAAGTGAACTATCTTCCTTAAGGCTGTACTCTTCGTCAATGAGCTGTATTCTGATCCATTGAATTGATTAACTAGGAATCCGCTCTAGTAATCCATCAACCTGTAGTCATCCTCCAGTGACCTGGCCATAAGGGGTGATACTTGATGCGAGGCGAGTTTGAGCATGGACTACTGTTGCTGTGCAATGTTTTGGAGAAAAGGACCCCATTTCCTCATATAGTTGTGTGAATACTTGTGATTTGACGGACGCCCACGACCACGAAGGCGCATGATGCGCTAGTCTGTGTCTACGAGCGGTGGGTGTTTGAAACCAAAGTAAGTTGAGAGGCATGTGTTGTCTCCATAGCCCTGCCAGGTAGCTTTCTGGGGCTACTTCGTGTCCCATGAACGTGATGCCTAGTGCTTCTGCGACTGCAGATACAGCAAGTAGTTTATCCGTTGGATGGGTTAACTTTCGCTTAGTGTAAGCAAAGATAAGATCCCGCCATGCGTCGAATAGCCCTTCGAGACTCCCTTGGCTAATGGATGAAGACATCGTAGAACGCATATCATCATTGCCATGTACGAATCCCCTATATGGAAAGATATCTAGAGGAAGACCTCCGTCAGTTTTGACTTAGCTACCAGAGAGCATAAGTGTTTGAGAAGGGTTGAGATAGATGATGTTTGGCGAAAGCAAGACTGGCAGAGTGTCAGCTGCTACCCAAGTTATGGTATATGTTTCGGCCAATGTCTACCTTCTTGAAAGATTCAGCCTCTATTGTCAATAGGATCGGGTGAGTCCGCCCGCATTTTAGAATGCTCGCTAGAAAAAGTGTCGATCATAATACTCCTTCCATGACCGTCGGGGAGTCGTACTTGGAGTTCAAATCGAGAGTATATCCTTGGACGGCGATGTAGAAAACCATCAGAAGCACTAGCTGCACCACCAGCGAGTATCGTGACAATGCCGTTATGATACACCTTGGCTTGGCTTGTAATCTCGTCTGCGACCTTATGCGGGCTGTCTTGTACAATGCCTTTGGTAATTATCAAGTCAGCATTTGCTGTTCAGTCAGGATCAAGGCTCACATAAAGCATCCACCCAAAGATATTCAAGGTTGAGATATTTGTCAGGAAGCAAGGGCCAGACTCAGGATAGATGGTGTTGTGGAAGATGAAGTAGCAGGTGTATTGTAGGATAGACGAATCGCTGCCCCTGCGAGGGTCCTAGGAGTCGACTACTTATAATAAGTGCTTCCTTATGTAAGCACGCCCTAATCCTACACCCATACCCCTGCCGTCTAACAATATTTTGTGACCAGAATAGCATCACGAATTGTACGGGGCAAGGTTTTCATCTCGATACCACGTTCATGGAAAGCCAGATTTGACGATTTTGTTTTGCCTTCCTGATCACCGCCCCAACAGTAGCTTAATAAGGCATATGCTTGCGCCTGCGTCGTCCTTGTAACGCAAACAGTGTCGCCTCCAGGCTTGATCTTGAGCAACCTCTTAGGCATGATTGAGGCAGAAACTGTCTTCATCTCCGATGAAATTTGAACTTTTGCCGAAGACTCTTCGAGCCATGTTTGCATCTATTTGATTGACTTTTTAGATAATGGATTCAGATTAGGAGGCAACAACAAGTTGTCGAACCATGCATAACCTACTGTTTGCGCTACAGTTTATTAGCAAAGTTTCACGGGTCTAGCCAGAAAGACTAAACACTACTGCGAAAGCTATGGAAGTCTGAGGAAGCCAGACGTTGACCTTGCTCGAACCCTGATTCCATCCAGAAACTGGGATCTCGAGGTGCTTGCTTGGCTGGATCGAGGCTTTCGAGAACTTTGCTGCCTTTCAAATATGGCCTAACAGCATGATCTCCGTAATGGGTTTTCTGCTCTATGAGAAAACTTACCCTTGTGGTCTCAGCGTCTGATTTGTGGGGGTGCAAAGCTAGAAGGAGGAACTGGCAGCCATCAAGTGCAGCAACTAAAGCATCGGCACCATCCAGAAGCAAGTCACTCTTCAGACACTTCTCGCCAAATCTATTCTTTTCCAATGTTGCTGGGAAGCATTTGTTGCAATATTTGCACGAATGCGTGGGCGGACCGTATCGATCGTCCTCATCTGCCATGGCAGTAGAAGGTTGTGACGAGGACGGGAAGGTGATGAATGCAACTGAAGTCGCTCGCAGTCATATCAGCAAGACTTAGGGCGGGATTATGTTGGAGTAGAGAAATGATCTGGAAATGCCGAGGCTGTTCAGCTTATGTATGTCGCATCAGGCTGAGAATCGAAGGTTGCAGTCTTCATGCAGCCAATAGCCACAATACGAGCCTGCATATTGATGAACAGAAATCGTTATCCGTAGTATGCCCGGGGTTCCTCCTGAGATACTGATCCGCAAAACACATTCGGGATGAGGTGGTAAAGAGGTCTGACCGAATCTACGGGCAGCTACCTAACACTTGTTGAAGTATGAAAGTTGAGTAACAAGTGTATTGATGAGTTCTGAGGGATCTCAGGCTATATAGGAATACACTAGGCCTAATTAGGCAGCAAACAAATACTACTAGCGCTGCTTCTCTATCTTATAGCGCAGTAAGTGCTAAGAGAGAGCACCTTCTAACAGTTCTCTAACTATAAGTAGTAACTAATATACTAGCTCTCTATTAATAATAGCATAGAATAAATAAATAGAGAGAACTTAAGTTCTGCTAACGTAGTTAACGTTAGCATAGATAAGTTCTTTTAACTTCTCTAGCATAAGATGTAAGAGTAACTTAGTATAGATATCTGCAAGGTTATTAGCTAATAGAATATGCTAGATTTAGTAGTTCTCTTTAATAAATCTCTTATAAACGAAGTAGTAGTAAACGTTAATATATTTTAAGTAGTTACTAATTCTATAGTTCTAAATAAGAGCTAAGGCTAGCTTATTATCTACTATAAGTAAGTATAATAGATATTCTACGCTGCTAGGTTAATAGTTAGCGCTGCTAATAAGCTCCTTAATAGCTTATTATACCTATACTAAGTAGCTAGCAGCGTAAGAGGCTACTATATATTCTAACTTATAAGTAGATCTAGCTATATAGGACTAACGCTTTAAAAACTATAAAACTATTAACTAATTTATCTTTAGAATAAACTCTAAGAAAGATTTAGAGTTATTAGAATCTAAGCTAAATAACGCGTTAGTATATATAATAAAGCTTATCTCTTGCGCAGAGAGTCTATAGACTAGCAGAGAACTAAGCTAGATATCTAAGTTATAGGTTGCCTAGATATACTAAAGAGTTTAGTAGGCTAGCTTTAGATATAGGTCTAAAGAGTTTAAGTTATATAAACCTAATATACTAACTATATATAATAAGTCTAGCTAGCTAACAATAGCAAGAAAATTAATAGATCTAATAATTAATTAGTATAGCTTTTATTATTCTAGGTTAATAAAATCTATACTAAGAGATTAATAAGAAAATAAGTTTAGGTCTAGAGGTATATAATAGCTATTACATCTCTCTATTCTATACTAGCGTAGAATAGCAGTAATATAGGTTTATTAATATAGGCAAATATAGTCTGCATATTACTTAATCTCTAAGCTAAGTAGTAACCTTAGTTTACTTATATTCTAGAACTTAAAGCGTGCGCTAATTGCTAGCAGCATAGCGTTAATAGCTCTTATAGTGCTAGCTATTAATATATTATTAATATAGATACTTAGAATAAGATTATTAGATATAAAGATGCATAGATTAAAACTAGCTTAAGTAAAGTCTTATTCTTTTAGCTATTTAGATAGTATTATATACTATTTACGTTCTAACTATTTTAGGCTATAGAGCGCGCGTTAGATATAGATAATAGTAGTACTATTAGTAGAGATTTCTAGCGCAGGCTAGCTATAAATAGTATACTTTAGTACGCTGTTTAGATAAGCTGCGTTAAAGTCTACTTAATGCATATTCTATTCTTAGGCAAGAGCAGTAATAATTATAAAGCATAGGCTATTATATTATACTATTAGTAAGTAAGTATTATTATAGTTAATACTAGAGCGTTAAGAGAAGCCTTGCGCTATAAGTTAAGCCTTTTACTTAATAACTTTCTTTTATTTATTGCGTTTAATATTAAAGACTTAGCGTAGGCTTATAAGTAAATAGCGTAGAGATAAGTTATAGATAATTTTCTATATACTATTATTAATATATGCTTAGATTTTCTATTTAATAAGTAGCATCTAAAGTAATATATTAGTAGTACTAGTAGCTTCTGCAAAGGTACGTAGAATCTCTATATTAATATTTGCTTTTGTTATATAAGCATAAGCTTCTGCTATCTCTTCTTTATCTAGCGCAGATATCTAAATAGTAGATATATATTTATTCTATAGCTTTTATAATAGTTTAGAGATATAGCTAGACTAAGTTATAATAATAAGCAGCGCTATTAGCTTAGTAGTCTTAAGTTAGAATAATTAGTTCTTACTTAGTCTAATAGTACATCTTTTAGCGCTAGTAATAGATAATAATAGCAGAGATTATAATAATTAAAGCTAGTTTCTCTGCAAGTTATACTCTGCAGACTATATTAGTAGCATATTCTATAGTAACGTAAGGTCTAAAGGTATACTTAACTTAAGTTAGCTAGTTTAAGACCTTATTATAGTAAGCAGAGTTAGCAATATATATAGTATCTAAAAATTATCTTCTAATAGTTTATAAGTTTTAATTATAGAGCATTAATCTTTAGATATTTAATATAAGTTAGAGATAGAAATATTATTTTCTGCTAATAGTTAGAAATATAGCGCAGCTTAATATTATTAAAAAGACTAGAACTATATATTCTAAAATTCTATAATAACGTATCTAGATAGAATATAGACGTAGAAAGTTTTAGTATTATAACTATACTCTATAAATACGCTTTCTTCTGCATAATAAAGAAGCTTAGCGCTAGCAGCATAAGCTTTAACTAGTATATAGATATATATCTTAATACTAAAAGAATATAAGTACTTAATTAATAGCTTAGCGCTATATAGTATCTTATATAGTATATACCTAAGCTTATTAGCTAAATAAAGCAAAATATTCTTAATAAAGGTACTTATTTACACTACTTTAGCCTAGAGAAAGAGTAGAAAATTAGAGTAAATTATAGCGCAAAATATCTATATAATAGTCTAATTCTAACGTTTAGGCAAGCTATTAAGCTTATAGTAATATAGTAGTATAGTATTATAGATAATTTCTATGCGCTAAAGGTTAGGTACTATAGTAAGATATTCTTCTCTATTATCTAACTTAAAGCACTTAACTATAAAGACTATAATATTTGCTAGACTAATTTATGCGTTAAACTATATATTAGCAAACGCAATAAAGTTATAGATAGCTTATAGAGCTTTAGACTTACGCTTAAGAAACTTTACTTAGAAGTATTATATACTTTAGCAGATAAAGAATATAAAGTAGTAAGCATCTCTAAGACTTAGTTATAAAAACTTATCTAAAAGATCTAAGTAGATAACTTTAAATAGCTTAAGCACTTAATTAGAGACTAGCATAGACTACGTTAGGCAGTAGCGCATAGACTTTAAAAGAGCATATATCTTATATTTAAAATTCTTAGGTTTCTTAAGTATAAGTTCTCTATTCTTATAGACTCTATTAGAGTTTAGAATATTTAGGTATACAATAGAGTAGTAGAACTTCTTATATAATATAAAGTAAGCAGTAGCCTACGCTATTAGTAAAGTTAGCTACGCAGTTATTTTAGTAGCATTATTATTATTTGCAGAACTTAGGTAAGCGTAGAATTTGCTATACACTAATATAGTACTAGTTAGCGCAGGTTTGCTACTTAATAAGTTATAGTATATAGCAGTATAATAAGTCTTTTTAGCTTAATACGCTAAAGCTTAGGTAGTTAGCGTAGCAGAATTATTAAGTTAGATTTAGATAACTCTATTAATATGCTTTGCTTATAAGGCATATATGCTATTAAGTATAAGGTAGACGTTATTTGCCTTACTATAAAACTTAAAACCTTTATATTAGATATATTCTTATAAGAAAAAGTAAGTATTAAAGAGCTTACTACTATAAAGGACGTTAGTTAGTTCTATAATCTTAGTAGATCTATTAAGTAATCTGCAGCGTAACTAGACTATCTCTATTCTATTAATAGGTAGCTTAATACCTTTAGCAATAGTAATAGTGCCTTACTTTAGTAATAAAGATATAAAATTATCTATATAGCTAGATATATAGCGTAAAGCGCTAGTATTAAGTAGCTAGATTAGAGATAAAGAGAATATAGAGATTGCTAAGAGCTATTAGATAGTAGTATAGGCACTTATATTATTAAGGTTATATATATGCTTTCTATTCTTATTAATAGACGCAGTCTGCGTTAACTATAACTTTATTCTTAGAGAGAAATTAGTTAAGTTAATAAGTATGCTAACTATTACGTAGGTAGCAGAAAAAGCTATAGACTTTAGTTCTACTATTATTAAGATTAGAGTTATTACTTTTAGCCGTTAGCTAAGGCATTATTACTCTTATATTACTTTCCTAGAACCCTTTATTGCTACGTCTCTTAGCTTATTAGTATATTCTTCTACTATTACTTCTTATATTTGCAGAGCTTTATTGCAGTTAGTATATATATATTCTATAAATATAAGGGTTATATTTCTTATACTATATATATTTAGCTAAGATAGCTAGCTTTAGTAGTACGCTACTAGATAATTAGCTAGCGCGCATAGCAGTTTTATTAGGCAGCATAAATAGTTAACGCGTTAGTAGTATTAAGAGAATACTTCTCTAAGATATTAAGAATCTTAGGCTTAATATCTATAAACTTAGTAATATTGCAAGAACTTAAGTTATTAATAACGTAGTCTATTATATCTAGTAATATTATAAGAAAGAAGAAACTCTTAACTTTATTTAACTTAAATATTACTTTTATTACTTTTATAATAGTCTAAGTAGAACTAGCGCAGCGCTTTAATATTTATATCTACTATTAATAGAACTTATTAAAGTATAATTATAGGTTATCTCTATTAGTATATCTTAGGTTTATTAATAATCTAAAGAGAAGAATTAATATATTGCTAGTATCTTAGTTAAAGCAGCTTCTAAGGTACTTCTATATCTTAGAAGCAGTTTTGCAGAAAGTTACTAATATAGTAAGATTATTATATACTAAGAATAAGAGCATAACTATTACTTTATTATTATTAGCTTCTTACTTATTAAATAAGCTATCTCTATTATCTGCGCTAGCAGCGCTAGTAGTAGTAGTAAGTTTAGTACGTTTTGCTAGATATAAAAGTCTAGAGGTTAGTATATCTAAGAGCTATAATCTATACTAAGCGCTATTCTATATAGTTATTACTATATATAAAGAGTTTAAGTAGTAAGCTTAGATTAAGCTTAAATAAGAAGCTTAATAATATTATAATAGTAGAGGTATAAAGCGTATAGATAACGTAATAGCTTTAAGTAATATTATATAGCTATAGAGCGTAATAGCAGTTATTTTATTTTACGTAGTAATAGGCAGAATAGACGCAGTGCGTATTACTAGAGAGTAGTGCAGTAAAGTAATTAAAATAATAAGTAAGAGCTATTATAAGATATATATAGCGCAGCAGAATAGCCTAAGCTTATAACTTATTAAAGTATAAAAGTTAAGTAATAAGTATATTAATAAGTTCTAAGAGATCTTAGGCTATATAGGAATACACTAGGCCTAATTAGGCAGCAAACAAATACCACCGGCGCCGCTCCTCCATCTTATGGCGCAGTAAGTGCTGAGAGAGGGCACCTTCCAACAACACTCATGCTAATAGAGGAGCATGAAAGAGCCTCCACGCACGCAACGCCTCGTGCCCGTTTACAAAACCCCACGAAGAGCTTCGCTCAAGTACTTCTAACCAAAGAAGCCTCAGAGCAATGAAGTGATGACACACCAGTCAACTGACAACACGACGCGCAATCCGCAAAGTGCCGGTCAAGCTTACGCCACACATAGCTACAGCCACACTATTCCCAGCCAATCACACCATGACGCGGAGGACATGACGTCGCTCCCAGGAAATAACAAACAACTTTAATCGCTGCGTGTGACCGTGATGAGTCGTTTATAAGCTTCCGAGATCCTGCCAAGTTCGCTCCCAACATTTGACGTTGCGAACGGAAAGAGAAAGGGACACTCCATTGTGCGACTCCATATCTCGAAGACAAACATTGCAACACTCCCCTGCGCGACAACAACACGCAAGCACATCACTACGATACACTTCATCAAAGTCCACGAATTACTCCAAACCCATTAAATCAGCCTTTACAACCGTCAGGATGATAGGAACCCTCCTTCTAATCCTCATCACGATCTTCAGTAAGCCTCCAACCTCTAAGCAACTCTCTAATCCACGTCTTCTTCTCTTCCTTTCCCTCTACTTTACAACATCCCAACTAACCCACGCAGTCCCACCTCTAGGCGTCTTCCTCGTCGCCGGTTGCGGCGCCGATCTCCTGATCAACATCCTCCTCACATTTCTGGGAGTGCTCCCCGGCCATGTGCACGCGTTTTACGTCGAATACGTGTACGTCAAGCGCCGCGATGAGATTCGCGCGGGCATTTACGATGGCCGACTTGCGCCGGGCGTGTATAGCCAAAGGGTGCAGAATGGAGGACATAGGACGGCGCCGGCGAGGGTAGTCGTGCAGCCGGGCGTGGGAGTGCAACCGGGTGTGGGTGGGGGAGTACCTGCTCAGCAGGGGTATGGGACGGTGCACTAAAGGGATAGTATAGGATGAACAAGGGAAGGTGAACGATTTGGAGTGATGGAAAGGCTGTGGGACTGAACAATTGTGGAGAGTAAGGATGATAGGACTGCGGTGATGGACTGTGAGCTTGGGAAAGGCGTTACCTTTAGATACCAACATGTAATTCGACTCTTTTTAAACTGGCTTTCACTTTCCGCAACGGTGCAACACGATACGTTTCCACCCTTATGTCCACAATTTTTGTACATTTGTATTCGTACAGTACCTACTGCGCCACGCCATACCATGCCCTGCCATATGTTACACCACAGATCTTGAAAGTCTACCTCTTCTTCCCCCGTCCCTTGCTCTTCTTCTTCCCGCCCATTATCGCGCCCGCAGCCTTCTTCTTCCCGCCCTCGGCCGTCCCCAAACTCGCCTTCTGCCTCAAATACAACCTAACCACATTCTCCACATTGCCTCTGTCATGCTTGACCGTGCGCATGTACGTCAATCGCGCACGTCTCGCCCTCTTCGCCGCGCGCTGCACAACCTCGATGCCCTCCACCAGCGGACTGTAGATCTTGTACCACATCTCCACGCCCACGCGGGTGAGCTGGCCGCGCAGAAGGATCGCCGTGTCGATGCCGCGGCGCCGGATGTTGATGCATACCCCAGCGAAGGGGTCACCGGTGCGTTGGCGCACAAGCAGGATGTCGCCGACGCGCGCGCATTCGGGGTTGTCTTTTGCGAAGAGGCGGGTTCGTGCGCTGGAGGGGTCGAGGAGGGCGGTTTGGCCGGCGGTTACGGTGGCGATGGGGTTGGGACAGGTTTTCTTGATGTTGCGCTCTGGGTGGGAGAAGATGGGGATGCCGAATTGTCGGCCTGGAGGGTTCGTTAGTTTTTACTTTCTAGACATGCAAATACGCCACGACTACAGTATGATCAATCTCGCAATTGGTAGACATACTCAAATCCGTATTCACGCCCTTGTTCCTCATGGTGGGCGTCCACTTGACGGCAATTGGCTTCTTCGCTGGCCGCCTCACACGCGTGAGTTTTACACCCGGTCTGGGTATCCAGCTCTTCTTGTCCACCCTCTCGTAGTATTCTGGGTATAGCATTCGGTGCATCTTGACGTTCAATGGCTCCGAAATCTTCTTAAGTCGCTGCGTGGACACAATCGGTGGCTTTGCTGCCTCGACGGCAACAGCTTCGGTGCTTGCAAACCGTCGACATCTCGAGGCTTGTAATGTGGCACGGGGCACGGCGGCCCTCGTGCAGGATATGGCGGTCGACATTGGCGTGGCGGGTTGTCGTGGTTGATTGAATCGAAGTTCACAAAATCATTAGAGCGCCAAGCCGCCACTCGTGGGTTGGATGGAACATCGACAGCTCGCATTCACACGCTTACATACTCACTGCACATTGATGATTCACGGAACCGACTCAGCTCATTGATCGAGTGCTTCATTCGAAATGCATTTAGGTTACACACCCTGAGAACCGAAAATTCCAGCACCTGAGCCTACGGTCACCCGATGCGCGCACATCTCCCAGCACAAGTAGTAGAATAGAGACTCCAAGTATCAAAAGATCGAGATTCAAAACTTTTCCATGCTATGCAAATCGCCCGCCCTAGGTATTACGCAATGCATCCGCCCAACCCAGCCATAAACACCATGCTTTCAAAGTAGTTTTCGTGATCCGTCACCAAAGCGGTCGGACTCTCGGAAGTTCGCATGTCCCCAGCAGCCAATGCATGCCGATCAACACGTACGTCGCCGTTATCGCACTAGATGCATGCTCCAGTATTGAAAGTGGAGAAGACCAAAAAACACCGCCGAAATGCTTCCAGACGCCGTTGAAAATGGGGAAAGCTGAAAAGGGAAGTCGTAACCGTTTCACAGCCGTGCTTGGTTGAGCTGCTCGGTCAGGGCCGGGACTCCGTTGCAATGCTGGATAACGTCGCCCTGTCCAAAAAAAGCCCAGAGGTCAGCAATTGACTTGTTCAAAATCGATCTCAACCTCGCGCCGTGGTGTCTCTACCTCTTGCATCCAGGTCAGGCCGTTGGCGGCCTCTTCTACGGGAAACACTTCCTGGGCGTACTCTTCCATTGAGCGGTTGCCCTCCCACAGTTCGAGTGAAACTTTGGGAACGTCGGGTTCAAGATCTGGTCCAAAGTATGGCGCTCCTTTCTCGCCCAGAGTGTACTCCAGGGCGGATAGGTGCTCCCGATAGCCGGTAGGCGTAGGGACGTTGATCACTATGGGGCCCCGCTTGTACCGGACGGGTCGTCTTAAACCGTTGCTAAAGGCCTTGACAACCTCTTTAGGGCTCATCGAGGCGAAAGCTAGAGGTATCCTGAATCAGTCAGTACGTAATCTCGACAACCACGTGTTATGCACATATGCAGCTTTGCCGCAGCTCAGGCAGAAATTTTTCAAGTCCCGTGGTGGCTGTGTACGGCCATGAGGTGACGATACAAGCCCACCAGATCAAACCATTGCGGGGCGTGGGCGCTTGATGTGGAGACTGGATGCAACTGGAGAAGACGCTTACCGCTTGCCGTTCCATTTCCGTGGTCCTTCCTTAAAGAGTTGGAATATCGCTGGTCCTATGTCGTGTTCCGAATCCAGCCAAGGAAGAGGCTGATCGGGGTGGAAAGGTGCTTGCCATACAAAACTGCCATCATGCTGCAGCTCCATGCGGAACAGAGGGAAATCCAGGCTGGTGAAATTATTATGGTAGATGCCGCAGTACACAAACGTCGCAGGCAGACCAATCTGGCGCACGTATTGCTCGACGGTAAACTTTGGCGACCACATTGGCAGGGCTTTCAAGTTGTGGCCAAAGACGGAGTGGTCAGGCATGCTCGAGTAAATGTAGTGCTGGATCCCGGCCCTCTTTGCAGCGTCGGCTAACGACCGACCAATGGCAACCTCGTCACCCCAATGTGTTGTATTAATGAAAGCGCATTGCGCGCTCCTGAAGAGATCATCGATGAATTTCTTGTCCTCGAGGCGGCCGATGTAGACGGTGACATTTTCCAGCTCGGAGAGCTCCTGTGCGACTATGCCGCAGAGGTCTCTCATCTGGGCGCGCACCTGCCATCCCAATGCGGCAGCCACCCTAATGAAGCTCGCCGACTGTCTTCCATTGCTGTTGATGGTAACGACGGTTCGTTGCATTCGGCCGAATGAATGGATGTGAATGAAGAAGGAGAAGAAGAGCAAGAAGCGCGAGAGAGGCGGCGAGGTGGTGAAAATTCAGAATTTTCTCTCTCGTACCCAGCAGCTCCGATAGTGAAGGTAGGAGGAGAGGTCGATGATATACCAAGCGCAAACCTTGGAACAGGGCTAAGACGCAATGGAGCCGTGCTCTTGGGAAACTCGGCTAGCTAGGCTTGCAGCTCCGTGGCAGTCGAGTGAGCGATAGCAGATAACGGTGGTGTGAGCCTGAGTGTTACGGTAGGGATGTTTTGCGTTTGCGGGCGGGAGTCGGAGGGTTGCCGCAGTTCGGCGCACCAGGCAATAATAACGTGCTGGCAGCGCACAAAGGATTTGATATAGGAATTCTGATAGCGCGACTGAGACCGGAACACGTGATTCAAGATATGCAGGGTGGAGCAGAGGGTCGACAGTTGTGAAGGGAGCACGCCACAGTACGACAGTTGCGGTGAGCTTTTGCCCGTATGTATGGTAATGGCAATGCAGCGCGGACGGACCCTGGATAGCTTTTTCAAACTTTTACGTGCTGGATTGCTGGAAGCTTCGAGGCCTTGTGAGTGAGGCCGGCTGTTCACGGAATGGGAATGTAGGACAGTTGCACGGCAGGTGTGGTCGCTGGATGCGGATTGTGTTTGAGTGCTTGTAGCTGTTTAGTTGGGTGTGGGCGCGAACAGCTTCACGATAATGTGCAGCAACCACGCATTTCACTTTCACGGCCATGACGCCGCGGCGGAGATGCCAGGAGAAACACAAATTCGAGCCGCTCTCTGTATGACTTTTTCGGCCCAAGTTATGCCTCGTCATTTGCGCTGCTGGGGAAAATTACCTAATAGCGACCTATAGGAACGAATGGCAGGCGGAGGGCACGCCAACAATTGCACTGTGAGCACCTGACCGGACCCTGGCTTCAACAGGATGTAGCAATTAGTACACAAGTCAACGCAATATGCTCGTAATGGGCCACTCTACGTATCAGGACCTGGTCTGCCGGTCCACTGCTCGAAAGATAGCAGACGCTCCAGCTGCGTCAGCTTGAACAGGTAAAGTACCACTCGCAAATGATCGGCCCTAGCCCGCAACGTGCACTATCTACAGCGTACAGGGAATCATGGTACCCTAGTCTGCCAGACCACGCTCCACTTGATCAGAGTCTTCCTGCGACGCAGACACGACGGAGAGGGGAAAGGCGGGACTGCGGGGAACACTAATTCCAGGTACTGGCGGACAAAATTGCCGATGCACATCGCGACGACTCCATGGCCGGTCCGGCGTCACTGGCGGCATCCTCCATATCTTGTCACGACCGATCAGGGTGCCGCCTGCGAAGAGAACGTGCCCTGATGCGATTTGGAAAGCGTATGCGACATCATGGCTGTCAGTTGGCTTGGCATTTGGTAACTGGAAACCAAGCGCCCGCCATCCACAAACTTAGCGTTCTAAAAATTATCCCTAACTGTGGATCTAAACGTGCATCTGAATCTTACAAACGTATCACTCCACTCATGGGAGAACGTGGCCGCTCCATGCTAAGCTTTCCATGTGGACTCGTCGAATCGTGCAGCAAGGCCTCTACCCCAGATGCGAACCATGCCCGATATCCAACACCGCATCGATAATGAGAACGCCATCAAGTGGCAGCATTACGTTTCGCGTAATCCATCCGAATCAGTACTGCGTAGGGAGACGTTGCACATGCGCCTCGGGCTGATCGTAGTGCATCACCGGACCCTGGACGGGATGGGATGGCTATGGCGACATAGCGAGCCGCCATGCGTCAGTACATGGCAGTGTGAAGAAGGGCGTTCCTGGCTGCAGCCACTTTCCAATGTGCATCGCAAAAGTCAACCAATCACCGACTCCCACAGCCCAGGCGCGCCGTCGGCTTCGGACACGTGCAGCCTCGCCGCACTGACTTCATCAGAATGAAGATGAGCACCTGCATCGAGCAGTGTCTGTACGTGGTCCTTTAGCCCTGCACTCGCCGCCAAGAACAGCGGCGTGTTGCCGGCGCGGTTGCGGAGGTGGACTGACGCGCCCTGGGTGAGGAAGTCCTGCAGGATCTCGACGTTGGGCGACGTTGCTGCAAGGTGCTGTGTGCGGTCAGCAATGTACGCAATCTCGCATCATTGAATGGGAGAATCATTGTTCCATGGCCGCCTGCAGAAGTTGGCCTCAAAGATAAGCGACACCTGCGTCGTACCAGCCTGCTGGGCCTGAGCTGCGCGCTGTATGGCTGCGAGTCCAGCTGCCGACGGCTCCTCGTCTCTTTATCTTTGCTGAGCACGAATGCGTTGCACCGTCTCACCTCGCCAACCGCAACTGTGTTGCCTTGAGATTGCTGCCGATACCGGCTGACGTAGCCGGTGCCGCGGTGCAGGAACATTCAAGTCATTCTTGTCTGCTGGAACCGACAGGTACAATGATAGCAACGACGCCGCCGACTGGCTGATCTGATAAGGAGATATTGCATCACTTACCACTGGACTGTTGAGCTGGTAGTCTGCGTCATTGAGCAGCCAACGAGGCTCGCCTCGAATAATGTCTCGAGTTCCTTGCAGGTCGCCCTTTTGGATAGCATACCCGAGAGCTGTCAAGCTGGATAACTCGGGAGTCAACACGCCGCTTCGTGAAGGGTGCTCAAAATGTGTCCGCGTGGTCTCGGTCAGCTCGCCCCGTAGAGACTGTGACATTCGCTTCGCGACCTCCTCTGGCGAAGCGTTCGGCAACGCAAGCAGGTAAGCAAGCTTGGTGAGCGCTGCTTCCGAAGTCAGATCCTGCCCGAAGACAACACCTGCCCGACCGAGATAAGTGCCTGGTGCGTACAGCGCGCTCACGCTGCCGCTCAGACATTGTGTAACATTGACGATGACAATGCCCCTCTTGACTGCGTCTGCCAGGATCCGTGTCATCGCGCTGTCCGGCCCGCCGGGAGTGTTGCCAGCCCCAAAAGTTTCTAGGATGAGACCTTTAAGGCCGTCTAGTCGGAGCACTGCATCTAACATTGCGGGTGTGATGCCGGGGAAGACGCGGAGACAGGCGACATGACCTGTATCCAGGCTTGTTTGTATGGTGAAGGGACTCAGATCGGTTGATCTATGAACCCTATGCCATAGTACATTTGTCTTGGTGGACGAGACTGTTGCGAGTGGTGGAAGGTTCGGGCTTCCAAACGCGTTGAAATCCTCGGCCGAGATCTTGGTAGCTCTGTTCCCCCGAAACAGCTTGGAGTCGAAGAATAGACATACTTCCGGGATCATAAAATGACCTGCTATGATGAGGGAGTTGAGGAGATTGTCTTGCGCATCTGTCTGCAGCTCCATCATCGGTGCCTGGGAACCAGTGAGAATGACAGGTTTCCCTAGGTTGTGGAACATAAAGCTCAGAGCTGATGCGGTGTACGCCAGAGAATCTGTTCCATGGAGGATGACGAACCCGTCGAAAAGTTGGTAATTTCTCTGCACTGTCTTTGCAATCTGGTCCCAGCCAGCGGCGTCGATGGAGCTACTGTCCAGGAGTTTCTCGAATTCGAGTACGCAGTACCTCACACGGCGATCGTATGTGCTTGATGGTGTCCTCAGACTTTGGACTGCTTTCCGTGTGCCCTTGTCATCCGTGACTATTTCCAGTGGCTCTGGATAAGACCCATCGTTAAAGACAGGGCGAGGCGCAAGTCCAGCTTTCAGGAATCCTCGGGCTGGAACCAAGCCATCTGCAGATTTTCGCATACATATCGTGCCGCCTGGTTTTTGTCAATCGTAGCACTTCAAGTATGCTGAATCCCACCTACCTGTGATGATGATAAGCACCCGTGATTCCGGAATCTGCAGTTCACCAAATTCGTCCATCGTGCACGCCTAATAGAGAGTCGGGAATATTCGGCTAGCAAAGTTCTTCAGATCCTCCAGATGGTGGTTCTTCTGAAGGTAGACACAAGTGTATGAGATATCCGATACACTTGAGCCTCTTGGCAAGGGTTCCTAGGATCTGCCTTTCGAGCTGTAAAGAGTGGTCTTCCGCTGTATCGTCGCAGATGGAATGCGCAATAGTAGGCCGGTTTTCTCCGATCAAGTCTAATTCTTTCTTTTCCCCTCACAACTTAGCTGTTCAATTAATTCCTGTACAACAACAATTCATACCAAACCGCGCAGATCGTACAACAATGGAGGTTCACAAAGTTGTCACAAAAAAAACGGGTACGAAAGAAATGTTAGTGGCTCGGTGTGTCCCTTCCAGATAGGGCCGGCACAAACAAAGCCTTCCAAGGTTTTGACGAAAATGGACCCCACATGCACGTATTTCTGTTACCCCTTCAAAATCAAATTTTCCTCGACAACGAAGGCAAAATGCGACAAAGTGGTCCGATAGCGCTGCAGGTTAGGTGGTGATGCATGGCATGGCTTGCGTCGGCTTAGCATAATTTGTACAAAGTGCAGGGAGGGAGAGGCGCATGTGATGACATTATTTGAATTATGACGAGAGGTTTCGTTAGCGTCTAGTGAGAACCTAGGTATGCTGAACTGTACTAGGACAACAGCATCTCATGTACAAGGTACTGAGAAATAAATGTAAGAAACCCGAGCTTCGGAAGCGATTCATAGTTTCGGATCGCGGTCACTCTTCGTTTAATGTAGTCCAACAAGCGTAAGTTGCATTGTAGTACCTCAATGAATGCGTTGAAAGTATTTCTATACGACGCGTCAGGACAGATGCGATCTCAGCATGATGATCGTCCAATTACGTTGCAAGAGTCGTGTTGAATACTCACAGAAACCCCGGACTGCAATGTTGCAGCTCAATCAACCAGCCAGCGCTGCCGACTTTGCTGCATTCGCTCGAGCTTTCTCCAGCACCTTGGCCTCTTCCCAGTGATCCGTCACCCACGTAAGTAGACTTGCTAAGCTTCCAGGTGCCATCAGGTTGGTCCAGATTGCAGGGTCATCGAGGTTGGCTTCAGTGGCAATCCTGGGTTGGCCGTTCTGAAAGAACACCCACCGTCTTAGCGACTTCAAAGCGAAGTCTTGAGACGACTTGCTCGCTATGGGGAGTACGGTTCGGATTTGGCCCCACAGCGTCAGTTCGTTTTGCCTAGACATATGCTCCGCAATTTTCTGATTATATTTGGTCTGCTTGCTGAAGTATTTGATGGCTTCTTCGAGGACTTCTTGACGTGTCCAGATCGTCGACGCGTTCTTTTCGGCATGAGCTGGCATGTACATCCTCAACGAAGCGTCTGTACATCGGTCTCTTTGCTTGCCGCGATCGATCGTTGCTTTTTTCAACTCGACGCTCGAAGACTGCGGGCGCGAAGAACCGGCCATTCGATACCCAGTCGAAGAGTTCAGTCTCATCCCTAAACCCAGCCCAGTACTTGACAGTATCAAGGCCATAGAACTTCATAGCTTCGTTTGGGTCCCTTGTGAGGAACAGCTTCGCCTTTTCCTTGTCGTAAGGTTCAATCTGTTCAACTCGCACATAGAACCCTGTATCGGTGCACGTGAGACCCAGGGCACGGTGTGATATCCCAATGATCTGCATCATATCTGAGTCGCCCTTGATGAACCTGGTCCATTCAAACAACGCAGCCGCATCAGGTGTGCCGTCGCCAGGTGACAGTTCGACATCGATTTGGACATGTGCGCCGGCTATTTCCGGGTGTGGTATGGCGAAAGACGTCGAGCCACCATTGTGCTGTTCAAGCTCAGACCCCAGCAGAGTCTTGAGTTCGTTCCAAATGTCGGTCTTCGAGTGACCCTGGACGAGGAAGTCCACATCTCCATAGTCAGCCTTAGCCGGGGCATCGCGAGGTACCACGACTCTATCAAAGATAGTATCGAGCTTTGACTGATACTCTACCAAGACTCGGTTGTAGATTTCTGGTGACATGCGAGGAACGGCTAGATTGGGGAATGTGTTGCCGCCCATAGTCGCTGAGGAGATTGGTCAAGGATGTGATTGACGATGTTCCGGGTTGAGGGGGAGGGCGCAGTGTAAGAGATCGGGGAGAGAACAATTTGGGGTATAGATCGATTGTATATATACTCGGGGGCGGACATGCACAGCCACAGACTCTTTCTCGATGACTCCTCTGCATAAGCTATGAAGCTTGCCTTCTGTGAAAGGCGATGTTGAACTTCGAGTAGAATATGACTAGCGGGATCTTGGTCGTTACATATGAGAAAGCACTGTGGACAAGGACAGCAAGGCGATGGTATAAGTGGGGTACCTTTTAACAGGAGGCAGTAGTATATAGGTAACAGGCCGACGCGTAGACTCGAAAAAACTCGATTTTCCGCATTTCGAATGTAGCTCAGTAGCTATTGTTGGCAATCAAATTGTAATGTAATCCGAATGAGTGAATTCTGCGTGAGATGAGGGATCATAGGACATGCTAAGTAGTGAGGTCCTTTCCATGCTTGCTGCGCTCGCTTGCTCTCATCTAACTCGCAGGTGATCCATATCACACTGTTCCCATATCAAACAAGGCCAGGAAGAGAACCATCCAACAAGTTCCCATATCAAGTCCTTCGAATCGGGCTGGAAAGTGATGGGACTGATTGTGTGGAGCAGCAGCTCGAAAGTGCGGGATGTCTCCACAGTGGAGACTCTGACGTCCTATGGTCAGTGCGCTGATCCCTGTCCAAAATTTGGGTTGAAGATTCTCAAGCTGCACAAAATCGCAATAATAACACACCGCTCTACACTATCTACTGTAGAAACATTGGTGGAAGTGAGTCGCAAAATAATCGCAATGCTTCTGGTCGTGTACTAATCTTTTTTTAGTCAAGACGAATTGCTCGCACAAATGGCCGAATTGCAAGTAGAATCCGAGGAGGTGCTCATGGCACGCTTCGAAGAGCTCAGCGTCATTGAGACCGAGTTCGAGGATGTAGAGCTAGAGATCAGTACGCCACGCTACAAGCCTTATTGACAAAGGCACTACTAACAATTCCTAGTCCGCAAAGCCGAAGCTCTCCATGCACCCCTCTACACCAAGCGCGCCGACTACATCAAGAAGATCCCACATTTCTGGTCTCTTGTGTTCGAGCCCCAGGCAACCGCCCGAGATCGACAACTTCATTCAGCCCTCCGATTCGAAAGTCTTTGCCGAATGCCTCGACACCTTTGAAGTCTCGCGTTTTGAGCTCGACGACCCCCAATGGCTCGCCGCGCAGCTTCGCGCTGAAGTTCGGCTTCAAGGAGAACGAATACTTCGAGGACAAGGTGCTGGAGAAGAAGTTCTGGTTCAGGAAGTCGAGGGACTGGGCCGGTCTGGTTTCGGAGCCCGTGCAGATCCACTGGAAGAAAGGCAAAGACCTGACTGGTGGTTTGACAGACGCAGCGTTCAAACTGGGTGAGGCAAGGAAGAAGTTGAACTCAGACTCGTCTGACATGGCTGCGAGAAAGAAGGAGACAGAGTTGCCAGAATACAAGGAGCTCTCAAAGAAGATTGAGACATCGTTTGAATCCTCAATCAGCTTCTTCGGCCTGTTTTCTTTCGTGTCGGGATACCGGTGGATCAGCGCGGAGGAGTCGGCGAAGGCTGAGAAGGAAGACAAGGAGAAGCTCGAGAAGATCAAGCGTGGCGAGAAGCTCGACGAGGACGAGGATGAGGAGGAAGACTCGCAGGATTACCAGGAGGTTGAGGTCTTCCACTGGCGGAGACGAGGTTGTCACCATCATTGCATGAAGACATGTGGCCAAACGCGATCAAGTACTACAGTAAGTGCTTTGAAGGCTCGAGGCGCAAACACAACTAACGAGTTCACAGAGGCGACATTCGATGAGGAAGAAGACGATGAGGATCTCTCCGACCTTGACGTCGAAGGCATGGACGACTCAGAGGTGGAAGCCATGGTTGAGGACGACTCGGACGAGCAAGAAGTCGACATTCGCGCACTAGTTGGCAAAGGTCGCAAGTCGGATGTAGGACCACCTGCCAAGAAGCAGCGCAAGAAGTAGAGCTGCATCTATGGACCTGGTATCTATCCTGATCAATACCACTTCTATAATGTCAAATGTCATTGAGTAACGCAAGACGGTCTTGGCACTCAATCTAATTGTGACACTTGACTGGCTACGGCATAGCAGGGCGTGTTTGGTTTCATGTGACGAGGCATAGCTCATGTCGTGTTACGCCAACTAAAGTTAGCACGTGTGGCAGAGGGATGGCGGAATAGACGGTAAGGAAGGGCTTCAGGGTGCGAGGTTTACTGGCGGCAGCAGCGGGCGCGTGAGGTGTTTTGGTGTCGAAGCTAGGCCATGGCTTATCGGCGGCGATTAAACCCATGTGACCGCGGCGGGTCGACCCGGGGCATGGTGATGTGGGTGCCTGTACATTGCATGCATGCAGGACACTTGCTCATATACATGCACTCTTGCTAAAGTAACACTGCTTTGTGTTCCAACCATACCAGCCAGCTGCTCTGCCGCCGTCATCGTGCTGGCTGACTGCCCAAGATCGTGCCTGCCAAGTTGACGCATGAAGGGTAACGCTTTCGGCACCGAGCTGTAGCCAGCCTCCGCATCTGAAGGCGACCAGCTACTAGCACGACCAACCACAGCAGCAAACACGTCCTGCCGCCCTCCAACGGCCATCTCCAGACACTCCCTGCCCTAGTGGAGCTACACCGGAGCTTGTAAGCTTGCAAGCTTGTAAGCAGGCCCCAGCGCACCGACCGCGCGCCGACATCATCTCTCCGCTGGCCATCTCGCCCATCGTCACCGCCGTCCTAGCACGCTACACGCCTCTCTGCCACCTCTCCGACCGCTTCAAGCTCTTCAGCACCCCCCGCTACAGCTCCCCGAACCCCTAATCCCTTTAATGGTCCCTGCATAGCCCGAAAGGAAGCTCTTCAACGGCCCAGCGCCTCCGACACCCAATACCCGCGTCATCTGCGGGTACGTGGAGGCACACCGAAGTCCTGGCAAACGAAACAGACACAATTCCCCCCATCGCCCCCGCCGACCCATCCCTCCCGACCTCCCAAGCTTCTCCTTCCCATCCATCCTCTGCCCATCACCCCGACGCCGAGCCCAGCACCAGCGCTTCCAACCAGCCACTTGCCGCCCCAACCGCACCGTCGTCTGATCTCGCTACAGCCGGAAAGCGCAGGCACAGTCTCTCCGAGAGCGACGAAGAGGCCAATCAGACTGCGCAAACAGGCCGGTCCGCACGCCATACAGCCAAGCGCAGGCGCAGGCGCACAACGCAAGGGACGATGCGCCTTGACAACAACGACGCCTCGAAACGATCACGATCACCCTCCCAAACCTACACCAACGGATCATCCCGATCATCGGGTCTCCGATCGCCTCGGGGCAAGACTTCGAATGGAGACTCGCATGCTCGGACAGAGAGCAACGGCTCGTACACGAATGGAGGTCCGGTAGCAAACGGCAATGCGGTACCGCCAACCTTCTACGGTCACGACAGGGAAGAGGTGACGAGGATACTGATACAGAGCCTGACGGATCTGGGATACCATGGCGCTGCCGGCACGTTGTGTAAAGAGAGTGGTTTTCAGCTCGAGGGACCCACAGTCGCGTCTTTTCGCAGCTCGGTGCTAAATGGAGACTGGACTGAGGCTGAAGAGTTATTGTTCGGCACGAATACGTACGATGGGGGAGGAGTTGGCTTGGACGCGTCATATGGGAAGTCGTGGTCCAAGTCGCATTCAAGGTCAAATTCGCAGCATTCGGGAGGGCTGACGCTGGCTGAGGGCGCCGATCGGGACGAGATGATGTTTTGGATGAAGCAGCAAAAGTATCTGGAGCTCCTGGAACGTAGGGAGTTGGGCAAGGCGCTCACAGTGCTTCGACAGGAGCTTACTCCGCTCCATCAAGATGTTGGGCGGCTCCATGCTCTTTCTAGGTATATTACCTGATCCTTTGACACGTACAGGGATGCTAACATTGGCAGTCTTCTCATGTGTCAGTCTGCAGAAGATCTGAGATTGCAAGCTCAGTGGGACGGGGCACGAGGCGAATCACGAACACAGCTGCTGTCAGAGTTATCAAGTATGTAATAACATCATGTATGCTTACTACCCTACTAACACATTACAGAATCAATATCGCCGAGCGTAATGATTCCAGAACATCGCCTATCAGTACTGCTGGACGATGTCAAGGACAGCTGGATATCAAATTGCTTGTATCACAACACCGCCGCTTCGCCTTCACTTTACCTTGATCACAAGTGTGAGAGAGAAGACTTCCCCACAAGGCCAGTTCTCGAACTCAAGCATCACAAGGACGAGGTGTGGTTTCTACAATATTCAAATGACGGCACAATGCTTGCTTCCTCTAGTAAAGACTCGACCATCTGCATTTACGACACCAAGACGTACAAAGTGCTGTATCATCTTGACGAGCACCAGGGTTCGGGAGTAACGCACCTTGCATGGAGTCCAGACAACACCAAGATCGTCACCTGTTGTTCACAGCCGGAGAACGCTGCACGGATATGGGATGTCAAGGTATGATTCGCGATGCCTCTTTTGAACGCAGCGCTAATATTCGCAGGCTGGCGTGTGCATCGCGTACATTAATGAATTCACATATCCATGTACCACAGCGGCCTGGACGCCGTCTGGCAAGCACGTGGTCATCGGATCGCAAGATGATAAGACAGGCTGCGGCATCTGGGACTTTGAAGGCCGACAGATTCACAACTTCTGTGAAGACGGTTCCAAAATACGTGCAAACGATCTCGCGATATCACCTGACGGCCAACGGCTCGTAGTCGTCTCCGAGAGCTCGATCGTGGCCTATGACTTTACAAGCTACGAGAAGATTTGCGAAGTACGATCTGACGACGTCAAACTAACAAGCGTCACCATTAGTCAAGATTCGCGACATATGTTAGTCAGTATGAGCCCAGACGAAATCAAGCTCATGGAGATCGACACTGGAGACACGATACGGACATTCAAAGGACATCAACAGACGCAGTTCATTATTCGCTCCGCGTTTGGTGGCGCCAATGAGAACTTTATTGTCAGCGGGAGTGAGGGTAAGCTATCGCGTTGTCTTCATACTTGTTTGCAGAGTTAACATGCGTGCTAGACTCAAGAATATACATCTGGCGCTCCAGCGGCCGCCTCGTCGAAACCCTCGAGGCCCACGTCGGCTGCGTCAACAGCGTCGCATGGCATCCCAAAGACCCCACCGTCTTCGCTTCCGCCGGCGACGACCACAGAGTCAGGATATGGAAACCTGCCAGCGCGCCACCGATACCCTCGAGTAGCGGGCCGAGCAATGGGTATGGAAGGTAGACTTCGAGGGAATCGTGTGAAGATGTGCATTTACTAGGCGCTGGTGGGTCTTGTATTGATGGGATGGGCTTGCATTGGATTGGAGACTTTTGTTATATTTTACTTCGATGGGAGAGAGATGATACACGGTTTATTGATCGATGCGGAATATTCATGATGTAGATTTCTTTGTGAGTGGTGTGGGCATAAGATTGAATCTTAAACTTTGAAGGTAAATGCGTCCATCTCATCTGCTGTTACTGAATCGGCGTGTATTTGCGCTCGCTCAACTGAGCTTATCCATTTAACTATCACTGCCCTGTAGTGTAAGAGAAGGACTCTAAATTGCAAACGGGCAGCTGGTAGATGCGATGTCGTTCGCATTGTCTCAGGGTGGAGCTCATATTCCGGGTTCATTTATCCAGTAGCTATCCAACTCTACCACATACGACCGTAGGGCGATGAATACAAGTTCTCCTGTCCGATTAACCAGATATTAAGGTACTGTTTTCAGGTTACGGTTGTCAGATGTTGTTGTTCTGAGGTGTCAATTAGTGTAACTAGCGACTGAAGGCGTTCGGCACCACACCATAATAGCTACTAGCTATACCTTTCACTTGCTACCAAGTTTCCCTCACTCGAAATCGACCATTCCATCCCCTGCGACCCTAACCTAATGTATACGCCAGTCCTATTTAAGGTACACACAGCCCCATACCAACTCTCAGACCACTCATAGGTCCGTAATGTCGAAGAACATGGGATTCCGGACTTTCGCACCTATATTTTCTAGCTTTTCCAGCCCACTCACCGGCCCATTAGGTTGTAGAAAACGGGCCTTCCCGCCCGTGTGCCTTAATTCAGATCAGCTTTGTCTCCGATTCGTTCGCAGTCTACCAAATCTGTGCTGTACTCGCAGGATACCATCTGAATTAAGACTAGAGTCGATTTCTGACCAGTTGAAGTTACGAGAGTCTCATTACATTCTTCCCGGGTCGGTTTAGTGTAGTGGCCTAGTTGGCGAACTTGGGTCTAGCTGAGCCGTATATTTAATATCAGCCTCGGGCGATGCTTCTTATGGGCATAGTGACTTCTTCCAAGGCTTGGCGTCCACCTATTCACGACTATGAAGCCATCGTGACATCCGAGACTTCTATATTTTTGCCAAAAAATAAGGCGCGCAGCTGCAAAGGCCTTGAAGAAGTGGATACTTTGCGAGTCTGGAACAACATGCGGTGAAATCCTACAGCTACACATACCTCGTTGGGCAGAGTCTTGAACCCTCAGACTTTCTATAAGAGCAGCTTATACACCCTCTATTGAACTGCACTGCTCTCTAAATATCAGTACAGGCAGCAACTTCTCTCCAACATTTCCGCAACTTCAAGCAACTTCCGCAACTTCAAACATCATGCGTTCCTTCCTCCCAATCTTGTCGGCTCTTGCCACAGCAACCACTGCTGCTGCTCTCCCAGCCCCTGCTGAACAACCAGCTGTTCCAAACCTCCCTGAAGGTTTCTTTGCGGGCTTCAACAACCCCGATGGAACCACTACGCTCCAGTTCCTCGACTTGAACCAAAACTTGACCTTCACGCCCACGGAAGCACCTGAGGCTGCCGGTCTGGAGAGGCGTGTCGCTGGGTCCAGTTGCTGGGGCGGCGCACTCGACTCGCAAGGCACGGACAGAGGCATGAATGCGATGCGGGAGCGAACCTCGCATACCCCCATCGGGCTCGGGCAATACTCGGACTGGCCCGCTTACTTTGGTTACAACAACCTTGGGGTATACGTCTACTTTTGCGTGAACAACGGCGCGTGGTTCTATCAGCATGCTTTCACCCGAGCGGACTTGGACGCCATGTCTGGGTTCATGGATCAGCGGTGTGGGGCTTACCGTGATGGATATGTCTGGCATAACGAGGATGATGCGTTCTTGTTTGGAAAGGCAAGGAGCGGCACCAAAGTGTGCCAGGGAAACCCAAGGTCATCTCGTTCAACTGCAAAGTAACTTACTATCTCGGTCATGGTACTAGCAAGATTGTTGACAATGTGGACGTGGAAGTTAAAGTTGAATACTTTTTTTGCATGTAATCTTGAAATGGAAATATCAGTGTCTCCAAAGCACGTCATATCCTTCCCTTTACCTCGTGTCTTTAACGTCTCAGATACCATTTTCGTGGCCACTTCTAGGCAAGTGATATCATACAGATGCGTCTTAATTCAGTGTGAATGCATTGCTTAGATTCTAATGAAAAGTGGAACGCGAGAAATCTTGCATGCTAAGCAGGACATGAACATGCGTGTAACCCCATTAAATTCGTGTCGCTACTAGAGTGTATTAAGACATAGCATGGACATATGTAGGGCACCCAGTCTTATTGTGAAAACTGCATTCATATCTTACAACAATGGCCGTTTCTTTCACATACGACCATAGGGCGTTGAATACAAGGCTTCCCGTCCGCTCAGCCATATTTAAGCAGCGCACCGGCGGATTAGTAGTCAGGTGGGTGACCACTGGCGAATCCCCGCTGTTGTATGTTTTTGCCGTTTTGTTTTGCTGTTGGGTGAAGAGGAGAGAAAGGTGGAGTCGTGGCAGAATTTTTAGCCCATGCTGACTAACACTGCCTAATGTAGCTAGGGTGCTAGCTAGTAAGTATCTAAATTAATATATATCTAATACTATCTGCTTCAGTATAGATGTGCTAAGGTTAAAGTTGAGCGTAGCTTTTCTTAGGTTTGTATCTTTGTCTGATCTGACAGATTTGGGATGCTGAGTACTGTTCATTTGTGTTGCTTTCTGCCGAAAACAGTAATCAGTTCTGTTCGGCCTGAACTGCGACTATCTATGATTTATGATTGCTCAACTTATATTATCGCAGATATGTGAGACATCCGATTGCACGTTACTAAGGAACTAGTGTCTTTCAGTAGTAGAGGAGATATAGATAGAAGCTATGAAATATCAGAGCAACATACGTCTCCTAGAATACTAAAAAGAGCTCTCCTGCATACGAACATTTCCCTAGAGACACGAAAATCTTCTATTATTGTATTCTTCTGCTATCTAACATCATAGTATTCTGCATCAGCCTCTTCGAAATTTTCAAATCGGCAACACAAACCGCAAAATTTCCCGTGAGACCTGCCACAGAAACATGGCTGGTAATCCGGGTGGCTGGAGTTCAGGCAGACAGACGCTTCGTGACGTCTGATTAGAGCAGCTGATCGATCCATTTAAATGGAGTCTCGTCATTCTCCTCATCTACTTGGGCATTTTCGAGGTGAGCGATCTAACCAGAGATTGTCTTCTGGTTCTGACAATACGCTTTCATTTTTGTACCATTGTTCTGGAAGAACGAACACAATTTTGACAGCGGTTCGCCTCGAACTATCGTGAAGATCTCAAGGAAGACGCAGCCAACAGACCACCAATTTGATGGGAAACTTCGTTCAGCAGCCTCTGGTGCTGAATAGCGGAGTGTGAATACGCGTGGATTATCAGAGGTTGTTGCCCTTGTATTGTCACCGTCTCGCGAGATGCCAAAGTCTGTGAACAATACGTTGCAACCGTTGACTAGGATGTTGGAGGGTTTGATGTCTTTGTGTCTTATTCCTTCGTGATGTAGGTATTCAAGTGCTGTTACCAAACAACCAGGGAATGTTCGCAGCAAGCGTAAGAAGTCCGGAGTAGGAGCTACCTCCTCCATGAACTTGAGCAAATCGCACTTCGCAACCGGTGAAATGATCATTGCGACATACTGTGGTTCCGTGTAGCTTCCTACGATTTGGACCACGTGTCTGTTGAAGCTTCCGTAAGATCTTAAGTTCATTTGCGAAGTGATGGAGACTGCTCTGTACTCGTACGAGACCAAGCCGATGGAGCAGCTTGCGAGCGAACGCTCGTCCTGTTGTCTTGCAAGTCACCTCTTCCACCTGTGCAGAGCCGCCAGTTCCAAGTATCCTAATCTTTTCGAACGTTATTTGGTTTTCATTTCCAAAATGAGCATCCCCTCCGTTCTCGCACGTCACTGCAGCTGAATCTTCTGTTAAGACGCAGTTTTGCGTCTGGAGAAAATCTACTCCTTGCTCTTTGTTCATGATATCTTCCAAGTCCTGCTTTGAGAATGGAAAGCTCAAATAGATTACGTTCCGATCCTCAATCAATGTCTTGTGAAGTTTTCCTAGCCCAAGACGCCGGAGGACTATGTAGAGGCGTGGATTCAGTCTACAAGCCCCGTTCTGCGTCGATAGAAGGAGCTCTGCTATTTTATCAATCTTTTCTTCTGATTATGTACGCTGGTTTGGGCTATTGGCCGGAAGACCATCGAATACTTGTCGAGGTGCTGTTTGGAAAGGTGAGGTCGTTCCTCGAGCTGACGGCTGTTTTCTCGCAAGGGCAGACTTTGTGGCAAGAATGGAGACGCTTTCGGACTGAGTGTTGAATTCTCCATAATTGCAGCCATTGGCAAGGCTAGAGTTTTTCTCGGTGGGGCCAAATTCAACCTCTTCTCTAGAAGGATTTCCTCCACCAGCGCAGACTCACGCCACATTACCTCGAATGCGGTATCTTTCTGCCCAGCTTGCTTTATCGCAACATAAAATTCTTGTGCTGATGTCTCTGCTTCGGCTTTCCTCTTCATGCTATATGCTATTCTGGTATTATGTTGCAGCGCATAATCAACCCATTGTCGAAGGCTTAATGTGGCATTTAGAGCAAGGAGGTATTCTCAGCCATATTCAGTGTCTCCACAAATATCGATGACACCATAGTATAGGCGTTCTGACAGAATCGTAGCGGCCACTGTCCAGGCAGAAGGAGGCGAAAATACAGTGGCGGCAACTTCTATACTCTTTGGCGTGAGTGCTTGAGTATCAAGATCTCGACCACAGTCGGAAAGTCGTCCTCGGTGCAAAGCAAGCCATCTGATTAGATATTCATTGATCTCCGGCACGTTTTCGCTAGAAATTGAAAAATATGGATGTGTTTGATTGAAAGATGGTGATTGGTTTCGAAGTGACGCGGCAGGCTCCACACTCCGAAGACTTGATATCATTTGCACACCTGGATCGTACTTATAAGCCCGCCACCGCAACTGTAGAGATGAACTGGAACTGGGCGTTATAGGAGGACGAGTTCTTTACCTGTCCCATACAATGGCATCACCTGCCAGGTGCCCTGCTGTTCCCGAGTGTATCTATGAGATGTGCCCATTATCTCAAGCCTGATATCAACGATATCGAAGGTGCAGTATTGAAGATTTACGCAAGAGTCACATGAATTGACAAACTCTGGTCTTATTGTAGGTGAATCGAGGATTTAGAAGATTGTAGCAACTTTATGGGCAGGAACCTTATCAACTATAGGTAAACGTGGCATTCAGTGGCTGGGTCAGTCTAGGTAAACTTACACTTAGCCTTCCAGGCAGCAGCGACCAGGCTGAGTCCAAAGATTGCGGCGACCAGGCTGAGTTCGAAGAGTGAAACGACCAGGCTGAGACCGCAATCCTTACTGGTGTAGAAAGATGAACATAAGGAGACGTCAAGGCAAGTCAATTTTATGAGCCGACACATGATTGCGGATCTTTTGGTTAAACGAGGTGCGGTCGGAAAAGATTTACATTTAAGATATAACTCTACTAACATTGCAAGTCCTTTTATCAACACTTGTAACTATAGAATCAGCATCAAGTATCAGCGCCTGACCGCTTCTCAGTATGCCATGTTGGGCAGGACTCTCCTTAACTTCCGTGCCCTAACATTTGAATCACTCGAGAGGACAAGCTCCAACCTCTTATTGTCGTTCACTCGTATCCCAACAGCTTCTCGATGCGTTTGCATGGAATTTATGCCCACAGATATATGTCCCAAATGCTCCGTAGGTTTAGACTGTAACGCCAGGACTACAAGCTCGGTTGCCGAATGCCAAGCCGTTGAAGTATGACCAGAGACAAGCATGTATGTGATATACGCTACTGTGGCTATGCAGTAAGTCGTGATAACGATCAACGACAGGCGCACAGATGTTGACGAGGTTCCATAACCATAGCCGTGGGCAATTTTGGAGATATACCATTGGGTCTGTTGGTCGGTTTCGGAAGATGGATCGGAAGACCACTGCCCTGCTTGCCAAGAAACCTCTGAAATGACCGTGGCAAGTGAAACGGCGAGAGAAAGGCTGGCGTCCGAAGAAAGTGTCAAGTTGGAGAATCTCGCGGATTTGAAGCTCGGAATATCGTCCCAATCAATAGTGATCTGGCGAGCATCTTGAGTCATTTTAAATCCCAACTTTGCAAGCGGAGCTGTCCGGACTTGCTGGAGGCCACCGTCACTTCCGATCATTTCATGTTCAGAAATTTGCCAATAAGCAGAAACGGTGCAAGTCAAGAAAGTAGGACAGGAATTTGTTGTTTGATTTTGATGATGAAGAAGGGCTGAGATCGGATATGATTTCGAGCCAGATGAAGATGCGCAATGATCAGTGATGAAGTTGGCAATATATGAGGAGAATCCAGGCTCTGGCGAAGCGTCCCATATTGGCAGCAAAGAGTCGATCAGTGTATTTGTTGAGTTAGAAAGATCGACATGTTGTTTGACAAGATCCTTAAAGCTAGAGATAGTTCCTGTAGAGTCTCCATCATCCAGAAAGTAAGTGATTGGCGAGCTCGCTTTCAGCTCCGACATATTTCCACATCGTGCCACAACCACTGGGCGTGGCAACTTAATCGATGTGGTCTCGTTGCTAGCAACGTCTATAGACAACGTATTCAGAACTCGTGTACTTAGCTGGGTAGGAATAGTAGCAATCGTAAGATCACCCTTGCCTATATATTGCAAGGCTCGAGGTATTATAGAGTCTCTAGGGACATCTTTATTATTGGAATAAGTCTGGATGATAGTGGATCGTGACGTGGTCAATCCTCCAACCTTAAAGTTGTACGTTGCCTTGAAACTTTCGAAGTCGCTATCTCTAGTCAGTGCTTTTCCAGTGGATCAATGCTCAGTATCTTACTCACAGCGTAAGATTTTGCTTGGCATCTAGATGAGACAGGAACGTGCTCTCGAAAGTACGTGTTGAACCCCAAGGATACATGAAGCGCAAACTCGATGATCCAGGACGAGGAATCATGAGAGTAGCGCTCGAGGGTCCCACCAATGCCGTTAGAGCAATCAATACTGGTACTAGAACGACGAAGAGAACTTTTCGCGAACCATTCAAGGATGGAGATGTTATAGCACCCAGAAAGTCAATCGACCAGATATAGGATATGTGTAATGCTTGTGTGGTTGCAGAAAGAGCACCAAGAGGTATAAATCCTTCGATGGCTTGTGCACGGATAACGCATAGGACGATCTCGACAATTGATGTTTGCATGAGGAGTTCGTGTAGTTTAGCGACAAATTGTAAGGTGGTAGAGAGATCAAAGGATGGCCCCACGAAGTATTGACTCCAGTGAAGTATAAGCAGAGTGATCGCGCCACACAGTGGAACTAGGTGGAGTAAAGCATGTCCGGTTGCTACAAGATGACTCTGGCGTAGGGCAACCTTTTTGTGCTCTATGGGCGACCTCCATGACTTGAACGGAGCGAGGGACTGGAGCTTGAAAAGGCGAATCAGATCTTTGCCTTTTGACATTGGTGACTGTTTAGAGCTAGTGGGAGACTTCGAGCTTGTTTGATCTGTATGAGACAGATTTGCGGGTCGTTTAGGCTATCGGATCGTGTATAAGTAGTGACTTGGTCTGGTGCTTCGACTCGCGATACGAAGTCACCGCACAGAAAAATTGATAGAGAAAATGGTGAGTATGCTTCTTATGGGTAACAGACGCGCATTTCTAAGGAACAAAAGGCGGAAATCCTAGAGGCGAAAAGGGGGTTGACTTTGACCAGGTTCCGAAACTGTAGGATTGCGGCACCGCGCTTGGCGCAGCCTGCTGGGATTGTTTGTCGCACAGAACATCCATGGAGGCCGTAACCGAGGCGGCTAATGCAAGCCTATCACCTGTCTGAATATCCACGGATGAGTTCGTCAGCAGCATTAGATTAGTTGCCTTTCGACTTATCTCACGCATCCGCTCCATGTTGCCCGGGGAGATTACCAGGAACAATAATTCTGGCACCTTTTTTTGAACTCTTCGATGAGTGTCCACGACCTTTACCTTGAGCTGTTATGTACCTAGTTAAGTGGTATATTGGCATCGTCTCAAAGCGTCCATCTATAGCACTATGAAGATGATAGATATAGAGTAGCTGAAGGACTGTAACTACGGTATTGTTGTCAATAGGTGTCATGGGACAACATTTGCTGCAGAGCTAGGATGCGAGTGAGGTAAGACAGCTGTGAAGTGGAATGGCTGAGCTTCAAGCAGGTTACCGCCAGTAGGCATAATGACTGCAGAGCCAAGACATAGCTTCAGTTATGGTCTTCACGGTTAGGATCGACGTACCGTAGTCCTCAATCAACATAAGACTATTTCAGCTCTCCCGTACGCTCAATCACCCATGCAATTTAGCTATGGACCTGCGATATCAGCCCCTGTCGACCTATTGATGGATGGCCTCGCCCCATTCCCTGTTTCCCCTACTCTGCTCCCCTACTCCCTGCTGCCTGGCTAGGCGTACCTCCGGAAACCAGAATTTTAGTGGCTTTCGTGGTGATCGAGCAAGAGACAAGGCTTCCCGTGCGCTCAGCCATATATAACCAGCGCGCTGGCGAATTAGTAGTCAGGCTGGTGCTATAGAACACCACAAGACAACCGACCATTGTCAGGAGAGTTGCACTACACTGTTTGAGAAATACTTTCCTACGAAGAATCCCTGTCTCTCCCCATTTTACTACACACTCATTTCAACAGTCCGCCTCGCGATATTCCGCCCATCAACTTCCACCCTCGCTCCATGCCCCTCATACTCCACGCGCACCTCCATATCCTCCCCAGGCCAAAGAGTAACGTAATTTTCACTCCACTTCACCGGCAACACATCCTGCCCTTCCCCATCTACCAAATTCATCCTAACAAACACTGCGGGCACATCGCTCTTGTTCACAAGCCTAACTTTCTTGCCGTCAAAGGTAACATTGAGATCCGCCTTAGCCATTTTGGCGAGCGCGGTGAAGTTCGAGTACGTGGTGACGGGCGTATGGTACCAAGTTGAGTTGTCCCAATCCATCTCGTCGAGTGTGGGCGCGAGCCAGTACGTGTTCGTGTCCAGGACGTTGTCTCCATTCTTGAGTTGCAGGCGTAGAAGGTTGACGTCTGTTGCGTTTGCCAGACTTCCGATCGTGGCAACCTTGACGGCGGCGTTTGGCTGCGCTTTTGCTTGAACACTTTTCTGATACAAAATGCGGCCGTAGAGATCGATGACTTCGACATCCACAGTGCTGTTGAGTGTGTTGCCAGAGGCGAGTTGACGATCAACAAGATACACCGCGCTCTCCTGATAGTCGTACAGAACATGCTTCCCCTTCCCCACCGCGCTCTTCATCCCAAAATACGCCCCCGCAGGCCGCATGTAGTAGTCAAACAGATTCCAATGCAAGCTCGGCCACGCATTATTCAACATCCAATAAATCGCGCCGGTCGCTGGTCGTTCCGAATCCCTATTCCACCTCGACAGATACGCCTCGAACTGTGCCCTGGTCGCTTCATAATCCATCATCTGTGCCTTGATCAAATAATCCGCCAAACACGTCGGCTCCCCATACCGCGCCCACAGCGCATCATTGTATATCTGGCGCGTGTAGAAACTCGACACGTTGGTGCTCATGTGGTATAACCCCTTATTCGGGTCTTTCCACAAATCCTCCATGTCCTCGGTAGATAGGAATTTCGTCAGGCTGTTGATCTCGGGTGTACCCACCCCAGCACCGAGTTCTGATCCAAACCCGCCCGCCGCACCAAGTCGCTGCTCGCCATCATACCAGTAATTCGGCGGCACCCAGTCGTACGGGCCGTCCATTTTCATGCCGCCGTTGCCCAGGGCATCAGGGGCGCCGCGCTGGGATGCCGATGCGAGGATAGGTGTATCCCAGTTCATGTCTCTGAGTGCATCAACATAGATTTGTGTAGCGCGGTCATCAGGCCAAAAGTCACTGCCGACCAAAAAGCCTAGGATGCTTGGGTGTGCTTGCATCATGCCCGCTTCATGGCGCATGGAAAGATTCGCAATGGTATAGTCTGCGTCCGACCATTTCTCCCCCGAGCCCTCGTCGTTGTAACTCCAGCCTTCCCATTTGTCGCAGCATTCCCAGCCGGAGAGGAGCATGAGGCCCATTTCATCTGCGAGTGCGTACAGACGCGGATGTTCTTGCTTGCCTTCGAGGCGGATTGTGTTGAGGCCCATGGCGAGGGTGGATTCGAATTGGGTGCGGAGTTTGGATTCGTCGAAGCGCAGGAATATGTCGGAGGTGTAGCCGGCACCGAGGACTTGGAAGGGCTGGGCGTTGATGAAGAAGGTGGTGTCGTTGTATATGGTGTTTAGGGTGGAGGTGACTGTGCGGATACCGAATTTGGTGGTTGTGGTATCGGAGGTTTGGTTTTCTCCTTGGATTGTTGCGTTGCACTGGACACTGTAAAGTGGTTGGTTTCCCCATTGCTTTGGCCACCAGCTTTGCGGGTTGGGCACCGTGGCGTTGACTTTGAGCTCTTCTTGCGCTCTGGGTTTGAGGTCAAATGCAATTTCTGGCTCACCAATCTTCTGACCATCGGGGTCGTACATGTAGCATTGCAGAGCGCCGATAGCAGATGCATTCTTCGCGAGATTCTTGACGTCCACATAAACCGTGATGTCGCCGCTGAGCATAGTCGTCACACGTGGTGTACTCAACCCGACCTGTCCCGATTTCTTCAACTCGACATCTCTCCAAATACCCGTTCCATTATCCGGCGGATACGGATTCCAGTCCACGAAGCCTAGTGCAAAGTCGCGGTTGTAGTCGGTTGGATACACTTTGATCAATAAGACGTTTGTTTTGTTAACGTGCAAGGTGTCAGTAACATCGTATTCCAAGCCACCGTATGCTCCAGCCTGAGTGTTCTTGTCTGCAACACGATTGCCATTCAGATAGATCTCAGCACGCGAGCTGATGCCGTTGGTTCGAAGGGTGTACCAGTAGTTACCCTCGATAGCAACTTCAGATTTGATTTCTGTGCGATAGTACCATGGGAGACGGAACTGGGCTGCATCTATATTCTGCAAGTTTGTCGAGTAGAAGAGATCGTTTTCTGTGTGGACACCGTTCGCGATGAGGGTGGCCATGAGTGTACCCTTTGAGGCCTTGAGATGGTGCCATGATGAAGTATCGATGCCAGGTAGTGATAACCTCGTGAGATCCCCCACGATGTCAGCAGATGAAGTGACGCGCCATGAATCAATGGGTTCAAAGGGGGCGGCTAGGGTCAAAGATACGGTGACAACAAGGGCCAGGATCCATCGCCCAACAGCGGTTCTTAACGGCTCCATCTCTCAACCTGAAGATCTCAGCAGGTCAGGAAGAACACATGGAGAGCAGATCGCCCTCCTTTAGCCCTTCGACGGAAGACATAATCTGACAGCTGCATCGTACCTGCATCCACCCTCATGGGACAATGCAGTGTAACCCTCCTGATGGAGATGATCCCGTGTTTGCAAAAGCGCCGTTGTAGGCATGATGCTGGCTGGCGGCGGGGATCATCATGCAAGGTCGATCAAATTGAATCTTACTCCGTATGCCAAGCACAGCTAAGACGGAACAAGCCGTCCGTGTTGCTGTTCACATGAAGTGAGATGAGCAGGTGACAAGCGTAACATCTATTACGTACCGAGCCACCACATCAGACCATCTTCATCACTCTCTTTTGCTTACAGCTTCCAGCCCCTCCTCCGTGCCATACCCATCTCTTGCCTGACTGCCAAGTCCGCAATGATCTCTTCACTCCCGCCTCCCACGACCATCATTCTGAGGTCCCTACTCATTTGCTCCACAATGGCTCCAGGCCCACCCTTCTGATATCCAGCGCCTCCAAAAATCTGCTGAGCTTCGCGGTTCGCCATCTCTGTAATGCGGCCCCCATGGACTTTGGCAAGCGCGATCTGCCCAGCTATTTCAGGATCCTGCCATCCAGCAGGAGATTGCTGAATGTGGTATGCAAGCTGCTCGAGCCATGCCCAGTGAGACTCGACGTATCTGCCAATAGTGGCGAGTTTGTGAGCTATGATTTGGTTGGAGAGGATAGGCTTGCCGAAGGTGTGGCGTTTGGATGCGTAGTCGAAGCTTTCACTGAGACAGGTACGGGCTTTACGGTTGCAACCAATGGACATGATGAAGCGCTCCTTGTTGAAGTTCGTCATGATAATCTTGAATCCCTCGTTCTCCTTGCCTAGTAGATTCTCGACAGGAACCGAAACGTTGTCGAGTTCGACGAATGATGCGCCGCCGGCTTTTTGCCCACTGTTCTCGATGCGACGCCATGTCAGGCCTGAGGAATTCGTTGGGATCACGATGACGGAAAGACCTCGGGCGCCAGAGTCGGGCGAGCCGGTGCGAACGGCGGTGGTCATGTGTGTTGCCCAAGGCATGCCCGTGATCCATTTCTTGTAACCATTGATGATATAAGACTTGCCGTCCGGGGATTTATTGGCGGTGGTGAGAATATTGGCTACGTCTGACTGATACCGAATTAGCTTCAGCTCTTAAATGTAAGTCAAGATATACGCACGCCGCCACTCGGCTCAGTGATGCCCAAACAGAAGCTGGTCTCCCAATCAAAGAGGCCTGGCAGCCACTTCTTCTTTTGCTCCTCGGTACCGTGGTGTATGATTGGCGGTGCGCCAATCACACTTGCGCCAGCCAGAGCTGTACCGACACCGCCCTCAATCCGGCTTCCTTCGTCGGTAGAAATGAGGAGATGGAAGATGTCCATTTCTCCAACCGGTATGCCGGCGGGGCCTGGTACGTCTTTTGGCCTATATGGCTCTGGAACATCGCCAAATGGGAAGCCTGTTTTGGCCCATTTCATGCGTTCTTCGACTGGTGCTTCACCGTTCGCTTCCCACTCCAGCATATACGGTTTGATGTTCTCGTCAATGTACGACCTTAGCGCATTGCGCAACTTCTTGTGGGATTCATTGTAGTATGGTGACGCGAGGGAGCTGTACCCTGGGAAAGTATTAGCAGCAGTCAAAGCGCATATCTGGTGTACATACACGAAGGTTCCGCCCAGGGGCCCAGATTGCCAAAGGTCTCCTTCTTTTGCGGTGCTTCTACAGAGGAAAGCGACACAACTGTCTTGGGTGCTGGAATCGCCATTGTGATACTTGGGAAGTTGGTGGAAGCATGGCTGCGTCGCGTCTCAAGTGTCTGGAGGTGATGGTGGAGAGCTAAGTCGAGATGCCGCGGTTCGGCGGGTGCGTGTTCGCGTCAGTGCGGGGCTGCTGCATGCGCGTTGCGGGAGCTCTTTCCGCAGCTATCACATTAGCCAAAAAGTTGCATCATCTTGAACATGATGCCGAGGACCTTGGATGATTCAGTAATAAGCTTTTTATTCTCCAAAGCTCAGTTCTAGCTTGTATTACAATTGGCGCACATGTAGCATGAATACATCACTGGAGGGTCGATGATCAAAGACGTTTGTTCATATCATAACGGTAATAGCTACAGGGAAGATAGAGTTGCTTCAGCATAACTCCCATGCTTGTTCGTAATGTATCGTTCGTCTGCGTCGTTCACACTGGGCGATGCGCTTATCGGACGGTGTAACCGCCGTCAATGAGGAGATCAGATCCCTGTGTCCGTTAGCTTTAACCCTAAAAGGCGCGTAGAAGAACTTACAGTGCAGTACGAAGATGCGTCAGAGGCGAAGTAGACGTAAGCGCCCTTGAGCTCAGTTGCCTTGGCATCACGACCCATGGGGATCATGGAGTGCCACAGCTTCTGGATGTCCTGGGGAACGAAGTCGGAAAGACCAGTGTCAATGTATCCGGGGGAGACGGAGTTGACACGGGCGAAGTCCCTCCACTCATTGGCAAGCGACTTGGCCAAGTGAATGCAGCCAGCCTTTGCAACGTTGTACGAGGCCTGCTCCTGGGGGAAGTTGGCAATGTGGCCAGACATGGAGGCAGTGATAACGAGGGAGCCAGTCTTGCGCTCGCGGAAGTGAAGACCAACGGCACGCGCGCAGTTGAAGGTTCCAGTGAGATCGGTCTCGATGACCTCGTTCCACTGCTCAACAGTAGCGTCGAGGATACCGTTGTCGGCCGTCTTGCCGGCGTTGGCAATGAAGACATCGACCTTGCCGAAGTCGGCTACGACGTCCTTGATGAGCTTCTCGCACGACGAGTAGTCGCCGACCTGGCACTTGTAGGCCTTGACCTTGACGCCGTACTTCTCGCTCATCTCCTTGGCATTCTTCTCAGCTCCGGATGAGCGCGAGTTGTAGGTGACTAGATAGTGTACATGTCAGCGTTGGGTCACAGAACTTTGCGCTGGAGCTGTACTGACTGGCAACATCAGCGCCGAACTCAGCGCATCCACGGGCAGCCTCGGTGCCAATACCGGTCTCGCCAGAGGCACCAGTGACAATGACGACCTTGCCCTTCAGGCTGAAGAGGTCCTTGAGCTCGGTGGACTGGGGAACTTGGATGGGCATTGTGACGGTTTGTGTTGGATTGAAAAGGGGATTGAGTTTGGGGTATAATAAAGTGCAATTGAGCTTGGGTTTAGAGTGTGAAGTGAATTGGGACGGAAACAGAGGGGCAGGAGGGGTTCAAGTAGTATTTGGCAGAAAATGGTGAGGCTTGACGTATCCTTCTGGTTAGTGAGGGGCGCTCGTGCTGGGTCTTCTGTTTATGTCTTGATACGTCATGCATCTAGACATGATAGGCCGATCGCGAAGAATTGCGGGCTGATAAAATAGTCTCCGCTGTTATCCTAGCCCAACAACGGGGGCTTTAGTGGATTCTGGTATGGCCGGCGAGCTTGTGACGTTGACAGCCCACTATGGTGTCGCGGGGCTCTGTTCGCCGATGCGACGCGTGAACGCATCCTTTTCCCTGCCTTTCTTCTTCTCCTACACCTCCACGCGTTATTTTCCACGCTGAAAAGCAATATGAATCCGACTTTGCTGCAATGATGCATAAAACGCCACGCAACATTCATACCTCCCAGTTCTATACGCGCCGAGCTTAGACGCTGTTCCCGCGGCACATGCCATCGTATGCGCCATGCATTGTCAGCGATTACCTTGGTGACAAACACATCTCAGAAGAGCTATGCTGGCAACCGCGAATGTGGCTTCCGCATAGCCCCGCAGTGCCGGGATGCATACACCAGTTGCAACCGCTTCGACGCTTTGTGAGGCCTGACCAACGACTGACTAAATGGTTCTTGGTGGCTTAGACTGTATTGTCGGGACCGGGAAGGCTTGTTACGAGGTATGAGAGGCATTATCCAGTGCTCTTCCCTGCGGAGTATGGCAACCGGCTGCGGTGCTGGCTCTTCGTCGCTTCAGTTGTCGCACGCAGTCGTGGTGGAGCTTTGGTACTAGGAAGCAATGGCAATAGCCCCGAGAATTCCAGCGCAATCCTGGAGATGGAGGAGCTACCCCGCGGCGCACTTCAGCTCGTGGGTTCCGCTGCACTGTCTGCGTATTTGGGGAGTAAGGTGCTCACATAATGGAGCTTCGCGGCGGAGATGGTGAATCAAACCGTCTGCACGACGCCGGCAGCTTCGGATGTCTAGACTGGCTTCCTCGGTGGGCTACGCTTGCGGCTCTCGGGCGTTTTCGTGGAACAGAATCCAGATGCACCTCTTTTGCATGCGGGTAGGCTAGCAGCTCGCTGCCCGGAGAAGCGCCAAGGAATTTCGTTCCTCCGCGTGAACACGTGATGGGGCAGGACCTACCCCAATGCGACTTTTCATGTGGATGCATTCCTGACACTCTATATCGCGCTCAGGTCCCCTGCATCCTCCAATACCACGGCCGTAGCTCGAATGTATATGTTAAACTAGTCGGTTTCGCCAAGATGCAAACAAGATGGAAGGAGCTGCGCACACATGCAGATGCGGCCGTCTGATTCGTGCATAGCGCAGGGCAACTTAGCCTCATGGACTCTCACCACCTTTGCTGCTCCTCCCAGTCCTACGTGCCCCTAGATTGCGACACGGAAACAGAGCCTCATCAAGCTCCAGTTGATCTATCTTACAATCTACACTCCAAGAGCCTCTAGAACACGTGGCAATGGTGCAGCACGGCCTTCTACCAAAACCTCTGCCATCGGACCTCCTCACCGTCGGCCAGCTCCTCACACATCCCCTGCACCCGGAGCGTGATTGCTTCTACTCGCAGGCCGCACACGAAGAAGTCGACGATCTCAACGACTACCACATCCAATCTTCGCTACAAGGATGTCTTCTCCGTCGACAGCGAAGGACGATTCATCACAAACTATGGAGCCAAGTTCGATCTGGGAAGGATATTCAGACAGCCAAACCTTTTGACGGTCAGGGCTGAGCAGATGATCCAGCGCACGAGTCAATCCAAGGCACAAGCCTTCCAAGCGGTCTGCAACGACCCTGAAGCGCGGACGTGGATATCGGAGCAGGTCAAGGCGGGCAAGCCACTCTACGTTGTGCTAGGCATTACCGAGCTCAAGAACGCCTCCTTCAAGCGCGCAAAGCTTCACGACGCAGGCGCATCGAACCGTCTCAACGAAACGCCCCTCGAGAACGACGCAAAGGTGCCCAAGTCCATTCGCGCTCGGGCAGATGCAAGCTTGGGAGGCATTGGCTCTGCACCCACCATATCAGGCGTCTTCGGCATGGACGTCCGACATGTACAAGCGAGGATTACCACACCGGCAGAGCCCCACAGGCTAGAGGATATAGGATACCACTGGTACTACTACGACGTCCCCGGCAGCTCCAGCAAGGAGCAGCTCATCGTGGGCTTGGGAGAGCAGCTCAAGGGCCAACGAGCTTCGTCTGATGCTCGACTTGAGCGAGGAAGATGTCCAGGGCAACCTTGACGCTATCAGCAAGCTCAGCCTGGATGCTGCGAGTGCTGCTGCGAGCCCAATGTTGCGACCCAGCTCGCCAGCACTACGCGGGCGCTCGCCTTCTCCACACCCAGGAATGCTGCGCGCATAGTAAGCCAGACTTCAACTTGGCTGATGAGATTTACGACATCCACGAGACTGCATGAATAGCGTTGGAAGCGAGTTTTTGTTTAGCACAATAGACATGAAAGCGTTTGGCAACGACACCTTTGCAGCCTTGTGTCCTTTTCGGTGTGCGCAATCATCATTCCTATCTTTTAAGCCTTTGTATCCTCTTTTGACGCAGTTCCCACTACCATGACGATCTCTTTTTCCTCAACAACAACAGTCTCTCCAAACTCGTCTTTCCTCTTCGCCTTGCCCATACTCCCAATCGTTCCAACCTCGATATCCGGCTTTGACGCCTTCCTCTCCGATTTGCAACTTCCCCCACTTCCATAAGCTTCTTCCTCCTTCAAGAACCCGAAAGCCACCAATTTGTTCCTAACATGTGTCTCGTTCTCCTCCTCGTAGAAGAACCCTGCTAATCTGAAAAGCCCGCGATGCACAACACTCCGCAGCGTCGGAATCGTCGCCGCAATCAGCGCAACCAACAATTCCAGATTAGCCCACAGCGTCGGCATGACATTGCCCCTGAAGAAGTCGTTCCCAGAGGAGTAGAAAGTGCTCAGCCCCACCGTCCGCACAATCGCAAACGTCGACGCAAACATCCCCAGGCCCATGAGTATGCTGAGAAACACCTTCTCACTCTTCGGCCGCGTCAACTTCCGGATAATGAACGCTCCTGGCGCCAACGAGAATATGACATCCGTGACCACGTGGATCGTGCTATACGCGATGATGTTCGCATTGATGACCTCCTTTGGAAAGCACTGCACCCCTTCTGGGCTGAACGCGAGCTCCGGCTGCCAATACACGCTGTACGGCCGGCACTGCAAGAATGGAAACAGGGTCTGCGTGATGACGGTTACGATCAACAGGCCCGCGATGCCGTAGAAGAAAATGTTCCAGCGGAATGAGGATTTCAGGCGCAGCAGCAGGAAGGTGACGGACAGCTTGACGAGCGCAATGGCCCAGTACCACACGACCTGGTGCACGAAGATCAGGAAGAGCGTGGTAGATCGGTCTTCGGAGGAGACGAATGCGGTGCGCCGCCCGAAGCCGTGGTGTACGGCTATGCATTGGATTGCGTAGAGGATTGTGGCGAGCAACTATCTTCAAGTTAGTATAATGGAGGTGAGGGGATGGGGTGAATATACAGTTCCGCTCAACACAGCCCAGTCATCTGCGCGCAGGTGATACCGCCTTGACCAGAATCTCGCACACAGAAGCAGTATGCATAGAGCGAGTAACGTCCCACCCAGGCCGAGTAGGAGAGGCGCTTGTGTGTCGTTGACAGGTGGTTCGAGAAGCTGTCTCTTTTCCATTCCAATCGACATTGCAAAATCGTCGAAAAGCAATCATTCGTTAGGTTGTTTGACTTTGCAAGGCTGCCAGCACGCATCTTAATGCCCTCCTCAGGAACCACATTTGTTATCCTCGAGCAATGCGTTCATGCGCGCTCACACGTTCTGTCCATCGAGTTCGGGACTTGCAAATACTTGTTTTGATGATCGACAGCTTGCTACATGTGCTGATTGGATGATCGACGTCGTCTCTTCCTCGTTGATTGGATGGGCGGTTTATGCCTTCCAAATTCTCCGCTGCCAGAAGTGTCAGGCGTGTTTCGAGCGAAACGGATGCGGACGGGAGGGGAAGAGTGCTGCCGGCTCATCAGATCATGTCTGTATCTTTAGAATTTGGCGAAAGTAGTGAGGTATTATTGTGAGGTATTCGGTCGTTTGGGGTATTTGGGATTGGAGGTTGCATGTGTGGTTGGGACGTCATTCATGGAAGCTGTTCGAGGCTGGATTTGGTTTAGCGCGGTTCTTGGGATCGTTCGGAGGTCACTTCCTCATGGTGTTGATGATGCTCTTTCGTTCATGTCGCACTGCATTGGCTAATTTTATTGCTCAGCATAGCTAGGTTCTTTACCCACCGCTTCGTTGGTCATGATGACTACCTATGCGCATGCAGGATGCCGCAGTACAACGTCGCCTGTCTGACACAGTCAACATGCGAGTGAGTGAGATGGCTTGGGGCGTGGGGGAGCGGGAAATTGCCATGGTGAAGATTTGCTGTCGCTACTTCTTTCGAAAAGGTCTGGGTGGAAGCAACAAACAATTGTTCTATCTTCCATCTGGGCCAACGGCTCTCGTGTTCCAAAGACATTGTTCCAACCACATTCTTCCAATACTCCAGTTGCAGTCAAATACGTCAGCCTAGGTAATCGAAAGCGCATCGTCAATTGAGCACAAGTCGGTGTACAGCTTTCTCACTTTGCCTAACATGCCTGGTCTCCCAAAGAATCTTCTGAGTTCATATCAGAGATACAAGAACCACATGTAAGAAAGCCGTAGTCGTCGAAGCTACCTGGGTACAACTCAATGCTAAAGGTGACAAGGGATCAAATTGCACAATGGCTGGCATCCACGGCAAAGAAGCATGGATATGTCGCAAGTAAGGGGATAGGTGCAATAAAGGCCCCCAATCCCTACGTTGGACCTCAAACTTATACGGTGGCTCTCAAAGAGTGGTTGATACTTGGTGAATTCGTCGCCAAACAAGCTCCACCTATCATTGTACCAGCCAAGCTTGCAGATATCATCGAAGTTAGCATTAGGATTCGACAAACTTATAAAGAAAACATACCCGAAGACCCGGGCGACTCTGGAGAGGAGCGCATGGCCCAAAGTCAGAACACCCTCTTCCTCAATATGCTGAGAAAGTTGCGCCATATCCTCGAACCACTGCTACCAACGGAGCGCAACACGCCTGAGATATCAGCGGAGGTATTCAATCTTTTCGAGCAACTTGACTTAGAAGAGCCTTCCGAAGCCCTCGAACAGGCCCCAGACATCATACCAAGTCATGCTGCAAGTTCTGGGCCTATCTACATGGCTGAGCGACCTACAGACTTTGAGGAGAGTTCATTTGCCCTCCTCCTGCTTCTGCATGACCTCCACAAGCTTCGCGCGGAAGTCTCGACGGCCTGGTCTCGGTATAAAATGTGTGCTGAAGACCTTGTTGCAGCAGCTATCACTACCAACACCGCCGTAGATCTGGCTCGGTCAATGGCAGACGACATGAAAAGCATATTCTCAAAGCACGGTGGAGAAATTTGCATGCTGGAATTATGGTACAACGCCGAATGCAGTGCAGCTGGAACTTCGGAATCACACAGAGATCAGCCTGGGGACGAAATGAACGTGAAGGTATTCAACATCGCGAACATAATTTTCTGGTCAGCTCATCAACTACTCACTGCCTTTTGTAACGACCTGAGGCGTAATCCTTTCCCGGACATGAGGCGAGGCACCCAAGAATACGTCCCACAATCTGATCGCAACAGTAAAAGCCTCCGTGAATTGTTTGCGGAAGACAAGGAAATTCTCCTCGAGATGCTTCCAGAGTTCTTCTACTATTGCCACACTACGAAAGCAGATGCTTCTCGACCTCCAGTGGAAGACGAGTTGAGTCGTGGCCTTCGCACAATGTTCGAGACGAAAGAGGTCACACTCCCACTCGCATTCGCTGCAACCCTCTTTCTTGACATTCAGCACATACTTGACGACAGAGTTGATGAAGGCTTCAGGCGGATGAGTGATGCAACTCATTTTGTGCAGGCCAACATCGAGGAAGAACTCAAATTCCACGAAGGCATCGAGCTAGCAACATGGCCGAAAGAGAATGACATGGCAGTCCAGCAATTCGTTGACACCTTGCAATTTTGGTGCCACGAAGATCAGCAACTGAGTACCGCAATACGCATGAAACAACACGACACCACCGGGCCGTTTTTCCTGTATCGGAGACATCCATGGATGTGCGGTGTTTGGAAGTACTATGCTCAGATGCGCTTCCATGAGATCAGCATCGTCTTAGTCAATGCCTGGGACTCGATCATGTCGTGTGCGCATCTCTACAATGCGATGAGAAGAGGCACGCCGCGGGAAGCAATGTGGAAGGATTTCGAGGTCATGGCCGCGCCACAGGATGCGAAGACCTTCTTCCTCGGCGATGCACCAGAATCTGCAGACGACTGCTTGGAGCGATATGAACTTGCCATGGGCGCATCTGCTTTTAATCTTCCCAAATCGACGCGTAAGAAGAAGGGCCTCATCCATTCCAAAGGGGGACTCAAGGGACTGAGAGAACTTGGTCTAGTCCATCAGGCCTTCAAAGGTCGTTACTGTGATGGTCAAGGACAGACGGACCTGCGTGCAGATGACGTGCAGAAGATTCTGGACCATGCGACGTGGGAATTCAAGTTGAACGAGCAAGGCCATGTTGAAGATATCAACAAAGATACAACAAAGACGACCACCAACTTGCCTGTTACCAAAGTTCTCAAAATCATCCACTACGTTATCCAAGCAGAGGTGAGCGAGATTCTCTTCGACTACCTTCGTTTACACCGGCAGTGCTGGCGTTTGCTGCGCTTTGTCAAGGACAATTGCCGCCAAGATCTCATCAAACTGTTTGGCTCTGACTACATTACCAAGGAGAGTGAGCTTCCTTTCGTCGTGGGTTACGTGTTGATGTCGGCGGCATCGACGCAGGAGGCTGGCAGTCTACTGAAGGCAAGGCTGCCGGGTGTTTTGCCCACGAACAAGGTCTTGGAAGACGCCATTGAGGTTGTTGTGGACATGATTCGGGAAGGCGCTGGAGCGCTGATTGTAGATCATGTTTTGCTCAAGGGGCTTGGGGTGCATATCGACATCGAGTACCCTGAGGAGTGAAAAGGTGGAAGGATAGAGGTAGGATCTCATTCATACCGTTGGCCTTTTGGAAAATGGATGGCACGAGAGTACGGCAGTGTGTTCAGGTGGAATATTTGGGTCTGTCATCATGCGACGGAAGCTAGATTGAGTCCTCGAGACGATTTCAGCGAAACCATCTGTACGTTTCATCAAATATGGATCGAGACAGTATAGCCACCTGTTAGTAGTGTCAACTCGCTTCATAGACCGTGTGACATAATGCAATGCATCTGACATTTTTAATGTTGCCAACAAGACCAGGTTTCGAGTGACTTCATATGTATCCAGTCGCGTTTGGCCATTGGCGTCTCGTAACCATCGGAAATTTATGCCTTGTTATATGAACACGAACAAGTCTGCAGTCTCAAGATCTTCTGTCGCGACAACAATTGATTGTCTTAGTTGAATGCAGTTGGTGTTCCGCGGAGCTTTGTTCTGGTTCGCCTGGTTTGGCCGGTCGATCAAATTTGTATGGGATGCAACGGGCCTCGTCAACGACGTGTCCGGTCAAAGTCGAGGCAGAGTCGTGAAATTAGCATTAGCACTGGCAGAATTCAAGTGTTCGACGTTTCTTGGAGGGGCTTGGAGATGTCGGTAGACGCCGGGCGTGTTCTGCGCCTTCACCCTCTACACGCAGTGAAAGCATTGCGAGACGGCTCGTAGACTGCACGCAATACATGAGGTGCATGATCTCCGGAGTAACTTCCGGTTCTCGTGGAGATGGAACGCAGACAACAGCCGTAACAGGAAGGCAAGCCATGTTGGAGGTGGAGTGTCTCTGGATGATCGACGCTAGCAAGCGAGAAGGAATTCGAAGATCCTTTTCTTCGCCTTTCTCTACATAGCACTATAACGCATCATACCCTCGTGGTCAATCCCATATTATGGTGGAGTATGTAGGATCTACAGCCCAATTCGGACAACACACGTTCTCTTCGTTACACGGGTTTCTTGCCGTAGTATCGACTTCTTGCAGAGCCAGTTACCGAATTCCCAAGGTCACTAATCGGTCCTTTGCAAATCACCCATTCCATGAGAACTCGGGAAGGGTCTTTACAAAAGATATAGCCTGTCTAGCACGGCGCGCCCCGGAGGATCCCAACACACCGGGCATGCGTCACCGGGGCTTTGAGCGCCTCTTTTCGCACCACAAGCCGTTGAAACACGAATGAATATGACCTTGATCATCTGAGCCGCTTCCGCGACTGGATGAGTGTAATGAATGGTGACGCACATGAGCCAATAGCCGATTGAATGGGTTTCGCTGCAGGGGTTTGACTATGGAGTGGCTTGGTTGCGAGCACGCGAGTATCTGGGTATATCAGTAGGTGTAGATCGGTCCCCTATACAAGGCTTAAGGTTGCAGGAATCCCTCGTAAAACCCTCTTCCCCGGATATCTTTCACTTCTCATCGGCCCGTATACACAGTGCATGCTCTTCTCGTCAAGATGTCTGCTTCGATTCAAGACTTTCAGATCGCAGCTCTTGCTGCGGGGTTTACAATTGGCTTTGGGATCTTGACGGTATGGGAGGCCATCAAGCAGACTCGGCGGAATCGAAATCCTTTGAAGTCCGTGTATATTTACATGATCTGGGGTGAGGTGGCAGCGAATCTAGGCATTGCGATCATTGCCTGGCTGTTTTTGAACGACAAGTTGGGTCCTAGGTGAGTACTGCTCCATGTCCTGGTACTATACGTTCTGACGACGTCTTAGCTTACCGGTACTCTTCTTCATTCTATTTTTCTGGGTTTTTGAAATCCAGCTCTTAATGCAGATAATAATTAACCGCATCGCCTTAATTGCCGAGCACCGAAGTACCGTCACCAGACTGAAGTGGGGAACTGTGGCTGTCATCACGATCATCAATATCGCAGTCTTTATCATTTGGCTCCCGGCGCATACTGTTCCGCCAGTCTCGGAGACGTTTGTCAAGATCAACGACGTTTGGGACAAGGTCTCAAAAGTGCTCATTCTCATTGTCGATGCTGGGCTGAACTGGTATTTCCTCCAGACGGTCAAACAGAGGCTCGTGGAGGGGAATGGCTTGACAAAGTATCAGCCGCTTGTCAGCTTCAATGCAAAGCTCATGGTTCTCTCCATTGCTATGGATGTAAGTCACTGACATTGTCCGATCGTTCGCTATCTTTGTATTAATCTTGCATGTTTAGGCAATCCTGGTTGGCTTCATGTTCCTCAAGAATCAAGTCGTATACATCCAAATCCACCCAGTCGTCTATATCGTCAAACTCAACATCGAAATGTCCATGGCCTCGCTCATAGTTCGTCTCGCGCAAGGAAAACCCCAGAATGACATGTATCCCGAGGAGAAACTCCAAAGCTCATCGAATAAGGCTCCGCGCTCGCAGTCGCATCTACACTCTGGAAAACACGGACCACAACATGCACAGGTCCAATCGTTTCAGATACCGAAACGAGGATTGAGGGATGCACTGGACGATGATGATAGTGTGGGCAGTATCAGTATGCGTGGCATCCACTGTCAGACTGATTACAATGTAACGGTCGAGCAGACACAGTCTCTCGAGGATGTAAGTAATTCCAGGACCTCTTGGATTCAGGAACCACCGCGTTCGACTTCCGTTGATGATGCGCTACTGTGGAGGCGTAGTGCATAGGTGCATGCTTACCATGTATGATGTCGATCGCTAGCACTGTATTTGTCATACGACTAGTTATTTTCCAGCTACTCTATTGTCCATATTTGATGATTATTCAAGGAGATATATTCACTTTCGCAGAATTGATGGTCATGGCCTCACACTTAACTGACCAATGGTGTCATCGCGCTAGCGAAACTCCTTTCGCCTCTTTGTGGCGCGCCGTCTCTCAAACGCGCCCTCTGCGCACCCATCTCATTCTTGGTCGTTATCGCCTGCTGCGTACTTCTGGACGTGGCATCTAAACGTGCCTTATTCGATTGTCTCCAGGTCGTGCTTCAAAGAGGCTGTCAAGCCCACAGTATCATCTCGCCAAATCGTTTACGCGACCAGATCCGCAACAGTACTAGCGTCATAAGCAATCCTTCACAATCAGACAATTGCACTCCGTCCGCAGCCGACATAAAGCTTTTCAGACAAACTGCGACCTGGCGCAGGCTCAGGCCAGGAATACTCTTCATGCGCGGTCAGTTTGACCTGGCTCCACAGACTGTTACATGTACTTACTTTCGCGCGAAGCCTTTAGTGAGACATCTCCGAGCAGTATAAGACAGCGTGGGAGAAAGCGGCCAAAAGTTCATGAACGGCCTGTCAGTTCTGTGCCTGAAAAGCCAGTACCTGTCACTGCAGTTCCACAGCCAACCGAAACGGGTGCGATGGATAACATTTCGCCAGCAGCTATGTCTTTTGAGGCCAAGATTGCGCTTGCGCTACAGGGCTCTAATTGGCAGGCCCTTCAGCATCAGACTAGCAGCACTGAAACCAATAATGCTTCTACAATACCACAAGCAGAGGCCCTGGCGGAGGAAAGTGTTGCTGCGGAGCCAATAGCTGGGGTGGCTGGTATTCCTAGTATCCTACCCGACATGACGGCGAAGCAAAAGAAAAAGAAGGAGCGCTTTGATCAAAAGATCGCAAGAGATACGGGTGATGTACTTCAGCTCATTGAAGCAGACACCATAGCGCCTGTGGCTGAGGGTGTCACATGGGACCAAGATCCAGAGCTGGTCTGCTCATACAACTGGCAAGACTCGACAGATCAAAACACCATATTTGTTCCAGGCGCCCCAGGCAAATGGGCACCACGCACGATACCCCATACCCTCGATCCGGACACCGGGTTTCAGTACTCCGATTACAATTACGTACGCCAGCCTCGAACACCTTATGGGCCAATGTTCGCCGCCATGTCTACCATGAACCCCAACTATAATTTTATGTCCACGGACGTTATCTGCGATCGCAACAATCTGCGTGTTCTGCTAGAATTCGTCCAAGGCAAAGCGAATGGTCCGTTTAGACTTGACCTTTACACCATTTTCGACACGCTTGTCATCGTGCGGAACGAATCGAGGTGGTGGAGACATCACAACGCAGAGGGTTATGGGAGTAATTTCGAAAAGTTTTTCACCACACCCGCAGAGGGCATGGAAGATGCCACGAGTCACTACCGTGCTATCCGTTACCCACTGGGCCCGTTGAACGTAGTGTGCAGATTTGAGGCAGATGCGTACGACGACGGTGCTGCTTCTGACTTCCTGACCGAGTCGGAGAGGGAGGCGGTGGTCAGTGGAGGTGTCGCACAGCGGCCAACCTTCAGGTACAATTTGCCCATTCGCGTCTTGCAGAAGGGGCATATCGTACCTACAGCGCAGATGGTTGAGCTCAAGACGCAGCGAGCTCGGGACGAGTTCACGCCTGTGACCTGTCAAGACCAGCTTTGGTTTGGCCGCACCTCACTACTGTATACAGGTTCATATGTACCGGACACTGGCGTCGTCAACAGGATCCGAAACGAAGACGCAACGAAACGAATCAAGGCGTGGGAGAATAATAACCAGGAGAGTCTTCGCAAATTGGCAGCCTTACTTCAAATGTTGACGGCTGCCATGAAGAGACACAAACGCCCGAATCGTGCAGTCGTGTTGGTTAGGGAAGGCAAGGCTGGCCCATTGACGCTGAGAAGCATGGAGTCGACGAATCAGGCGATAGGAAGGGATGCATTTCAGAGGTATTGGAGACGCGATCCTGCACCACAGCAGTTCGGCCAGCGAGGTGGAGGAGGGTATACACCTGGTGGGCGAGGACAACATACGCCTGGACAAGGCTACCGAGGTCAGCATGGACATGCACAACGTGGGCAATATCATTTGACGCCATCGCAAGTCGGTCAGAGCTATCAGAACTCGGCGCCACGTGGACGAGGATATGGGAATGGTATGCGGGGTGGGGGTCAACACCACAACGCATATACTCCTAATCGTGGTGGCCGAAGTGGGCACGGGCGTGGAGGGAATAATGAGCAGGCGTTCAGAAATCACGGCACGGATCAGGACATGCAAGCAAACTCCTAGCTTGGTGCCTAGGTTTAGCTCGCCGATACCCACTTCCTTCTTTAAGAAGCTTGTATGATCAATATACAACTGACAAATGGTCCTCAAACGTCCAGATCTTAATCAACAAAAGCGGACGCTACCGCGATCGGCCGATAACGTGTCTTGTGGCACATTCTAAATCTGAGCAAGAAGTCATGGTTGTCAGTAGAAAATGCGTTGGGTGTAAAATTATCACGCCCGCTAACACTACACGATCACAAGACTGACTAGAACAACAACCCCACCAGCCAACACGGCTGACAATGTCGGCCTCAATCCAGCGCCAGCATCTTCCTTGTCACCTCCATTTGTGTTGCCATCACCCGTTGGGTTGCCTTCGCCTCTCCCAGTCTGTTGTTCTCTACTCGTCACACTTCCGGTGACACATTGACCCTCATCCAAACCACCATTGTTGCCAAACGCCACCGCTGCAGTCTTCTCCCACAGTTGCGTCACATTGAGATACATCTGAGGCTCGTACCAGATCCGACAGCTCGCAGTGTCATTCAAGAACTGCGTTGGGATGCCATCTTTCTCCAGTCCAGCGCGGATGTTATCCTGGAAGTTGATGCCCGCAGACTGCGCTGCGATACCGAATGCGGTCGGCAGGAACTCGGCCCAATCAGCTACTTCCTGTGTGCTCTGGGCGTAGTTTATCATGACTACTCTGGAGAAGTCTTGGAGTTGAAACGCATCAATGACAAGTGTGCCTTTTGTTCCTCCGACGGCAGCCATAGGACCGAGCTGTGGGCGACCACCAACAGCAATAGTGCGGACACCGGATTGCTGTACCATGAGTTCGAGGAAGATGGAGCATGTGCTGGCGCAGATGCCATCGGTTAGGATGACGATGTCCTCAGCGCGGAAGGGATCGTCCTTGAAATTGGCCCTACTGCCATAACCAGTTACAACTATGCCTTGCGTGTCGGACGTCTGCAGAGGATCTGAAAGGTTGTACTTCAGCAGCGTGGTGAAGTTGTCGTCGTTGAACCTGTTTGGAGGGTACAAGGCGTTCCAGTCGGGCACATCTTCAAGCTCCGAATTTAGCCATGCATCGTTGCTGAAGGGCGAAATGAACAAGCCAGCGTTAACCGAGCTGATCGTGAGAAGTGATGATATCCTATTCCCGAATAACTCACTGGCTCGATGCCCTCGCCATCGAGACTGAGTCTGGGGCTTTTGAGATGGGAAAAATTGAAGGTACATGTCGTATCCAGACATGACCCTTCCTCCGCCATTCGTTCGTGTATCTATAATGACCTTGGCTTTGCGCGACTTCGCCTCGGATATGAAGTCCTCAACCACACGCTGGAAATCTTTGGGATTGCCTTCTTCGTCGGAAATGTAATCCTGTACGGCCAACACGCCGACCTGGCCTTGTGCAGTGTTGATAAAGTAGCCCGCAATCATGACATCTGATCTCTTCGATGAGACGGATGGATCTGGATAGGACAATGGAAGCGTGCTCCGAGAAACTGCATCCGCACCCAGTAGGTCGGACTCGCGTGGGTTTTCGAGATGGTATGGTACAGTGTTCACGTCGCGCTTACTCAACTCCTGCGATTCCACTGACACGAAGTTCTCATAGAACGCGGTGCCATTGGAGACGTTCCTCCATGTCTCAGGATCCGTCACAACCGCCAAGTTCGTATAGTTCCTCGTAGTTCCGTTCTCATACGTTATGCTCGTGCTAGGTCCCGGATAGAATCGGGGGTTGATAAACGACCCAAAGCTGTCAGCCGGCTGCAGGAAGAACTGGTTGTTGTATTGCGTGTCCGGATCGTGATATGCGTTTGTCTTCGTTGCTTCCACCAGAAATTGGCCAATCTCTTGGTCGTTGATTCGAGTCACCGAAGACGGCTGGAATTTTGGGTTGGTCCTGTTGAAGTCGCCGAGTGCCCAAACCTTTGGTATCTCTTTTCCATCTTGTGATGCGGAAACAAGTGCAATCTGGCCGCTTCTCCGCCATCGGAAGGCGCCTGCGTATGCCATCCCGTTGAAAGCTAGATGGCCATCGTGGGCTTTGGCCAGCAGGCTCGCAATATCGGCTTCAAAGTCGTACTCATTTTGGTAGCTCTTCACTTTGTTGCCAATGTCGTCCAGACCGGCCAGCAAGTCTACTTTCTCATGCGGCCACCCCTTAGGCGGGTTCTTGAGGTACGATATAGTTGACTGGAATTGTATCATTTTCTTTAACGCCTCGATAGTTTTTGAGGCGTCCGTTTGAGATATCGGTACTGATTTGAGACAAGCCATCGCCAACTCTGCCGGTACACCTGGTGTGGACGCATCCGAGTCGGCGATAGAACTTGACACTTGAGCACATTCTCGATCGGTCTGGATAGGTCCGGATATCGTTTGTGTGAGCGTTGGCTCGACATTTCCAATCGATGATAGACTTTGAGCCGCAGCCGCAGCCAGTAGGGGCGGCACTGCCTGGAAGAACCTCATGTTGGTGCTTTTAGTATCAAGGGCTTCTGGGACGGCTATGGAGTTTTGTCCAGGTATGAGCCGATAGCGATCTGAAGAGGCTTGATGAAAGACTGAATCCGTCGCAATGCAGTACTCGTCGTGCACGCCAAAAGTGGTCGTCTCAGCTTCGACTCCAAGCTGTTATGAGTATTTTCCGTCTCTTTTGACCGCCCTGAGCTTAGGATTCATGCGCCGTGACTGCTCACAGACGATACTCGTAGGATACCCGATACGAAGCCGTGTTCTTTGTGACGGTGATCGTCCGCCTCCGAGAATACTCAGCAACAACAAAGGATGTGGCGAATGTCGTCCTTAAGGAACAAGGCACCACCGCAATCGAGCGTCTAGGAAGCCTGACCACGTATGAGTGCCATCTCATACACGCCTACGAAGGTCAGGCGTTCTCCTCTCGGTCCTTCACTTGGCATGGCGTGCGGCGTGGTGGCGCTTATAGGCGAACACCGACTCTGATTCGTGCTGTTTGAAACCCGCTCCATGTTTTCTGTCGCCCTACTGCACGAGGGCATTTTGCCTGGGAAATCCTGCCGCTGGTGTGGGGGCTGAATGAGGCGCAATGGCCTAGGCAGCTGCGGGACGGCCTTCGGAAGTGCGGCTGAATGTGACGAGACAGAGTGGATAGGCGCTGGCGAGTCATGGAAACCCATCTCGGGAAACGTTAATTGCGAAAAATCCTAAAATAGTATCGTATCCAGAACTTCAGTTATTTGGTCTTGTTTGCATCTTGTAGAGATCTTATTCCATTGTAGAGACGCCGACGTCAATCTTTACTCCGCTACGACTAAGACAAAGTGCTTCGTTCTTTCAGGCACCCCGTGCCAAGCGGTAACTCCCAGAGTGGAGATTGCCATTCAAATTCTACTTTATCAAGATACGAGAGGAGATTTAGCTCATCCAGCTATGGGTCCAGATATTGACTCATGGGTCATTCCACATACCATCAACGCGTAGAGAACATGGACGCCATGAACAGCCTTCAAAACGTAACATTATAATCTTTTAGTCTACACAAATATGTACGAGCAGCTCAGGCAATGCTATCTATCGCACAAGAATCGAACGATGCACTCATCACATTTGATCCTAATCAACCACCTTCTTACCCTTCTTCTTCGCCTCCAATACCTTGTCCTTCCACTCCTTAGCCCCCGCAACCGCTCCGTCCGGATCAGTTTTCTTCTTCAAAAGATAGCCCTGGATCTCAGCAGGCGAAAGCGTAACATCAGGAAGCTCTTGGGCGAATTTCTCCGCGAGTTCTGCGAGTTTCTCGGGTGCCAGCTCGACAGCAATTGAAGATGACGTGCCGTGCTTAGTCGAACAGTGTGTGCAGTCTTTGCAGGCATGCTCGCCGTCGCCCTCCTTCTTCTGCTTCTTCTTCACATCGTTGTCGGTACTGTACATGCGGGTAAAAATGGCGCGGATCTGCTCGTGAGTGGCGAGCGTGAACTTGGTCTGGAGATCGACTCGTCCAGGCCGTATCAGAGCTGAGTCTAACTTCTCCGGATAGTTGGTGGTCATGATCAACACTCGTCCCTGTGAATTGTTAGAGAATGCTGCTGCGTGATGCAGTTGGTCGAACTTACTTCAGCAGATGCGGCACCATCAATGACGTTCAAGAGGCCAGCCAAACTGATGTTGCCCTTTCCCTTCTTTCCCTTCTCCTTGATATTCCCCTTCTTTTCAGTCTTCTTCTCCACAGCCTCTGACGCGCGTGTGCGTTGGGTCAGTCGCCCAAGTAGTGATTTGCTATTTCGCTCGCTCTTCTCTGACTCTGAGTCTGACTCATCATCGGAATCTGTATCATCAGAGGACTCGTCGCGACGAACACCGGCAGAGTCGATGTCCTCTAGAAGAACGAGACAGCGTGTAGGAAGTGCATCGAAAAGAGCAGAAAGCCGAGACTCTGAAATATCGTCATCGCTGAGTGAAGCACAGTAGATGCCTAGCCCGAAAATACCGGCTAGAGCAAAAGACAAAGATGTTTTGCCGGTACCGGGCTGGCCGTGGAAGAGATAGCCTCGACGATGGGGGATACCTCGGGCAGCATACCATTGGGCTGTAACAGGGTGAAGGTACTCGTTCACATCTTGCACAATTTGCTTCTTTTGTTCCATGTCGAGTGAGACAGTGCTCATAGGCCGGGATGGACGTACAGCTTGACAAGTCCAGTATCCCTCGCTGCGCGTGTCTGGACGGTAGATCCACGTATTGTTGGTTTTCTTCCTGCGCGAAAGCTCTTTGATGTCGGCGAGCAAATCCTTGATGGGCTGCGTGCTACGCCCAATGCAGCGGATCTCGACATGCGACTCCCAGCGATGGTTGTACTTGTTCTCCTTCTCTCCCTTCTCAAACTGAATCCAGTGGCCGTTATGATAGAGCCTGTCAACGCCGAAGTTCGGTTCGTAGTGGACGGGCTTGACGCTAGACCACTTCTCGTAGTCAAACAGGCCTTCCTCATTGAGCAAATCGTCGTCGTCCTCATCGTCCGAATCATCGTATGATGTAACGTGAACGGAAGAAGAGGCCTTGAGGTCACGACTGTTCGCAGTAACCTGTTGTGTGGAAACCCAGCTCATGAACTGACTATAGAGTATGTCGTTGTCGTCGATTCTCACAGTGGAGGTGGCGTTATTTCTGGGTAAAGAATTAGCAGGAAATCTCGTAGTGGAACAAACGGCTACTCACAAGAAGTAATCGCAAGCCTTGTGCCATAACATAAGACCACCCTGGTAGAAGCCGAAGAGCAGGAGATAGATCGAGACTATCTGGCCGACATCCACACCGAACGCTCCGAGCATGACCTGTGCTATCATGCCATATCCAGGAATGCTGGCGGTCGCATCGCCGACGCCAGGAGGGGCGTTTCCCTGTAGTAGATTGTCCATGGTTGATTTTAGGGTCGAATCAACAACAAGAGTAAGAGGCAAACTTAATGTAGCGGGGGAGTAGGGTGAGGGGATTAACTACTGGAGTGGATTGTTCGTTTGCTTGCGACTGCAACTTCTAGAGAAAGTTTGGCTTGCGCAAAGGCTGATGACTGAGACAAGGGAAAGAAAGAGCAGCTCACGGTGACAACAATTTTTTCTACATGCTCGAAGTGAATTCTGGGTTGTGCACGATGTCAAATATCATCGCGGCGAACAACAAGGCTGCCTAAAAAAACACTTGCGTCAACGATTAATCCACGTTTAGCACCCTAGGCATCACCGCTACATTATCGTAGCCTATTACTGAGAAATTCAAAGGGCGCAGTGAAAACACATCTGTCCCTTGGTGCTTGTGGATGCTCAGTCGGGTCATGGCTCGACGTTGAACTCAATTGGTCGGAGGAGTAAAGGCAAACGTGGAAAAATTGCCAAAGACATGCAAGACCTAGAGGTGCGATACGTTCGCAAAATGACTAATGCCATCCGGAAAGCTGTAAGTTGAGATAGTGTTGTGGCGCGAGACGTTGAGGGAGGCTGACGTCCGGACCTAGCCAATCCTGTGAATAGATGACCTGAGGTATCGCCACTTCAAAGGGCGCATGCGGCTGTGCATGATGCACCGGCGTGTGAACACCTTGGCGCCTGGATCCATGAGCGAGAGAAATGTCAATGGTGATGGCAGTGATGACGTTGCGATGCCAGCACAACTCGACGTTCGGTGATGAAGATGATCGCCAGGAGAGCCACGTGCGCAATCTCTTCACCTCGTGTACACCTCGGGAATAACCACAGCAGCATTTCCGATATTCATGTGCTCAGCAGCCAATGTGAGCAGGCTGCCCAGGTTTGTACTCGTCACGTCGCTAAGGCCAGGTATAAATCTCCAAGATTGATTCCCTGCGCGTTATCGGCCTTACATCTTCACCATTATAAACATCCAGCAAACCACAACACGCGCCAACCCAACCCCCATCATGACACCGAGCCTTCACCGAATCTGTCACCTATAGCGCCTACCCTCTAAGCACTCACATCCTTCCGAATCCTACGCCGGACATGCCACCGAACTCGTCACGACGCTTGCGCGCCCAGTAGATCAAGCGCCACAAGAAATTGCGATCGTCACTTTCACTTCTCATACGACATGACATGACATACCAACACTTCCAACGAGCTCAATTGATCATAACGCGTTTTCCATTCGTTGAGAACAAGACGCCTGTGCTGATGTAGGGATATCTATGTGTGAAAATTTCGTCTCCGTTGTTTTTTCTTTCAAGGAAAAAAAAGAAGACTCCAAAAAGTTTGATCCGGCACAGCCTTCCAAACTAGTTGGGTTTCTTTCATCTTTCGCATACAGCAGCAGCAAGTGGAAAGGAAAGGAAAAAAATGGTAACTTTGGTATTCAGAACAAGATTGAAAAAAAAAAAGGGAAACGCAAAGAAAATACACACACTCCAAACAGTCGTTCGCAAAAGTTGCTTGCGCTAACCTTCCCTATGTACCCACACAAAGTAGAGAAAAACACACACATACATATATAAGCGATGCCGATAAACAATGCTGAGTTCGAACATATATATATCCAATTCTCATCGTTTCGCCAAACGGACGATGTCAGGGATGATAAAGATGATGCTAATCTGAAAGCTACCGTAAAAATGCATGTCGGATTTCCGTTCCTTAGTTGCGACGCTCAGCGTGCCTCCTTGCGTGCGCCTTGGCGTGCGCGTGTCTCTTGTTGCGCATCTTGTTGTTGTCTTCGGTGACGTAGACGACGACCTCGACCTCCTCGATCGCAACGACGTACTCGATGCCGTTGGAGGTGTAGGAGGATGTGCCGATGATCTTGCCGGGGTTGGCGGCGTTGACTTCGGGCTTGGCGGGCGCGGGGGTGACGATGGGGGCAGGAGGCGCAGGGGCGGGCTTCTCGACAACAGGGATGTTGGGGAGCTCGACGGGCTTGGGAGCAGGAGCGGGTTCAGGCTTGGGGGCGGGCGCTGGCTTTGGTGAGGGAGAGGGCGCAACGTTGTAGACTGACACACCACCGGGGCCCTCAGAGCGAGCTGGTGCGTAGCTCTGAGTTGGAACGGGGGCGCTGGAGATGACGGGAGGAGCAGATGGCTTGTCTGGGGAACCGGGGTTGAGAGGGTTGGCGTAGCCTGGGCCGTACTGGACAGGAACGTTTCCGCAAAGACCCTTAGCGGGGCCGGCACAGTCGTCGGCCTCAAGGATGGCGGGCATCTTCTGGATCTCGCAAGTGCCCATCTTGGCCTCGCTCTGGAGGCTGCCAGAGAAGACGGGGCAGTCCTCGACGCGGCCGGAGAGGCTGGTGCATTGGTCGACGGCAGCCTGCAGTGTGTCTACGTTCCATCCGTTCATGAAGTCGCCGTGGTATCCGTAACCTATTCATTGTTAGTTAGTGGAAACCGGTATCAGGGCAAAGATCATCTTACCAGTGGGGTCACCGTTGGACCAGGAGAATTGGCCGTCTATGCCAATGAACTTGTTCGTCGCCCAGATGGTCTCGTAAAACAGGGACGGCAGGCGCGTCTCGAAGCCCTCAGGGCAGACTCCGCCATCGATGTTGGACGGGTAAGCCACATGGCTCTTGTGGTCTGGGGAAGAGGTGTCCTTGCCGTTCCAGCACGATGCGAAGAACAGTTCGGCGCGGATGCCGTCAGCGCAGTTCTGGTCCAAGAACTCCTTGTCGGGCATGAAGTGGCGGTAGCGCGAGCCCTCAGGCTTCCTCGCGTAGTTCATGCAGTTGAAACCGAGGGCCTTCTGTCCAAGTGACTCTTGGGTAAGGTCCTCTGGGCCCCATGCCGAGGTTGGCGGGTCGGGGACGGGGCCAGTGAAGTTGCGCAGGCGGCTGTCACCAGCGAGCATCTGGAAGTCCTTGGGGAATGCCTTGATGTTGTCGCCGATGAGCATGTAGTATGCAAGCATACCACCGATCTGTGGCACGATCTCAACCTCGCCATTTGCGTGGACGAAGTGCAGGGACGGAGTCCTGGGATAATTAGTATGATTGACTGACGTAAATATAATCCAGTACAACTTACCAGTAGGCAGACTTGTCATCGCTGAACGCGCACGAGGTGCAGTCAGACTCCCTCAGGTCGTCGTAGGTGGTGGTCTTTCCGAAGTCTGTTCCAGCATTAGTACACTGTGGCTTGACGTTGATACTATTGCTGCCTCAGGTATTCTCCCAGGGCGTGAAACATGACATATCTCGCAGTAGAAGGGAGCTCCCTGTGCGGTGCCTGTTCGGGCCTAGCGGAGAAATCATGCGATCCAACCTTGAAGACAAACGGAAATGTGGAATCTGTTTGCACTTACTGCTTCCTCCGTGGATGACGTGACCGTGGCTGGAGGCGACGCCCTTGTCGACAATGGGGTCAAGACGTGCGAGCGCAGTGCGCGAGTGACATGGCATGCGCCAGAAAGCGTCCGCGGAGCCAGCGAGCAGGGCCGCGGCGGCGGAAAGGGAGGCGACGGACTTCATGTTGAGGTAGTGTACGTGGGTTGATATCGTTCGTATGCGGTCGGGTCCAGCAGTCGAGTTATTGCAATCGACAAAGTCAGTTCCTCAGCCGCCAGGACTTCCGATCGATCCAATGGTGGGGGGCGGGTGTGAATCGTATACACAAGTGAAAGAGTGTATGTGTCGCGAGCGACAATATCGATGTAGAGCGAATGTGTTCTGGCAACCAAAGGAGTGTGGAAAGGAATGACGAGATTCACCGGCAAGGGAACGAAGGGATCGAGAGGCAGAAAGAGGACGAGCCGGGCGGGAAGTCCACGAATATCAATCGCCGCACGAGATGAAGGAATGCTTCCCCCAGTCAGGCCAACGATGAAACCGCAGATTGGCCCGACGGCAGACGTTGCCTCCTGTTGGCTCGTCGTGCCAATTGAGCACCGGTCGCTTGGCCACGAATAGTAAGATGAAACAGGGCGCAAGGGGCATTGGCCAAGGATGTGGCGTGCAAAGACCATCTGGGATCTTCAGGGCGCCTTATGCAGGCACACGCTCACCCAGCCTTGCGAGCCAAACGGTCTTGAGCGTAGTCGATGCGCCGCTTGCCATGTATGTCGCCACAACCCGCAACCTCACCACGAGACCACGAGAATCCACGAGCGACAAGCTGCTGCCATCCGCACGGCGTCCTCACTCTGGCTTCTTCCTGCGCTCTTCCGCGACCCCTCGACTGTTATCGCACAAAGACACCGGTGTCGCACGGCGCGTTGCTTCGGCTCCGCGCTGAGCGGGTACCTGGCTCCGTGCGCACGCTGCATCACAATCTCCAGTGCTGATCCCAAAATACCGCATTGGTGGTGGCCATGACATGAGCCCCATTATAAACAGATGAAAGCTGCCAAGTGGGGATCCTGGCAGGCTGGAAATGGTCGACTGTCTCCGCCAGCCCGCAAGGATGATGCTTTTTCTCCTGTTCATCGTGATTCTGGGGGATTTGCTGTCCGCCCTCTCGCCTTGTTTGCTTGTCTGACTGCCGGCCTGCCATGTCCAGCGTCGGCAACCGTCTTGTAAGATTGCGCCGCTGTTTTCCAAGGAGCGCGGCAATACTCCAGGCCTCCCATCGGGCGCTCAAGCTTTTGCATCCCACGGTGACATCCAGTAACCTGCATTTGCCCCAGGACCCCGTTTGGCGACGTGAAGGAGCGCACTTGGGCGGTGAAGTGTAAGCGCCAGGCTCTCGTGCACCCATTTCCAATTTCCAAACATGGACGCAAAGCCTATCGATAGGAGCGGCTGAGCGTGTGCTTCGCGCTTGGCTAAAAATGCCTCCGCCATGACGGCACCATCATTGGCTGCAAGGCTAGTTTGATTCATGCGCTGTGCCCGAGCCTCGTGCGGCGCTGTTTGTGGATCTCGGTTGTTTGCTGTGGGACAAAAGCTGGATAGAACGATAATTGTGTTCTGCTATGATATGTGAGCTGAAAGGTTACCCCTGAAGAGCTCAGCTTCTCTACCATAGGTTTTCGTCATGCGCCCACATTCTCTCCCACCCCGGTCCTGTTAGAGAATCCTAACGCGAAACCGCTGCTCAGAATCGCGGCCTGGGTAAAATCCGCGGTGACATACAAGTCCCTGTTCGACTTTGTAACGCCTCTGCTGCCCCGGACCAGGCAGCTGGGCACTTTTTCAGGCACGTCTCATGTGCGATTGGTCGCGCCATAATCCCGATATAGATGAAAGGTTTTGTCGCAAGAGCATGCCTCAGCGAGACAGCTAATCGCGGTGTTTGACTCGATGCCTGCAAAGTGTATTCATCTATGACATAGTGACAGCCTAAAGGGGCGGGTCGCAACCATTGTTACACGGCACTTGTGTAGAAACCTTGCACCCACCCATGTGTCCATCGTTCCGGCCCTGTAGCTGTGGGTTCTTCTTACTTCGCTCGATCCCGACATCCATACGACGGACCGCGCAATCTGTGTAAGTAATAACAGACCATTAGGGGCACGACTTGCAGTGTTCACTCCATGCCTACAAAGTGCGATGCTCACCTCCACACACAAAGCATCCAAATACAGTCAATGTGACACGGCTGCGGCGTTGCATCCATGTGTGCATCCTCGCGACCCTGCGTCCCCATCTCCCCCTTCGAGACACGCACGCAGATTGTGTATCGATAACCACTGCTGTATCACCCCAGCCATTCATTACACAACATTAGACACTTGGTCCTTGCATCATAGCCTCGCGCCCTCCCGCAGTGGAATATCCTCCCACGCCTGTTCAAACCCACAACTCCTCACCCAGTGCGGGTCGCCCGCTTCCACGCTATCAATCGCCATGTGTCCTAGTTTCTTCCACATGTCTCCCTTCACAAGAAACCCTTCGTTGTCTTCATATTTCTTACATGCCTGTTCACCATGCGCAAGTGCCCTGATCAACTTCGATGCGTGACCGTCGTCTTCGAGTTCATTAACGCGCTTGATGATACCAGACCAGTCTGAGTCGTGTGCAGGCGTGTAATTGTGAATTTCAGAGGGCAGCAGGTCCGGGCAGCCACGCGATACGTACATGACGATGTCGTTCCAGACTTTCCATTCGAGCAGGCGGCGCTTGGTGGCGGGCGTAAGAAAGGCGTTTGTGGCGGAGAGGAAGTTCGAGAAGAAGATTGAGCTGTTTACACAGTGCATGTAGAAGAAGTCGAATTTGATCTGGTGTGGTGGATGCTGTGCCGCGCCCGTGTAATACACTGTAAAGTAAGTTAGTGAACCATACGTGACTCTTCTGCGGTGTGGACTCACCAGCTGCGTTGATCATCTCGGCAGTCTTCTCTTCAAGCTCGTCTTCTTCTACGGTATATTGGCTTGCGAGCTTGATCATCTCATTCGGCGCGCGCTTCATGATCCCCTCTCTAATCTTGTTACCGTCTCCCCAGTGCGCGGCACTGCGTAGCTTCTCGTCATTCTTCGCTTCCTCCAACAGCTGGACTATCGTCTTCTTCGGGGTGTTCTTTCCCCGGTTCGACTCTACAGCCTTCTCACAACCGAGAAATAGTGGCGCCATCCAATTATCATGCACAGCAGTCTGCGCCAAACCCTCGGCCATGATTGCTGGTTGCTGGAACTCGATGCCAAAGCCCAGGTGTATGATAGGATGCAAAAATCCAGCGTAAAGTCGGCATAGCATATCGTTTGCCCGGTCATCGTTTGCGAAAAGGTACTCGTTCAGTACATCCTCCCAGCCCTTCGCGTCTATCTCCTTCTGAAAGAAAACGAGGTAGTCGTGGTAGTATTTTTCTTTGCCTAGATAGGTTTTGAATCGACTTGGGTCGTGCATATCGTTCATAATGGATTCTTTCAGAGGTTCAGGTGGTCTTTGATATGACACATTGGTATCGTAGCCTTTCTGGATCTCCGATGGCGAGGCATTGAGGGCGAAGAGCGTGAGGAGGTGATGCGCAATGTGATTCTGTTACATTGTGTTGAGTTTGAAGACCGAAATCATATAGTATGACATCCCACTTACATGAAACCCAGACCGGTTGAAGAAGATATGATGCTTCTCGTGATTCACTTGCAGGAGCTGGCTTGTCTTTTCCGCACTCTCGGCCGTGAGACCCTTGACGTAAAACTGTGGTTGCTGAGAAGCCTCTAGATGAACTTTTGATCCTGTCGCCATGTTTGCAGAGCTTGTGTGCTTTGTAAGGTTTCTGTGAAGTTTTATGCTCGCACGAGTGTTATGCTGCGATGCAAATGAGATGCTCGGTGCGATGGCAGTGGTGTGGATGCGCACAGCTTTGGAAAACATTCGCAACTCTGAACTTCAACCTGGTTCAAATGTATTGAGGTGTGTGATTCCGAGGGTATGCTGTGACATTATATAAGCTCGCGTTGGTTCGAGATGCCAAAGTTAGTGGTGTACCAATGACGTTTGTGGGGAAGCTGGAGCTTGCCCCTCAACGCGCACACACGTGCTGACAGAAGGCATCGGAGCTTCGGCGCCTATAAGAGCGAACTTGTTAGTCACGCTTGTAAGAACTACACGCCTGGAATCTGATGATGCAGGAACCCTCATATTGCTCATTATTCATTCTCGTTGGACTAGATGACCTAACCTAACACATGCCTGTGAGCACAGCCATACCAGTGACGTGATCCGCAGCAGCCTCTCCATCCTCCTCCAATAGCTTGTCAATCTTGCTCTTGCTCTTGATCCGCCAGAAAGCTTGCGCGCCCTCTACGAATCTCTTAGTGATGTCCTCGACATCCTCATTGGGGCAGGCTGCAAAGCACAATCTAAAGCACTTGTAGCTGTCGTTTTCGAGAATATCCTGGGATGTTGCAAACATCTGACCAGGTGCAACAAGGCAAAGATAGGGCTTCTGCGTCCAGAAGAGCCATTGCGCTCGTGAGAGACGTGCACCGGGTATTTCTTTGGCAAGAGGATGCGAGGCAAAATTGAAGCGGATCCAGACAAACATTCCACCGAGTGGACGGACGAAGGAGTAGATCTGTGTCTTCTCAACGACGGCCCAGTCATCACTCTCATCGACGACCTCTGTAAGCGACTTGCGACGACCGGCTTTCACTGCTTCTTTGTTCGCGTTGAGGACGTCGCACATGGTCGACATACGGCGCTCGTAGTTCCCGCGCAGCCCCTCGAGCCATCGTACCCAGCCGTCAACCTTCCAACCACTTCCGTCCGCAGCGCCGCCCTTGCCGGGATCAGTGGAGCTTTGCGGACCCATGATCATTTCTGCGATCATCGACTGTACGAATCCAGATGGTTGTTGTGTGGTTGTTTCCGTGACACGAAGGATGCGTTCTACTAGCGCTGGTTGCGCGGTAATCCACCCCAACCGGCAGCCGGGCGCGACTGTCTTTGAGAAGGTATCCAGGCGGACAACCCGGCCTTGGTAGTCTATGCTCACGTAGGAGGGGATGAGGCTGTCCAGGAACTCAAAACCAGATGATTTGGTGGGCTTCGGGTTTGCGGTCTTTGGTGTCGACGAAGGAAACTGCAGGTACCAGTATGGATCATCTTCTACGATGATGATATCGTACAGCACGCAGAGGGCATAGATCTCGATCCTGCGCGCGACCGAGAGTGTGCCAGATGTGGGGTTTTGTCCAATGGTAACCGTGTACATGAGATGTGGGCGACGCCCCTTCTTGAAGTCCCAGTTCTCGAGCACGTCTTGGAGACCGCCTGGTCCTTTCGCCAACATGCCCTCGTCGTCGATTGCGACCGGTGCGATATTGAAGCCCTTGGGTTTGACAGTCTGGATGGCATTCATGTAGGCGTACTCCTCACACAAGAGGCCTGGCCTCTCATTGACTGGATCATGGTCTGCCGACCACTCATTGCTGAGCGCTGTGATGGTCTTGGAAAAGCCGTCTGTTGAGCCGCACGTCAGGATGATTTCCGGGCCTCCTTTGTATGGCACGAAAGGGTGCAGATTGTTCCTTGTGAAGCTGCGGAGGAAGTCAAACAGGGGCGGGTATCCCAATGCTTGACCATACTGCAGTGCCGACTTGAGATCGATCATACGAAGTGGATCAGGTACACCTGAGGCATGGGGCACCACGATACGAGACGACGGTGGCTCATCGTGGCTCTTTGACAAGTCTGTCTTCTCGAGTTGCGCACTCGGGGGGTCGTCGGCAGGCGGGTCGATGGGCTTGTTCGGCGTTGGTTGCCACCGGTTTGGGTGTGACGCTTTTGCTTCGAGGGTATCGTACGGGAAGTACTTGTCATTGGGAAGGCCTTCAAACAGGCATCAGCATACCGGAAACACCAAGGACATGATCGCTTCGACTACTCACCGCCAGCTAATTGCGCGATTCCTGGAATAGAAAAGTACTTGTAAAACTGCTTGATGCTTGAGGCTTGACGCGCCTTGGTGCTGCGTGACAAATGGTGGGAAAGATCGACTGGGTCCGGGAAACTGCCTGGATCGCTCGTGTACGGCGCCATGGCTGCAGCAGTTCAATAAGCAGCCGGTGGAAATTGCAAAGTTTGTAGCTGCAATAAGGTCCGACAATTGCACCGGTAAATGTCGAGGAGAAGACAAGAAGTAGATTCCAGTTCCTTGTCCGCGGCGTTGGTCCGCCTTACCGCCTTGCGCCCTACAGCAAAGGAAGCTCGGTATCTCGATAAGGGCTGATTAGAAATCTGCCCGCATAGTGACGACACCGAAAACTGGCACTGTATTCACGGTAGCTAGACCCCAAACAGACACATGCAGGAGCGCTCCAAGTGCCTGGGACCAAGAAACTTTATTGGAGCCGCAGCATCTTTCTTCAATTGTTTTCAAGCCCAGCTTTAGAGACGTCGCGTTCATGAAACCCAGTAACGCGCTGACGCCGATCCTTGCTGCACCATCAGGCCCACCGCCGTGGCTCCCCGCGAGGCGCGGCGCGCGATGATGCAGGTCCAAGAGCTTACCAGAGCTTCATCCATGCGAACTAACATTCCTTCCGTCTACTCCCCACTCCTCTCTCCATCCTTTTGGCATCTCATTGCATAGTCTTTCCTTTTCTAGACCATCTCCTCGCGTGGCATCGTTCTTGTCTTCATTGTTCAGTCCTGTTCTACCAACGCCGTCGCATTCCCCAAACTGTCGTCCCCGACCTCCCGCCACGAGCTGCGCTCGCTCGTAGACATGCCTCAGGACGAATATGATGATGAGGGTGCTCCTCCCCAACACTATCAAGACGACGAGAACGCTAGCATACGTTCAACCGACTCCGCCGTGCTGATCGCCAATTCCGAAGCTTCCGGCGAAGAGCGCTTTCCACCCCAATCGTCGCACTACATCAGCCAATACATACCGCCGCGGTTGCAACAGACATGGCCCAGTATTGTAACGTGGGTGAAAGGCCCGCAGCCACCGCGGCCGTGGAAGATTCACCCGTACTTTCCGAAGATCCAAACTGCGCCGATAGAGTTCATAAACAAGTTCTTCCCGAAAAGGAAGCATAAGATTATGCTGTTGGTGGCTTTCTATTTCTGCTGGATATTGAGCTTTGTGCTGGTGCTGCATCGTAGTGCGTTTGCAGCCGACGTACCAGGCTATGGTGCACCGGTGAGGATTGGCTGCACCGATCGCCTCTGGAATGATGGAAATAGCTGCGGCTTGAACGGGGACCTGTGCAGGCCTTTCGCGAATATCACAATGCCATTCCGCTGTCCTGCGACATGCCGAAGAGTGATCATACAGAATCCACACACTGTTGGTGATCAGACAGTAGTCTACAAGCAAGTGGTAGTTGGAGGTCCTACTGATGCGCATCAGTCCCTAAACAGCACCATCTACCGCGGCGACTCTTTCATATGCCAGGCTGCAATTCATGCTGGCTTTATCAGCGACACAAACGGTGGCTGTGGTGTTGTAGCTCAAATCGGTGAGCAAAGCGGATACCCCAGTGTGAACAAGAACCACATCAAAAGCACTGGCTTTGATTCGTATTTCCCCAAGTCTTTCACCTTCGTCCCGGGGACTCAAGCTCAATGCCGCGATCTGCGCTGGCCACTTCTCGGCGTTTCCCTGACTTTTACCATCCTGTTGTCTCTTTTCGTTACATCTCCATCTGTTTTCTTCGTCTCCGAGTTCTTGGGCATCTTCTTCCACGTCGCCCTTGTGTCTGATCCGCCAAACTTGAGCAACTACTACGCCTTGATCAGCATGGCCATCGGTCGCCTCCTACCTGCTGGCTTCTGCATGTACGCCGTGTACTTCTTCGCGGTCAAACACTCACTGCTGGGTCTTGACGCACAGATCGAGAAGACCATCCTCTGGCTCGGAGGATGCTGGATTGGCGCCCTCAACAATTACACCTTCGACCACATTCCCATCGAACGCCTCACTCCTCACGATATTCAGAATCAACCTGGTGCTATTCCAGCACTCATCACTGTCGTACTCGTACTGTTCAGCATTGCCCTCGGTCAAGTCTGGGCTTTCCGCGTCGAAGGCCGTCTGCCAAAGTATTTGGCCATTTACGGTATCCTTGTCGGCTGTGTACTAGCGCTTGTCGCAATTCCTAATATGAATGTGCGCATCCATCACTACATCCTTGCTCTCCTGCTGGTAACTGGCACGGCAATCCAAAACCGCCCCAGCCTACTCTGGCAGGGTATTCTCATTGGCCTCTTCATCAACGGCGCAGCGCGTTGGGGTTTTGCCAGCATTCTCGAAACCCCCGATGCCCTTCGTGGCGATGCGCCGGTCGGTTCTCTGCTTCCCTTGATCACTGCACCGATCATTCACAACAATCTGAACCTACACAGTCTCAAGGCGAACATTACCTTTGATTTCCACCTGCCATTCCCGGAGTCGTATGATGGTATCAGTATCTTGGTCAATGATGTTGAGCGTTACCACGAGTTTGATGACCGCATGGAGGGAAGCTGGACTTGGGTAAAGCACATGGAGGGCGTGCCCGAGTATTTCAGGTTTGCGTATCTGAAGAGTGGCGGGAGAGGAGATTATACGAAAGCTGGTATTTGGGGCGCGGATGGCAGTTGGACGGATATGGCGTCTGGGCCCTCGGGATAGAATGGTTGAAGTTGTGGGAGAGCTGGGTAAAACATAGAGACGGCAGATCCCGGCAGCTTTACCTCCAATCTCGCTTCACCACATAGCCAAGTCCTATAACTTCGTTGCCTGTAAAGCGGGATAAGCCGCATATCGTCCTGCACGATAGTAGCATAAGATTCTTCTATATACATACTTCTCATCCTCTGCACACCATGCCATCTCGACAATTCAAAATATCCTGTTCATGCAGCGCCGCAACCCACACCTTCCACGTCTCATCAATATCTCTACCCCTACCCTCCAACCTCTGCAGCTGCGATATCTCGCGCCACATCTCGGCTCTCTTTTGACATCTTATTTCAACATCACGCACTACTCCGACGAGCAGAAGCCAGACACTGCAAACCGAACGAGGCGTACGCTTCGTCAAAGTGTGTCACGAGGATTTTTTACAGGTCATGTGGGGCGAATGTATCTTGGAATGGCGATGAAGAGTTTTTGGGAGGAGGGGATTGGTGGATGTGTGTTGGATTGGTGGTGTGGACGAGCAGCTTTGCTGAGGATGGGGTGCATAGGGGTTTGGTGGAGGGGTTGGAGCTCGGGCTGAGAGACTGGGATAGTAGGAGAATAGATGGCATTGACGGTGCGACATATCAGTGACTCTATTACGACGTGCAGGTACCATCGGGCCTGCATGGATGATAATGGCCAAGTATGTGAGAATAGTACAAGTGAACAAAACAACAAAGAGATAAACACGCACCTTCCCGACATACAATGTCGAGTACACGCTGTCTTTATGCACTCCGCCGCCTGACTAACCCAAACAGCATTTGAATAACATCAACATGCTAGATATATAAACTCTCGAATAATACCACTTTACTTTACCACTTGCAAAAAGCATCTCTAAACTACACACGCACGTACACCTACACACAATCCCAACTTTTCAAAACCTAAACCAGCTTCCCAACACTTATTTCAACTTTTCCCCACCAAATTATGCGTCTAACAACCACAGCCATTCTCCTCCCCCTCCTATCCCTCCTCTCCCCTACCCAGGCCAAACCCGGCTCCTGCCCGAACGCCAAATACCCCACAAAACCGCAATACATCGAAGGCTACACCGCCTTCTGCGACAACTACATGCCCGTGACGGGCTACTACAACCTGCACACCGACGACACCCTGATCGCCAACTCACCCCTCATCCAAGCCGACGGGTCCACCGCACGCTGGGTGTTCAAGATTAGCATCTGGACGAGCAACAGCTACTCCAACTTGCTGGTCAATAAGTATGTGGACAAGGATGTGTGTTTGAGGCATTTCGGGGCGATGTTGGATTTGGGAGGCATGGGCAGGGATTGGTGCACGGTGGACGGCATGTTTGTTGCGGGCGCGAAGGGGAATGAGGATTTGGTGGCGTTCAAGGGCGGGAAGAATAGTTTACAGATTAGGGAGATTGGAAACACGCAAGTTGTTTTTGAGAGCTATAGGATGAGAGTGTAGTAGATGGATTGGAATTTTCGGCTTCGATATGGGAGGGAAGGAGTTGGCTTTCGTTTTGGTTGTTGGATTTTAGATTGAATATTTATCGTTCTTCTCTTTGCTGTAATGTAAATGCTGGGCTATATAGCTTCTGTTCAAATTTCTGCATGTAGTATTACACTGTTGTACACTAAAACTTCTCTATACTACACTTTGAGCTCCATCTTCTCCTTGGGAAAGTGACAGTCCCAGGCCGTTTGCTCGGGCAAAGGCGCATGATTGGGGATGTTGCTACTCTCCCTGAACTCGACAATCTTGCGCTGTCCTTTCTCTTCCTTGACGACAGCAAAAGCAGCGTTGGTGAAGTACATTTCACGTTGAGCAAGCGTTTGGTAGCCGCCAGCCCAGCCGATCATGTACACAAACCCGCCCCTGTCACCATTGCTGTTGGGGACGCCGAGCGTGTTGATGAAGCCATGCTTGAATGGTACAAACGCTTTCGCTAAGCTGGCATTGAAGGTTTTATACAGTCGCAGTGAGCCGTCAAAGTCGTAACGTGTCTCGTTGAATGTGAAGCGAAGATCCTTGGAGAAAGACGACGCGTGTCCTTCTTGCCAGTGTTCATTCGCCGGAAATGGGTAGAAGCCTGAGACACTGGTGAGTTGCTGTGGCAGGAATGGTGTTCGTAGCCAGAAGTTACAGCAATCGCACACTTACCATTGATTTGACACTCGACCCAACTTCCTAATTGAACACTGGCATTGACGCTCGGGGATTCGGCCAGTGAGCACGGATCAACGATTTGGTCGTTGGGTGAAGGATTGACGACGCCGGGCGAAGCAAGTAGTCCTTGCTTCTGTGATAAGGGTAGATACGACGCTGTCGAAGAGCATGCAAAGCTATAAAGCGTGGCTTGAACATATTAGGTGACATGACGAATTTTCCGATTCTTGTGCATCTTACCAATATATAAGAGTGAATGCATGATGAAAGCAGTACTGTGTTGAGCAGTGGCAGTAGGAAGACGACCAAGTGATAGGAGACAATGGTATACAGGAGTAAAGTGTGATTGTATGATATTGAAAGCGAGACTAATTGGTGCAAACGATCAGGTAGTTTTATCAGTGAACACTTCTGTGCCACTGCATTGCAGCGGATACTTCATACTTCTATGGGCGCACAGCATTTCGGCCCCCGGCGCAGTACATGAGGACCTGAGAAGGCTGACGAGATATGCTGCTAATCTAGGGTGATGGTTAACACCAAATAAGACAGTGGCAGGGGGCGCAGCTCAGCCGAACGCACGCTCCGTGAACACCATAACCCAATCACGAGCCATAATCGAGCGGTTTGCCTACATGTCTGCCTGACGTCTGTTCTGCTTTCAAAATAGTCAAAAATCGGGGCTGCATCTAAGGACTGCAATTGGTGGATGTTCTTTGACTCTTTGAAGATTAAGGAATGCCGAGGACTTTGAGGAAGACGCATGCGCTGACCGGCGGTCCTCCCAACGACTTTGGCACGTCATGCATCGATCGGAGACCTCCGTGACAATACTGTGATACGACAAAGTTAATCTATGACTGTTCGTTTTTATGTTTGAAGCTGTCTTCTCGTCCCTCAGTAGCAGCCTTGACATTGCCATGGTCGGGTGACCCACTTTTACCGCCGGATACTTACCGGCACCACGAAAGAAAATTTCTGTAGAAAGTGTTGCAAGACCGACGCTGGAAATTTCCGCAACGCAACTTGCCTGAAGGGTCATGTTCGTCCTAGGAATGAACTTATGCGAGGGCTTTTACGTGCAATATATTGCAACTAAAATCCAAGTCTTCCATCAAACATCACCAGCCTGGTTAGCGTACGTTCAATCTTCTCTACCACCAAAGACTTGATCTAACAGTCATCCAGTCAATCGGTAGAGCGTGAGACTCTTAGGTTTCACTTTCTCAGAAAGCGATTGATCCAATCTCAAGGTTGCGGGGTAAGCATCTCTCTTCAGCTCTCCATTCGAACCCTACTAACTTCCACCAGTTCGACCCCCGCATCGGGCTTTGAGTTCTTTCTTTTTTTGCCAATTTTGTTGCTGCTAGTCCCATGTCGATGCCTGGGGCTGAGGCGGGGCCCAGTCATCTTTTTGCGCTAGTAGCGAGTCATTTAGGTTGATGGATGCGCCCTGTTGAGAGCTGAGGTGCGCGATGAGATGGAATGATGAGACAGTGCTGTGAACATTCACGCCATCGCAGCAATGCTGAAGTGCCGTAGCGCTTTGTTCATGCCATTGGATGATCATAGCGCCCGTGGCATACGAGGTTTATAAGAGCACACATAGACTGAAGGTATTGGTTTGAGGATGGGTATACGTCTGCTCGATCTGGTGCGGGTACAGTGGCGGCGCGGGCGCATCGTGGAAGTCTAAGAGTGCATCTTGATGACAATACTGTCAATAAATAGCGAGAACTAGGTGCGATATCTGTGCGATATCTCTGTGTTGTTGTAAGTCAAGGATGTTGAGAGTGTGATGGGTGCTTACCACGACACAGTAGACAAGACGTGGCAGCTTCGATGAATTGGCTCTCTCAGGGGCATGCCAAAACATTGATCACTTGGACAATGTGATCGTATCGTAGACTGTACAGACGTATTGTTGATGCATCGAATGCTGGGATGTGACATGGTCATACAACTGACAATGGTGTTGTCATGGTTCATCTCACAGACGCTGAGTTGATGGGGCCCCGCGCCGGGTGTCGCGCACCCATGGAGGCGTCTACCCCACGTCTCTTACACCAATACCCCTCGCTCCAAAATTATACCATCTCCGAGTATCAACAGCCGTACAATCCTACTAACTCCATCTGGCTTTTGTCGAGATCGTTGCGATTGGATTGTACCTCAAGAAACACGCCACACAATTTAGTCCCACAATTGCTTCGGGATTCAGCGAGACGTTCAATAGGCTCGACAACGACCTCGCGATTTTGTCTAATGCGGCATCGTTAGTTTTCATCATGGAAGTATCTTGTCCTCGCGTTGCTTGGCTTGGGTTCCTTGCATGCCTTCTTGCACCTTAAGCCAGCTGTGTTATCACCCTCTCATAAAATGTTTCAACAATGTCAGTCAACTTCCAACTAGACATCGATCGTACCACTTTTCTACACAGTTCCGTATTAAAGTTAAACAGGGAAAGAAATTGATTTCAGAATTATGCAAGCACTAATGACATCGTCAAGCAGACCCTCTCATAGATTTACGATATGTAACAGGGTTGTTCATACCATGTGCATCCGCGCTTCTGTAGCCTTGCTGCACGGTGCCTGAGGTTTTGCGGTCCAATCAACTCCATGCCCCTTAGTATCGTTGTAGCTGATTGGTGGTATATGCTGTAGAGGCTGAGGAATGCTGAGGAATGCTGGAGGGTATAGTTGTGAGACCCTCACCCACCTTCTACAATTTTCAAATCATAGTAACTCCACGAACATATACTTCTTTTGACAAGGTAAGCGCAGCTGGGAACGTCTTTCCCATGCTCAGCGTCTTTCTCGATCCACATATCATACCTATGTGTTGGTATCATTGTACTATACAAGGGCCGTCAAGCTTGTCCATGTGCTTGCTGCTGGGAGAAGTGGATTAGAATGTTCATGCTAACTGTTTGATAGGCTCTTAATACGCCACAGAAACCTCAAATCCATCACATCCCGTCTTACTCCTACCAGTAAACATTTTCGAACGCAAAATGGCACCAGCACAATCAAAGAATACAGGCGAAAGCACATGGGATCCAAGCAGGGTTGTTGAGGTAATCGCACTTCTTCTCACTGTGCCTGGGGCAATTGCTGCATTGGCAACACTGTGGATAATACACAGGCAACGACAAAGGAAAGAAAGAGGTTCGTAGTCGTGCTTTCATCCACATTCGTATGGGCTAGTCACGGCTGGCACCGGGAGTATGAAATCCGGTTGACCAAAAGCGGTCATCATTTCCTACGTGTGTAGACCAATGGCAACCTAGGAATTGGATCCTGACGATGACCTGCGGATTAGAACGACAAGTTCGATTAGTCAGGCACAACGCTGTGCAACGACATCCTCCAATAAATGGGTGGTCCTCCGATCAGAGTAATGCTCGGATTATCGACTGGTTCCAACATCATTACGACGAACTGCAAGGCGAAATGTCTTCTGAGAGGGAGCAATGGGAAGAAGAAATGAAAGACTTCTCGCACGAGGATTGAACCTTTTGTACTCGACATTGCGATAAGTCGCGTTCTTTGGTCTATTCCTTTTCATTGAACTTAATCTTTGTATCTAAAATAGTCCATGTTGTGCTGAGAAAGAATGTACCCTATTTCTCACGTTGCAAGAACTCATTAGACGTGGCAGTCTCGTGGTTTTTCTTCTTACCAGCAATCCTGCGCGTTATTCACCTCCGGCCCCTTGCGACCACAGAGTCCCATACGCATGTCTTTCCCAGCATCTATAATGCAAGCAAGGTTCTCTGTACATCAACGAAAACCTGATTTTCTTCTTCACTTCGCTTACGCAAGACATGATTGTGTATCCAGTATCGCCCGTTGTGACAGGACCTGCTAAACACTTACGTCGCAAGTCCCGAGCTAGTTTGAATAACATTGGGCATACATTTCTCGATTTATCGCCTGTCAAATACTTCTCACTCTGATTCTTTTCTACCATAAATCCCTCCCTTCTCTCCATTCAACATCGCCCCCCTTCTCACGCTGCGGACAAAGCGAGGTTTATCAGCTTCAGAAATTCTATGTGCGAAATGTATTTCTCGTCATTTTGATAGAAAGCTCTGCTTACGTCCATCTCGAAAAGGTTAAAAGACTCCTTGAAGGTATTCGCAGCTTTGTCCCATTGTTTTCTCTACATCTTAGACTGCTGTCGCAGTCTGGCTGCATTAGCTATTCCTCGCTTCTTCGGAAACTTGAGAGCTCTCTTCCCCCTTTCCAATCTAATCCTCCCTCTTGAAATGATGATAGTTATCCACCGGCGCCTTCTCCTTAACACTCTGCCAAATCTCCTCAATCCCCTTGACCGCGCTCTCGCTCAACCCGCCCTTCTGAATCGCCTTGACCGTCTGCTCAACCTGCTCCAGCCTACTCGCGCCAATAATAATTCCATTCTCCTCGCCCTTGACAAAATCATCCTTTGCCAACGCACTATGCGCCGCCACCCATCGATACGCCAGCTCCGCATTGCTCACGCCCTCCTTGTCCGCGATGGCGTTCCACTTGACGAGTGCCTGGCGCATCTCCGGGGTGTCGTAGAGCTTGGAGTATAGCCCGCCGATGGCTTGCTCATTGAAGCGGCCGGCGCCAGAATCCAGCTCCGCCGCAGACTTGGTGAGAAACCCGCCGGCAATAGGAGAGTACGCATAAAACGCAATGCCGAGTTTCTTCAGCAGCGGGAAAAGCAGCGTCTCGAGATGTCTTGCGATGGGGCTGTAGTTGCCCTGATACATGGTCGGCAGCACCCAGCCGTTCTTCTTGGAGATGTCATAAACCTGCTGCACCTGCGCGGAGTTGAAGTTACTCAGGCCGAAGCGGCGGAAAATGCCCTTTTTGTAGACCTCGTTCACGCCCTCGAGCGTCTCTTCGAAAGGGATCGTCTCATCCGGCGCGTGGATGTACAGGACGTCGAACTGCTTGATGCCCACGCGGTCCAGACTGTGCTGTGCGTCGGCGATGACTTGGTCTTTGTGCACGTTGCCTGGGCTGAAGCCGCCGACGAGTTTGGTGTCGATTACAAATTCCGTACGCTTGGCGAGTTTGCCGATGGCTTCTTCGGAGCCGCCGTAGAGGCGTGCGGTGTCAATGTTCTTGACGCCGTAGGAGAGGAGGAGGTCGAGAACCTTCTCGCGAGATTCTTGGGTGTTGAATTTACCGGCGTCTGTGAGGCCGGCGCCTCCCATGATGATTTTGACCATTTTGAGGGATGAATTGGAGGGTTTTGTATGGTATTGGTGTTGTTGTTGGTTTGATATGGTGCAGAAGTGGGGAGTGACGTTTGCTTATATACCTACGTTGCTTCCTTGTCTACATCTACCCCTCCAAGCACAACATCAGACAGCTCGTGACGCCATACCTGGAGCACACACTGTCCGAGGCTACGTAGGTACCCGCCCCACTACAGCCATACCCCTCTCGGCAGAAATTGCACAACGATGGAGGCGTTTATACGGAGATAGCTGGCCAACTCCGAAATCTGGTCTACTCCGAAATCCGGCCTACGTGCAACTAGGTAATCACGAATTCTATTTCCAGGCAAGACATGGCGTAGGTAAGATTTTAAGATTCACGATTATGGACACAAAGCCATAAATTTTGCAACATAACAGACTGAATATTGGCTGTATCCGCGTCGCGAAGCTTCGATCGTTCCAAGTCTGCTTGATAATACATTTGTCCTGACTCGTGCTGATCAGCTCATGCTGCCATGAGTAAACAAGTCACGGACTAAAATCAAGCCACACACACTTCAGTCCATACACGTCAACATAGATGCCATGAGAGCTGCAGTTATTTGTACGCGTCAACACAGATGCCTGAAGACCTAAATTTCCTTGACATTTCGTCCGTACATTGATTGCTAAGCATCATCTACAGTGGTATATCCCTAAGAAAACAAGCACCTCGCTATGCTATTAAATAGGAAAGTTTGTCCGTCCCACATTCCATCCATCTCAATCTCCATACTTTTTCGCCTCCATGCCCTCCGGAGGCTCAGGCACAATCGTCTTGCTACCCACGTTGCTCCAGTCCGTGCTAAGCACCGTGCCGCCGCTCTCCTGGTAACTCTTCATCATCGCGCGCTGCTGCTCAGGCGTGGCGCCCTTGTACAGCTGCTTGAAGAAGTGCGAGGTCTCGTCGCCGTCCATGTCGTCTTTGTCATCGAGGTCCTCCGTTGCCAATTTGTCCCAATTCTTTGCGCCGGACTTTGAGGATGTGGGGTATGCAGGGGCGGATTCTTGGGCAGGTTTGCTGGTGAGGACATGGGACGGGATAGCGGTCTTGGTCTCGTCGGATGAGGGTTCGACTGTGCGGTCGAGACCCTCGAGAGTGTGCCACTTCATGCCCTGCGCTGCCTTCTTGAGGGTAATCTCCACCTTGTTGGGCGTGACGCGGAACTTCGATTGTGACGGGTCGATCGAGGCGTATAGAGGGTCGGCGGAGAAGTGGTATTCAGATGTTGAGTCAGTGATCGGGAAGGAGACTGAAAGCGAATCCTTCTCGAACTCGACGACTGTCGCATCCTTTGGTGCACCTTTGGCAAGAATGTTGACCGTAACGCTGTCGTTGCTCTGATACCAATCGTGCTTGATCTTGTTCGCTGGTGTCGGCACCACAGGCTTTGGTGCCTCGACTGACTTCTCCGTCTTCTTCGTCTCTACTGTCTCGCTCTTCGCAGGCTTCGCCGCCGCCGCCGCCGGAGCACTCGGAACTTCAACGTCCGGCACATCCTTGACCGTAACCTTCCGCTTCTCATCATCCTCCGGCAAGTCCTTCAACTTCGCCGCAACCTTCATGCTCCAAATCGGCAGCATCTTCTCCTTCTCGTCCAGCTTCTTGACAATGTTCAGCACAAAATCTGCGTCGCCATATTTCTCCAGGAAGAAGAGGGCAAGTGCGCGTCGGAACTGCGCATCCTTGATGAGCTCACGCGTTGCGCGCTTGTGCGCGAGGACGACTGCGATTTCGGCGTCGGTGAGGGCTTCGGGGAACTTTTGGGCGCGCTGGTAAGCTGTAGACCGGCCGATGTAGTATTTCACAGCAGTTGGGTTCACGCCGATTGCTGCAGTGAAGTGCTCGATAGCTTCGGTATACTGGCTTGCGCTGAGCGCCGCATCGCCCTTCTTCGCGTGATCCATGGTGGGGGAACTATGGCGGGGAGGATTCCGCAGAGGAATAGGAAAGAGCTCGCAGATTTAGTTGATAGAGGGGTAATTATAAGAGAGGTGGTCGCAAGAAGAGGAAGAAGGAACGCCGCAACCAATATGACTAGGGCGGAGGCTCCAGCGTTTGTGCGGCGTGGAAAGAAACAAATGGAAAGTGACGAAGCGCAGGCATCAATCGCAAATCCGGGGTCTAAACGCTAGCCCCGGAACAGTGAGGGGTCGCGCCTTCCCGTACCCACCACCTTCACTTTCACATGATCATCGCTGACTAGATACTGTTTGCATGTAGGGTCTTGATAGAGAAATCATGCTATGATTGGTATAAAACAACGTGCCTAGCTACAAGACACCATCACATGGCAAACAAAAACTCCTTCTGACAAAGTAAAAGCGAACGGTTCGACTTCGATTTTCTTACATATAAAACTCACAGCCAGCTCCATCTCTTTTACACCAGCACACCATCCAATCCATCATCGTCCGACGCTCTAAAGTACAAGCACAACGCCAAAGACAACACTCGCAACGATGGCGCTCATGAGGCGCATGGGAGCGTCGATGCTACCAGCGGCGCCAGTGTTGGAGCCCTGCTGGGAAGGAGCAGACTCGCCGTTGGGAGTGCGGGTGGGTGCGCCGGAACCAGCAGATGCGGTACCGTCGCTGGCCTCACCAGCGAAGTGGGAACCAGAGCCAGAAAGACCCTTACCGGTACCAGCGCCAGAGCTCATGAAAGCCTGAGCCTTCTTGGGCAGAGCAGGGAGAGCAGTACCCTTAACCTCCCACTCGTCGGACTCCTTGGGGCACTCGGAAGCAGAGCCGCTCTGCTTGTAGTTGCCATCGCCGGTGGGGTTGTCAGTCTTCTCGTAAGCGGCCTTGAGGCGCCTGAAGTCGTCGTTGGGGGTGATCTTGCCGTCGCTGCCGACCTCGACAATTCCGTAACCATTGGGCTCGACAGTGTACTCGTAAGCGAGGCCTCCAGAGTACACACCGGTCATGTTGGTAGAGTAGAGAGCAGCAATCTCACCCCACTCGCGGGTGTTGGTGATGCAGCCAAACTCGGAGAGGAAGAGGGGCTTGCTGTAGTCCTTGTAGGTCTCAACCTTCTTGTCCCAACCGGAAGCAGTGAAGGAAGAGGGGTCACACCAGGAGTAGTCGTTGAAGGCGAAAAAGTCGGAGCGCTCATCCTCAGTACCGCAGTTGAAGTAGAGAGCCTGGGCCTCAATGTTCTCAGCAACGTCGGCAGCAGAGTATCCGACAGGAATCTTGCGTCCCTTGCGGTTGGAGATGTACTGCTTCATGTCACGGGTGACGGCCTTGATGTAGGGAGCGGCGTTGGTGTTGTTGCGCTCGTTGATGACCTCGTTACCAGAGAAGAAGAGGAGCAAGTTGTTGTAATCGGCAAAGGCGTCGATAGTGGCAAAGACGTTCTGGAGGTAGACGTCGTTGTACGATCGGTGAAGAGTCTGAGCATTCTCACGGTTGAGAGAGTACTTGGGGGTGTTGGCGTCAAGGGCGACGTAAATACCGGCGTCGTCGAGCATCTTCATACCCTCGTCGTGGTTCTTGGAGTTGTCGATGGTGTAGATACGAATGGTGTTGATACCGAGATCCTTGAAGTTGGCTACATCGCGCCTCAGGCTCTCAAGGTCGAGGAGAGGGTCCTTAGCATCAGCAGCACCACCTTGGAGATTGTTAGTAAATCGTCACCGTGTCGGAAAGCCACGGAACTACGGACCTGGCTGGTAAGCAACACCACGCATGTAGAAACGCTGGTTGCCTGCGAAGAAGCCATTGCCCTTCACGGAGACTGCGGGAAGCTTTCCCTTGCCCTGGGCAAATGCGGGAGTAATGGCCGCGCCGATGACGGCAAAAATGGCGAAGGACTTCATGACTGTGACTACAAGAAAAAGGAAGCGATTAAAAGGCTAATAGAAGAGAGCAAATGGTTGTCTAACGAGTGACGGGGTAAGCAGAGTTCAAACAAAAGGCATTGAAGAAGAAACGGGATCCGGGAATGGGCGTATTTGAAGCAGGAGAGCACCTAATTTCTTGGTGTCTCCCGAAGCCTACATGTGGAACTGCCAACCCTCATCGTCGTCTCGCGCCAAGTCGACGAGGGTTGGCGGCAAGGAACTCGCGGAGCGGACGTGAGGGCCAAGTAGCCAAGCACCGGTTCGTGAATTGCGAGAGGCGCCTCATATGCGCGCCCAGGCTTGGTCAGGGGCAACACTCGATCAATTGGCAGGACTCGATGTCAACGATGGCCTAGAGACCGAGTGGATTGCGCGTCCATATTTCCGCCGCCCACACAGCCTCGTTGAGTGGGCTTTTGTGAACGAGTCCAAGATGTCTGCGCGCGCGACCAATTTGCTGTGACGAGCGATGGAGGAAGTGTCGGAAACGCCAAATTGGCACCAATCTTCGGCCCGCATGGGTGTCAGGCCCATCGCAGTCGTCTCCAGATTCTGAATCGTGTCACTGACGACATCGTTATCCAGATACATAACTCTTTGTCGTGACTGGGGCCATCGCGCATGAACTTGTCTTGGTGTTTGGCGCACTGTTGGTCGCCATTCGCCGCTGGCGTGTTGTTGACCTGCTGGCTTGTCTTGGTGCTCGCATTCCGGCAGTGCAGATCCACCGAGCGGTGACCCCAACTTAGATCGCGAAGGTTGCCAGGAGTGCCAGGATATGCATGGGGTGCAAAGTGACACGGTTTGAGACTCAAGGTTTGACAGGTGTCGCGGTGAGGCTTTGAAACTGGCAGCCGGCGCTGTTGTCATGCGCGACCGATTGGCTTCTGCGACGGACTTGCCTCGCCAATCTGAGCCACATCGCCCCCTCCCCATCCATGGGTGCAACCAACAATTGCGCCTCCACGTGATCTAGCATTATGCGTTTTCTCTGGGAGTGAGAGGTAGATTACACGCTATATACTGTATACATCTTCTATCAAACATTCACTGCCATTGTGGCGCAGCAACATTACCAAGTCCGCTTGATCAACTTAACTTCGCAGCGCTGACGACGAGCTTGCGACTCCACCTCCATCGCGTGACTACCTACCTACAGATGCGCAATACGCGGCAACGGCTTATTCCTCCAATCGTCCCACGCACCGTTCTTCTTCGGCTCAGAATGCATCAGTCTGGTCTTGGGCATCATGAGGTCCTGCGGCATGTTGCTGACCATCGCTGCGGCTGCCTCTACGATGCTGGATCGTTGTGCTCCGGCACTCACATCAGGGTGCGTTGAAGCGCCTGCAGAGCGTGAGCGACGGAAGGGCAGCTCTTTCATAACCCTCGCTCTGAGATCGAAGTTGCGCTCGAGTTGTTGTCGTGGTGTTGTTTCGTCGCTGTCAGGGCTGCTGTCGGGGCTGAAGCGGCTCACGAACTCGGCGGAGGATGAGCGTACGACCTTGTTCAGTTTGATGCTTGCTGATGCCACGTCTGGCGCATTCTGCTCTGAGCTTCGCTCTTCGATCTTGTTTGGCAGCTGTGACTTCCATCGTAGAGCTGGCATGTCCTTTTGAGGCGGCGGCGGCTCCTGGGCCCCGGGTGCAACATCTGGCGCGCTCGAAGTCCGCTTGTGGTTTTTGCCACGTGCCTTGGGCCGCAGAGGGCTAGGTATGAGGGCGTCTTCGGCGAGTGCAGACGCTGCCAGGCAGTCAGCCCTCAAGGATTCACTTGGCGAGCTCGAACCGTCATTATGTGTGACGGTACTCAGTCTATGCGGTTTGGACAGTGATACCGAGGATTGCGAAAAGCGGCTTCGATGCGAAAGGACTGCGCTGGGTAGATGCGGGTGTGACTGTGACGCATAGAGCTTTGGAGGGCCCGTCGGATAAAGCGCACGCAACGTAGATGCAGAGTATTGGGGTGCAACAGAAAGGGGTATGAAAATGGAATTCTTGGGGTTCCCAGAGAGACGCGGCGGTCGCGTCAAGATCCTTTGCGATGAAGAAGGAGGGTAAAGTGGCCTAAGAGAATCGAGCGAAGTTGAACGCAATGGTAGCCTGAATTGTGGTGGTATTGGCGGTGGGGCAAACTCGGATGTGAAGATTCCCAAGCCTACCGAGCGTTGTGGTGAAGGGCAATGTATTGTTGGCGGACCCGGGCTATGACTGAGATCTATAGTTTCGATGTCTGAATTGGAGCGACTTCTACTGAGCATGGTAGGACGCCTTCCGTTTGGCTGCTTCTCTAATGTGCGGGCACTGGGTCGCACAGGAGATGGGCCTCGCGACGCGCTTGGTGTGGTGAACGGATTGGTTGGTCTCTCGTAGCCGTGCTTGAACAAATGCGCCTCGAACGGTCGCCTGACTACTGCAAGGACACCGAAGAGGATACACGATGCAACCCTGATCTATCGTTAGTGGTGTCTTTAGTCCGAGGGTTGCTGTCCTACAAAGATACTACAGCCAGGGCAATACCGAGGCGTGCGACCTGACAGACGGTTCCCATCTCCCATGCCTGCAGATCAGGCGCGACTGGCAGACATACAGGCCGACGTGCCACAATAATCATATTCCATCCCGAAGTCAGGAGCCACAGGACGCATAGAGTAACGGCAATGCGCGTTGCAATGTATGAGGTCTGCTTGATTGCAGTCCGGTGTTTCCGCAGGTCTGTCCATGTTCTCGACTTGAAAGAGATGATGGTATGAAGGTACGTGTACGATATCGTAACAAATGCCTGTAGTTGTAAGCTATGGTTCCAAGTCTTGGAATTTGGAGAAGCTGACCGAAAGTAGCGTTAATACTTCTGAAGGGATGCTGGTTTTATCATCCGGGGTCGCTGCGATTTGGTAGATTGATGTAAAGACACAGATCAAGGAGCTCCAGTGTAATATGTTCAATAAAATTGTGATGGTAATTAGGGTGATCTTCCGCCGCGGGACTCTGGTGTAGGGTTTGCCTGAGACTTCTCGCTTCTCATCTATAATGGGTAACTGTCCGGCTCGACCGCGACGGGAATCCGAGACAGCCATTCGAGTCGTCGTGTTAGTTGGCTCGTCGCTGCTAGTGACCATGGGTGAAACAAGCTGTGCAATTATATGGTGCAAAATGTGCCGCTGAGTTCTGTACATACATTGGCAGAATGTGCCAACATTGATCGAGGCGATGCTTGAGCCAGTCAATGAATCAACACAAGCAACAAAATCAATGGGCGAGCAAAGTCGGGCGCGGTTGATATGGTGATGGCAATGTTCGTGTGTCTCGGGGCGATGATGGCCGTTCAGCACTTGAACGACCCAGCTTGTACTAGAAGCATTCCTATAGCTAGACATTACAGCCTTGACTCCATATAGCCCTCAAGAATCTTGTACAACGACGGAAAGCGAGGAATGCAGTTGGTTGGGCGACTTCCACCCAGTTTTTTGATAAACCCATGATGTAGGATACCAAACATCACGATACTCGTGTGATGACTTTGAGCTGCAGTCAAGTGTCCTATGTACACGTGAAGCGCGAACAGCTTCAGCTATCGTTGTGTGTCGTCAGCTCGGAAGTCCTGCGATGCGTGTTCGTATGGTCAGGTATCATGCAAGGGCGGACCTGTACAGAGCAACACACTTGCCGAGCGACCAGCAGTAGCGATCCTGGTTGGCGGATTGCATGGCAATTGATTCGACAGTGCGGCTCGCCGGTCCACGACTGCCATTTTCTATACGGCTCTTGTGGAGCTATCGTTGATCTGGCTCAGAGGATGAGCAGTAAGACCAAGAGCAGGATCAAAACAAAGATTAGTACTGCAATGCAGCAACTGGACCATGAATCTGCGCGGTTGGGTCAGCAAAGTCCGATTTGCCAAGTCGGAATAGCTGTACCTTCGTTCTGCTTGATCACCCAGCCAACCTTCTTCATGCCAGTCTGCAGCTTGCCTCCCACTCTGTCTGCCACTGTGTCAACATCGTCGAGCATTTCGACCTGCTCTTCAAGCTCGCGGCCCATGTCGTTGGCCTGTTGACGGAGGTTCCCGACGGTCTGGAAGACGCCATCCAGGGCTTCGTCCTGCTGGTGCATCATCTCGAGCTGCTGCTCCTGCTCGTAAGCCGCATAGGCATCGTCTTCCTCGAACGAGTCTGGATCAGGCAGAGCATCGCCATTGGCAGCAGTCTTGCCCTTGTTCTTCGCATCCTCAATTGTGTGCTGCAGCTCGTCGCGCATGTTCTCGATCTCGCCCCCTACGTCTTTGACCAATCGCCTCCGACGCTCGACCTCATCAATCTCAAGCCCGAAGCGGTACGGGTCGTGTTCGACGGCTTTGACGCTCTCTATCAGGTCTTCGAGGTCTTGGCTCAGGTCCTGGAGCGTCTGTTCGAGCTCGCCTCGGGCCTCGCGGAGCTCGGGGCTGTTGGCAGAAGACGCCGATGACCGTATTCGCAGGTATGATTTGAACAGTGGCCGTGCATTATTCAGGGCAGAAAGGACGTCGCTGTTGTAGTGTCAGCGAGGGTGCCTGGTAGAGGAATAGATGACGTACGCCTGCACCTGCAGAAAGGGGTCCTCGTCGTTCTGTGAGGACATCATGTTGTATTACGCGACTCGGATTGCGTATGTTGTCTCCAGAGTAGTGAAGGTGTGGGAAGGTGGTGACAGCTCCCGTCGAGACATGTGCGTGCTGGAGATGGTGTCCTAAAGCCGGCGGAACCCCAGAACCACACGCGCGGGTTGAGCTAGCGCACGGACCCACACACCTTCCAGAAATTCCATCTGGCGGAGCAGTGGACCACCACGGACGCGAACATGATGGCACGACAACACCAACACCAGGTTCGAAAAATAGCCCAGCCAGTCTCTCGATTGGGAATTGACCCCCAGCATGGGCCCTGACACTCCGCTGCCGCTGCCCCCCGACTTCAGCAACACAGAAGACTATGTGGAGTCATTATTGCAATTCAGTACTTCGTCATGGCTGTTACAGACCCTATGTGGTGGCGTCCACATCTTAGATTTCTATACTAGGTCACCTGACCTTTACTCTGCAATTCTGCCGTTGTCTTGGAGAGACTGGTTCAGGCGCCGGGACATCATGGACATCATGGACCTGCTAATGCGGGAAGATCTTGCCCAGTTTGATGAGAACGGCAAAGCCTGGCGAGATGGACCTGCACCGCCAGAGGACTTGTTGAACTACATCAAAGAAGTTCGAAAGCATCTGCTGGCCCGAGATTTCCCACCTCCAGGATCTGGTCTGGAACCTCAAAAGGCTGCAATACCGCGACACATTGCCCTAGGCATGAAAGTCAAAAAGGTCCACGAAGTAGATAACTTCGCACGCTATGTTGATAGACTTACCTCGGACATCGCATCGTCTAACAAGAAGCCCATCACGCACCTGGTAGACTTTGGCTCTGGACAAAATTACCTTGGTCGTGCACTTGCTGCTCCGCCCTACTCCAAGCATATTGTGGCCGTCGAGAGCAAACAGCATAATATTGAAGGCGCTAAGAATATGGATATTTTAGCTAAGCTTGTACCGAAGCCATTGGTGATGAGGAACAAAAAACAGTATCGTGCCTTGACAGGCAAAGGAAAGAAAGCTAAGAAGGATGAGATAAACGGGAAGCCTGCATCTGGCACCGCAGAGGCTCGTGAACGAACGGAAGAACCACAGTCGCAACTTGATCGCGAGAATGAAAACAATTTTATGCCGAGCCAGCCTGTGCGCGAGGCTGAGTGCATTGATGGGGAATGTAGACTTACGATTCAATCCCAAGACACTGCCGCACAGCACACGAATACGAACGGGAATGAGACTTCACAGCCACAAGCTCAGACGACCACTACGACAAACTTACAGATCTACACCGAGGGCCATGGCAGCGTTCAGTATGTTGAGCACATCATCAAAGATGGTGACTTGACACCTGTCATCGACCAGGTCCTCGACAGCTCCGGTGTGAAGAATGATGCTGCTGGTTCCAACTCTGACGTAGTGACTGAAATGCCGAACCTCGAAATTGTGCCCAAGCCTAAGGACGTCAACGCCATGGTCATCTCCCTGCACTCATGCGGCAATCTCGTACATCACGGACTACGATCTATGCTCCTCGACCCTCACATCGCCGCCGTCGCAATGGTAGGCTGCTGCTACAATCTCGTTACAGAACGTCTTGGCCCGCCCACCTACAAGCTTCCTACATTACGACCGAATCATCCTCGACTAATCTCTACCTCGAATGCATTCGACCCCCACGGCTTCCCAATGTCCGAAAAGTTAGCAAACTACCCGCTCCCACACCAATCTCTAAAGTCCCTCAACGGCGATGCATACAGCAGTACAAGCGATGAAGAACCCCCCAAAGGCGTCCGCCTCAACATCACGGCCCGCATGATGGCCGTCCAAGCCCCCTTCAACTGGGGCGCGGCCGACAGCGACCTCTTCTTCACCCGCCACTTCTACCGCGCGCTCCTGCAACGCATCTTCCTCGACCGAGGTGTCGTCTCCGCGCCCGTCGACGCCGCAAACTTCAACTCCGACGTCTCAGCAAATGGCCACACTTCTCACGTCAACTGGACGCCGCCCTACGGCCGCGGCCCCGGTCTTTCCTCCGACGGCACTTCCACGCCCCTCACCATTGGCACACTGCGCAAATTCGCATATGGAGACTTTGTATCCTACGTCCGCGCCGCTATCGGGAAACTCATCAGCCCAAACAGTTTCTGCGAGATCGATCCGAACTTCATCAAGGAGAAAATGGACGGCCTGACGGATGAAGATATCATGGATTACGAGACCAGATACGCGGAGAAGAAGAAGGAGTTGAGCGTCATGTGGAGTTTGATGGCGTTTAGTGCGGGCGTGGTGGAGGCGGTGATTGTGACGGATCGGTGGTTGTGGTTGGGGGAACAAGATGAGGTTGAGCAGGCGTGGGTGGAGCCAGTATTCGAATACAAGCATAGCCCGCGGAATTTGGTGGTTGTTGGTATTAAGAAGTGAGGGGACGTCGAGCCGGAGGAAATTGCTTGTGTAGGTGAGGAAGCGTGGATGGCTTTTACTCCTTTGGCATCAGAGCCGTGTTGGTCTGGGCATGTACTGCGCAACGTAAATAGAATGGGTCGTATATTGTTGAGTCGATCGAACGGAACCGGGTATCTTCACACCCTCTGCTCGAACTTCCGCTACTATCACAGCCCATCCATCATCTTGAATATCAGCTCGAACATATCAAAAGACTCATCAGCAACAGAATACGAATGTTGTCAGTACTTGCATTCTCCTAGCTGGTATCACTATCGTTGGCGAACTCGTCTCTCAACCCCCAACCGCCTTCCCCGAGCCTGTGCCGTTGCCTGAGTAAACAGCCTGGGACTGTCACTTGCTCGAGTAGAGAATAGAAATACAAGCGCAGTGAGTAGACATGACGCATACATCACAAGCTTCAATTAAGGTCTGTACGAAGATTCACTCTGAGAATACTGGTCGGTCTCGTCACCCTTATCCAATTCGCATCTGTCCAACTCGTTCCTCAGCTCCACCATCGCCTTCCCCAGCTTCTCCATCTCTTCACACAAAGTCTGCAGGCGCTTCCGTCTGCTCTGCATTTCTGCGGCGCTTTCTGCAGAGTCCGCCCATGCTTCCAGTCGCTCTTCGTTAATGAGGTTGGCGTTGAGCTTGATGGTTTCTAGAACTGTTTCCATTACGACGCCATGCTTTCGCAACATTATCGCCAGTTGGCCTTTTACTTCCGGGTCCGATATCGATCTGTATGCGGCATGTGCTTTTTGTACCACGGGGATACTGGCTAGGACGGCGGATGCTTGGGTGGTTAGTTCGGTGAGGACGGTGGAGATGTCGTCGGTTGGGGAGAATGAGGTGGGAATAGTGTTCATTGTTGTGCTTTGATGATTGGGTAATTCGGTTTATGGATCTTATATGTAAATTGTGGGTGCTGTAGTATGGTTTTGTGCGGAGAATAATTGAAATGTTGATGTGGTTAATTGGCTGCGATTGTGTGAATAGGGCGACATTTTACATGGGAATTTCTGAGGTGATTGGGCACTTCATATATTTGACAGCAGAATCGATGTTTAGAAGAGTCGGGTGAAGTTCACGGCCCCAAATTCTTCAAGGCGTTGGAAACAGGATGGCTGTCATGTTGTTGAGGAAGCGAAATAGCGAGGCCAGAGTTGCGAACGCGTCGGCCGCAAAAGTACCACAAGAACGCTACACGAACATATTTGTCGATGATAAAATGTAGCAACCCGCAGCGGACTATTCCAGCATCCTCTCCTAGTTTTGTAGTGAATCCAAAATTGAGGTTAAAATGCTAAAGTTTTGCTGCTGCCTACGAGCGCGTGACGTGTTGCTTCGGCTTGCAGGTGGCGGGTCGCCAGCAATGGACCTAGCGCGTTCTTCCAAACAACTCCCCTGAACTGCCATTCTCTTCACCTCCACTTTACGATACTATGGCTTTGAATGCGCTGCCTGCGGAACTCACTCTTTACATTGCTGGGTACCTGGATCCAGATACAACCTTGGACTTTGCGCTTACGTGCAAGCGGCATACGACCCTGTGTAAATCCCTCCTCCAAGAGCACAGGAGGTTGCTCTCGGAATGGCAGACCATCGACACTAAGAAAGCGCAGACGTTGACCTGGCAAGTTTTGCTAGAAATTCTTGACGATCCGTCCAGAGGATGGTACGTCAGAGAATTGAGCTTGCCGGGTACTCGTCAACAAGATTGGAGTCGTCCTCAGCCCCACAACTGGACTCATCTTCAGTCAGGTATCAGGGTTGATTTCCCGGCGCCATGTGCTGAAGAGAAGAAAATAATGAAGAAGGCTGCGCGGAAATTGGGAGACTTGTATCCAGTCCTTCAATCTGGACACGTTCTTGCGAGGGATCCGTCCCCACCGCTCCTACAACGTCCCAATGATATCGTGGGTACCATCGAGGATCGCATCGACCAAAGCAACGATGATGGTGTCATCGCGATATTGCTACATTATTTGCCAAACCTCAAGACGATTAGGTTCACAGAACACGATGATAGTGACTGCTTCGAACTCATGGTACATCGGATTGCTGGCGCATACCAAGAACCGTGCAAGGCCGCGAGACTTCCTTTACGACACCTTACCACTGCTGCTATTTCCTACGGGAGATCTGATGAATGTACTACTCCTCTTTGGGCATCCGCCTTTCTTAGCATACCGTCTCTGAGGACTTTTGCGGTTTACGAAATGGGCGGAGGTTACGCAAAGACAAGGAATGGATACCTTCGACCTGTGGCTCTGTCTATTTCCAATGTCACCGAACTTTACTTCAAAAACTGTCTGTTTGACTACGAAGCTTTGGACACGCTTCTTGCTGGCGTCAAGCATCTCAAGAAGTTCACCCTTGACGGCAGAGACCTGGACACATTGCAATCATACGACGAAAATAAAAGATTGATACCGGCACTTGTAGCACGCGTAGGCCAATCGTTGGAGGAGCTTGTCCTAGATTTTCCAACAGCTGAAGAGGAGGATGTAAGGCCAGCATCCTAGCGCAGATCTGATTGAGCTGACACATCATCTAGGAGTCTTCTGAACAGACCCTGCCAGTTTCTTTCCGAGACTTCCGAAACCTGCGAATGCTGAACTGTGGATGGGCAATGGTTCGACCGATTCCCGATGATGAACCAGAGGATGACGAACCGTTGGAGCAAGGTTTTCACAGAAAAGAAGACCACCAAGATCTAGACACAGACTTTGATGTCCGCACTCTTCTTCCACAGTCGCTAGAAAGACTTTATCTGAATGGGTATTTCGGCAGCAATGATGGCGACTATGAGTGGCGAGCAATTGAGAGAGTCTTCGCCAATACGAGTACGGCTACGCCGCGGCTGACTATGGAGAATACTTGCATCCAGCACATATGGAACTCCGAGGCGAGAGCGCAGATTGGAACTGCAGAACCTCCTCCTGGTAGGTACTTTCATCCGTTCTTGTTGTCCCTGTTTGACGGACATGCCTGGGGTTACGACTGAGAAGTTACACCAACAGCCGCAATAACCCATACCATCTTTGCAGATCGGTTATCGCATAGTCAAAGCTGCTATAATTCAAGACCTCTTTAGCACCTCATATCGTGATGGCAAGCCTTCGAGTGTAATCTGGCTGGCATAAATAACTATAGGTGAACATGAACAAAAATTTGTCGCTACCTGCGCCATGTTTGTTGTGACTACCTTCGATGCTGATCGCATGTTACCAAAGCTCATATGGTCGAATTGGCGTCGGGCTGAAGTTGTGCAATGCGGGGTATTCTCGTATACCAGTTCAGCTCCTGCTCCTTCGGGAACCTCATGCGAAGAACCTGGTGGCTTTGCATTCCACGCAAGTCATCTGTACTCCATGTAAGTACACATGTACGACAAACTCTCACCGCCGAATTATCTAAACGAATGCAGGCTGTGAGAAAAGAAACGCATATAGATTAACGGCGCTGCATTTGACATTGTGATTAATCGCACAAGATTCAGACATGATCTTCAAAGCTCTAGCTCTTCTTTTCCTTGTTTCCTCGGGTCTTTCTGCTCCCACATCGGACGCAAGTACAAACGATTGCCATCCGACGAAAGAGCTGAAGACAGCCAAGTACGACGATCTCCGATTCAATGATGGAGGCTTTAATCTGATTCCACCGCACTACTACGGCTTGAGCTATATTGCATTCCAAGTCGATCAATATGATGGCTGGTTCCCTCCAACCTCCGGGAATCAGACAGCCGTCGCGTACGGTGGCAGTGGAAATTTCTCAGTACCGGATTCGTACGGTTTCAAATTCCTCTATCTACCTGCTTATTGCTGATTCTACTGCTAGACCACCGAAGCAGACGTTCGATCTAGAGTCTTTCTCATATGCTTGTATTGGCGGGATACCCCAGCCTGAATGCGCTATCAGTGTTTGGGGCTGGAAGCCTGACGGACGCAAGCTGTTCCGCCCCATCACTTTCCCGAGACTGGACCCTGGGCATTATCCGAATGAGTTTGTCATGAATGCAACAACCTTTGGGAAGGATTGGCAAGGTCTCAAGAGTGTGGGGTTTAGCATTGCGAGGAAGGATAATGGCGGTGACATGTATGCTGGACTTTGGTTGGATGACGTGAAGTACACGATCACGACTGGGTGCTAGAGGTCATCGTTCCTAAGCATGCCTCTATTGAAATAGCAGCCCGAATACCCATAATGAGACGTGGAATGACAATCAGACTTTCATATGAGTATGTACCACTCCAGCCCATGCACTCAACTCCTCTTTCCATACAAATTCAGTCCACGAACCCCTACCTGCCGACTCATATACCAATAACAGGCCATCTCCCAGCGTACTCAGGCTCGTTCAGACTCTCGGTTAGCCAAAGCCTCTCATTTGGACCCCGCACCAGCTCCACAACTCTGGACACAAGTGTATCAGGACAGCTCGCGTACTCTCGTCTAAACAGCACAACACTCATCTCTTCGGGTTGCGCCCTGAGAAATGCGCCCTCCATAGCTAACCTCAGATACATCTTCATCAGGTGGGAAGCTTCCTTCTTTTCCACACGCTCTCCCGGCCGAGGTGGCGGGACGCGATAGTACGGGATGGGCGCGTCCGTGTGCTGCACATCAAACGCCTTGACATGCAGGACGACGCGTTTGACACCGAGATCGAATGCGCCCTGTGATACAAAGTCGTGCAATCTGACCTTCTCCTCGCGAAACTCGATGTTATGGGTTCGGCCGCTGCTGTAGTACGGCACTTCGATCAGAAGCTGCTTGGATTTGAACGCCAGTCCGGGAAACGGGATGTTGAAGGGTTTGTCGAAGGGCCAGCGAGCGTCTAGGAGAGCGCGAATCTTTTGGATGTAGTTGCGCATGTCGTCGTATAGTTCGTATTTGATGGTGCGGCATGACATTACAAGACCGCAGAGGTGGGTGTGTTCGGTGTCGAGGGGAATGAGGTAACTGTAGATTTGTAGGCGAAGTTCGACAGGTAGAGTCAACAGACTGTTGGCGTGGGGCTCTTCGTCAGCCTATTTTCGGCGATGAGTGTCAGCGTGATGTTGATTCAGCACGATGGAGGGGCAATTACCATGATGTCTTTGGTAACGTGCAAGGCGCGAGTGAAAAATTTGGGGACTGCACAGTTCCGCAACAGTTGACGCAAACACGAGAGTTCTGAGACGAGTATGGGGTGTTGCAACGAGGTACTGAGTTGTGTGGGTGGGGTACTTTGGGGTTGTTGTTTGATTGTCGCGCTAGCGCTAGCGCTAGCCGAGTCGAAGTGAATGTGAGGCTTATGTGAATGCATGTGATCACGATCGCCACAGGCACCGCAACAGACTCATCGCCTGCTTAGATTCGAGACCTACTCAGTAGCTCTTCATCCTGCTAGACGGCACCCTGAGTAATTTCTAAGACTTATAAGAACGTTCTAAACTGTAAAGCGATCCTTGAATACCTCCAGCTCTAGCTATTGCTACACTTTTACCAGTCCAAGTAGCGTAGAGCTTCTGCCATTCTAACGCCTGAGATACTTCCTCCCTCTAGGCAATGAGACTTTCCGGCGTATTGATGTGCTACCATAAAGTGACCAACCCATTTGTCGCTCTCAAAGTGCAATACATTTGTCTGGAGCCTGCTTAGGCAAGAAGTTTAGTTTTTGAATTAAAGAGCATATCTAAACTGAGTTTACAATTAGGTAAGTGGGAGCTGAGAGTGAGAAATATAGGTATTGCGCCTTGGTTGAGAAACGCGCTCCACCTTCACCTCCACCAGACACTAGTCCCCAACGCGTGGCCGAAGTCGCCCCGTTGCAGACAGGCAACGTTCGCCCTTACGGCTCGAGTTCCACATTAGTCAGAGCTTCCTACGCGCCCTCCCGAGATTGGTCGCTGTGATCGTTGTTAATGCTGTACGTCATGTGTCTGCCGTTTGCGCGTCTACTTCGGGGCTAGCCTTGTTGTCGTCACGTATATAAGCCTCCCAGGCTGATACTTTCTGTTTCCCGACTCCCACACAACAGCTTTTTCAACTCCAACCCCACCTCCATCTCTTCTCACTTCCCCCCAACTCTACTTCTTCAACTTCTTTTCCACCTTCCAACACATCAGCTGTTCTTCCTCACCCTACAGCGCTCTTTCGCTGGTATTTTACCCTCTTTTAACCCCCACCACGACGCTCTACCTCACTCCACGGCACTCTTTTGCCAATCTTCTTTATTCTTTCAGCCCCACACGATTCGACACTCACCGGCGGATCTGTTTTTGGTAGGAACGACACAACAGCCGATGCATCCTGGACGTTTGGCTGGCTCGGGTCTTGACTTCACGTTGACCTTCGTACTTGACTGCGGAATTATCAGGACGGCCGGACCCGAGCCTGACGGCTGCTCTTCGGGGCGCGGAAAAGATGGTGAGGCAAAGGTCGCAGGAAAGGCTGCAGAATAGGGTGCATGGGTCGGTGTGCGGAAAAAAGGTTCACGAGGCTACTCCGAAGGGGTCTGCGTGCGTGTTGTGTGCAAGAGGAGGATGGGCGTCAAAATCGGACTCTGCGCCTCCCCGTGGTGATGCCTGGATACTGGTCTTCGGACTTGCCAGAGCAGAGTAACGTATCTAGCTAGCCATAGTTGTCCTGTAGTGAAATGTGACGACTGTACCGCGCTCAAGTAACGGGTGAGTTTGAAAGTGATCAACGAAGAGGAAGTCTGTATATACTCAAAGATTTCTAATAGAACTAGGTATAGTATCTTAGAGGTGTGTATAGATCCAGGCTCCCCTAAGCGTATGATGAGTGTACCTCTTGAGGCTGTTAGCTTATGTCGTGAGGTACAGAGTGGACACGGCTTTTGTCGCGGCCTGGTCGCGGTGGTGAACATATCCCTTGATGAAATTCTTTTCTCTCAGATCGCGCACTGCTTGTTCCATCACCGCCCATTCCGCAATCAATCATCTCTCCATCTTATGACGTATGAGAAAAAGCATAATACAGCTGAAAAGAAAGGATAATGAGGGTTTCCGGGTTTGACAGGATGGAAAATTAGACGATGGACGAAGAGGCTTCATCGTATCCAGACACGGCTCATGATCGTTGTAGACGGCGCATATTCGCCAAACGAAAATTGAAGACGCCAGGCTGATGCACCTTTGTCCAGGAACACAACCTCCAAAATGATGTAGTCCTCGGATCCTTAAAGTGGTCTGTAGCATTGAAAGCGCTTCAGTGTTACTCGAGGACGTTCAACATGCGGCTGAAAGACCAGCCGGCGGGGAAGACGCGGGATGACGTTCTGCCGTGCTACACCGCGCACCTGCATTCCTTCGCGCAAGCCTCAAACCCGAGCAATTGTTTGATGGAACCTAGCGAAGAGTCTATTCTACGATATTATCTGGCCGTAGCCAGAAGTACCGAAGTTGTATGAGACCGTGACCAGAGCAACACTCGTCGGCGTTCGTCAAATACGCCTAAATGACGGCGGGGTACCGGGTCAATGCGACATTTGCACAAGGGCGCAGAGAACGGCGAGGTCGACTGGGCGTGCGCCTTTCTTCTCGAAGATTACTTGAAACAGTCAGCCTTACTGTGATCTCTTCACAGTCTGACCCGAGGGACTGGAAGCCCACCAAGTATCACATCTTGGCCGCCCAATGGGCACAGAGTCATCTCCGCTACATCCCCGTGCTTCCAGAGTCCGACAAAATCGCCCTATCTGCAGCCGCTACGGTCGTTCGTCGCTTTCTCCATGACCGCCCGCTTTGTTGTTATCCGGCGTTTCCTAGACCTGGTGCGCCATGTCGCTTCCGGCTGAGTCGCAATCTGCCAAGGGAGCTGCGGCGGCCCAACTTGTCTCCAAAACATGCCAGAACTGCTTTTCGCTGAAGATCCGATGCGACCGGACGCAGCGGCAGGACATTTGTGATCGATGTGCAAGATTGGGAAAGAACTGCGTTTTCAGGCCGGCGAGAAGGAGGGATAATTCGGCGAGGCGCGACTCGTATGTTGGCTTGAACCCCGCGGCTACCCATACTGACACCATCCCAGACGGATACAGGCCCTCGAACAACAAGTACAGGACCTTCTCCGCCTCCAAAGACCCGGCCCAATCGTTCAGCAACCCCTGCCATCGGTCAACGAAGAATCTAACGCTGGTGTCTCGACGTCACCAAACAACCCACAAGATGGCGATGTCGTGGACGAGGACCTTGTGTCCATCGAGCGGGCAGAGACATTGGTCGAAGTCTACAAGACTGACATGATGCCTCACTTTCCCTTCGTCATCGTCCCACCGCATGTTACCGGCAGCGATTTGCGACACACGAAGCCCTTCCTATTCCTCGCCATTGTCTCAGTGGCATGCTTCCACGATTTGAACACACAAGATAAGCTATGCAATCGATTCAAACATATGGTCAGCGACAAGGTTTTGCTTGGCGGAGACGATTGTCTGGAATTGGAATACATTCAAGGTCTCCTGATTGTCCTGGCATGGTAAGTGGTAGTTGTGTGATGCTGTTGCACGCCCCTGACGTCTCCAGGAATCAATATCATGGCCGATCGAAGTACTACTCGCAGTATCTCCAGCTCGCCATTTCGCTGGCCGTCGACATGCGCCTCGATCGGAAGCTCCTTCAGCCGAAACCAGCGAACGCGGGCAATAAGCGGAACCCTGTCGTCGAAAAGCCGGGCATGTTGTCCGTAACGTGGGGTGCAGAGGAGCAGCGTGCAGCTGCAGGCATCTTCTACATCTCCTCCACGTGAGTGCGTCGGATTCCGTGTGGCGATCTGAGGCTTACGTTACAAAGTGTCTCCAAGCTGTTCGACAAGACCAACACATTTGCGTGCACACAGTTCATAGAAGAAGGAACCCTTGCGCTGCGAGAGCAGGCCGAGTATAGGACGGACAAGGATCTCTACCATGTCATACGTCTGCAGCGAATAATCGAGGGCATCGACAAGATCGCGACTGCGTCAGATTCGGATGCCGATGCGCAGTCAGCTTATCTGCGCGTGCGGACAGAGTTGGAAGAGTTTCGAGTATATCTTTGCTCTGACGTCAGCGACAGCCGTAAGTCAAACCACAGCTGCGAACCCAATCGAGCGACTAAGCACGTGCCCAGAACTTCTCTTCATGCAGTTCCACACCGCAAAATTGTTCCTATACCAGGTTGCATTCTTTGAGCGAAATTTGCAGCAGTCGCCTGCTCTGCATCGCAACATCATATGTGAAGGTCTCGAGGGCGCTAAGTCCTTCCTGGACCTCTACCTATGGCTCCCACCCAAGTCAGAAATGTTCTTGACCAACACTGAATGGATCCAATTAAACTTTGGCGTGACGCTGGCGGCGAAGTTCGCCATCATCAGCAAGGAACCTGGCGTTGAGCCCCATACACGTGACTTGCGACACCGTCTGAACATTGACAACGTGTTTCGTCACCTTGCACTACGAATAGGTGCATTGGTGGGTAGAGGTGGGGAAGGCAACAAGCAGAAAGACATCTTCTTCCACTACGAATCGCGAGTGCGCAAGATACAGAAATGGTACGAACGCATGATCCAAGCAACCCGCGCAAGCAGCCCAGAATCGCAAGCAAGTACTTTGCAACCCCAAGCAGGCGGCGTTCATCGGCGTCAATCTCCTTCGCAGCCACACGACTCTTACCGCGATCCGCCATCCGCAACGCCATCACAGGTCCCAGTCTCAGCAACGTACTCGCACCAGCAGCCCCAGTACATAGCGTCGGCATCATATCAGCATGACATGATGCCCATGCCACAGTACCAGCAAATGCAGCAGTATATGGAGCCACAAATACATCAGCAGCCATCAGTATCCGCAGTTGGCATGGCACCAATGAGCACTTACTCGTCCTACAGTCCTGTACCTAGTGTTGCATACCCAGATCTTATGAGTGCACCAGGGTGGGACAACATGTTTACCATACCCATGGAAAATGAAGCGATCTTCGATGTCTCACAAGGATATGGTCTGGGCATGGCGAGCCCGCCCAGCGAAGCGTCTTGGGATAGTTCTTCGGCTCAATGATACAGCCGATCACCCGCTATAAAAAAACACAGACGGGGTCCTGCCAATGAAAAGATACTCTGAAGCTATACGAGGTATCGCTAGACTTCGAATACGACGCTAATACTCTGTGTATAACATCTGGCTATTGTATTGGCTGCACCTAGTTGTTATTCATTGTAGTTGATCACACTTAGTACCCCCGTAAAAGCTGTGTGTTTAGATGAAGAATGCTTTAAAAGATGGGTCGGGCGGTCTGCGGAACCGGTGGCGAACGGTCGACTTCTCCGCTGGGTCATACCACAATCACGATGTGCGATGTATCAGTCTCAGACACGACCCAATCGCACACGTTTCTTCGCTGCACATGGCTAAGCTTCGGCTCTAAGCTTCTACTCAAGGGTAATCGCCGCTGATCAATCTCGTCGAGCATATCTCAGGGGTGGTAAAGCGTGCGGAGTCAATGCCGCAATGCAACAACAAGAATGACGCAACCGCACATTGAGCGCATGCGAACGACTGGCCTAGGCTCCTGAAATATTGTCGAAAAGCGTGAAGGCACTACCGGCGTATCAAAGGCCAACCTCAAACCCGCATCACGCACCTCAGACGTGCACTGTTTCATCACCTCGTCTCGACCTGCCCCAACACACGACCACCGCCAACGCGGAGCGCATGTCCGCACATACATCGCTAACAGTTTCTCGCCTTGGGAGGCAAAAACCATCTGTCGCGCAAGTTTATCCTAGCTCGCGGCGCGTTTGACCGCGTTTGTAGTCGCCGTGGTGGCTTAGATGGTCAAGCAATACTTGGAAGGCAAATCCTCTCGTCTTGGTATGTTTCGGGTCTCGGTGGACGGCAAAGAGTCGCGCCTGGATATATTGGAGTGATGTCGTCGCGTTGAGAAATAGAAAGAGGTTTTACATTCTACACACATTCCATATCCACACATTCACATCGTGTGATACCCCTCTTATAGGCATCATCATCATCACCACCACTTTCTTCCATCTTCAAACATCAAACACATCATCATGTTAACCAACCGCCGCTCAACAATGATGGTCCCCCCATCCCGCATGCCGTCCTGGCACCCGCAATCAAAACCCATCCCCCAAACCCCAACCTTCCAAACAACATTCGACTCTACCTCCGCCTCAACCGAACCACACCCCTCCCGCACCCCCGCGCTGCTCACATCAACAACGCCTCTGCTCCCCGGCCACACCGTCCTCCGCGTACACGGCACATGCCACGGCACCGTGACCCTCACACGCAAAGACACAAAGTCGTTTATCAAGAACATCGCATCGTCATTCGGCAGCAACTGGGGCGAGGCGAAGAGCCTGACGAGCGCGATTTACTCGGCACGCGACCAGGCGATTGATAGGATGGTGAAGGAGGCGGTAGGCAAGGGCGCGAATGCGGTTGTGGGTGTGGAAGTGAGAGAGAGTGAGGTGCTGGGGTGTTTGGTGGTCAGTGTGGTGGGTACTGCGGTTTGGGTGGAGAAGGATACGGGGAGGGTTAAGAGGGATAGTGCGCAGGAGGCGGGTGTTGATCCGTTTCTCTGAGGGGTGATTGATGGCGAGGAGTGGAGGTGGCATTCAACTGAGGGTGGCTGTTTCGACAGAGTTCAGCGCCATGTAGCTGCCTTGGTGTCTCTTGCATACACGTGGGCTTGCGAGTTTGGCCGTGTCGCGTGAGTGTTGGAGGTGTAAAAGACGGAACTGTTTTTCTTTTCTGCAGTTAGCTTCGATTTTTTTGTTTATACCATAATCTCAATCTCCTTTCATCAAGAAGCTTGTTATCTCTCTTATCGACCGTGCCCTTCGAGAATCGATTCCTGAAACGTAAATGTTGCGCCGTGCTGTTGTAATGCCCCCATCCGCATCAATATACTAGCGAGACTGGGCTCGGGGAAAGGTGTTGGAAGCTTCTCTAGGCTAGATGATCGAATCCCCAATGTACGTACATGTTTCCTATTTAATGTTCTTTGTTGTCTTCGTCCTACGCACCATGTGCACTCCTCAGCTTATTTTCGCTCGAGTGCGACCATGTCGGAGCTGTCCACCCCTTCACCAAGAACGCCAGCCTTCTGCAGCGTGCTAACAGTCTTGTTCACGACCTCCGGATCCACGCCTCGCACATCTTTCGCGAATTGCACAGTTTTCAGCCATTCCCGTGCATCTTCCTCGGAGTAGTCAAGCTTCGTGCTGATATACTGTACTGCTTCTTCCTGGTTCTCCTCAAAGTGCTTCACGCCCTTGTTGATCTTGGCCAGCACATCTTCCAGCTCCTCCTTCAACGCAGGCTTGGTGGCATTTGGTGCCGAGCTCCAGTTCTTCGGATACAACAAATCATTCACAGCGACAATCTTCCACGACGACCAGGGCGTGTAGATCTCGCCGATGCGCTTGATTTCGCCGTTGTCATAGTAGCGCTTAGATGTGAAGTGCTCCCACATGAAGAAGTCGGCTGTGCTGTTGTTTACGCCTTCACGCAGGTTTGCAAAAGTATTCAGAGGCTCGACTGGGAATGGTGGGCTGCTTGACGTTGGATCCAGCCAGCCCTGCTGGTCGGCTAGCACGAAGCTCATCACGTAGCTGCCACTTCCGATTCTTGATACGCCCACCTTTTTGCCTTTGAGGTCCTCTATGCCGGCGAGCTCTCTCTTCGCGCCTGTAGATATGGCCCAGCATAGGGGTGTTTCAACATATGTGCCGACGGCTCGGAAACCGGCGTCTTCTTTGGCTGCTTGTGCTTTACCCATGGCTGCGATCCATCCTTCTGTCAGCCCGACGCCGATATCAATCTCGCCCGCTTGCAGCGCAGTGACCATGTGGCCAGTGCCGGAGGGGTATGGGAGAAGGCGCGCATCGAGGCCATAGTGCTTCTTCGCGAATTCGAGTGGGGTTGAGAAATGCTCTGAGGTGCCATTAGGACCAGTGTTTACACGTGATTAACGCGACCATACCAGGCACGAAGCCAATTCTCAGAGGCGCCATGGCTGATGTCTTGCTCGAGAACTGGCGGAACTGGCGCGCGACTGAGGTGGGGCGGGCAACACGCAATGTACGAAGCATTGAAGTTCCCGAGCTCTAATCGAGCTTGCTCGCGGCTATAAGACGTGGTATGAGATTGAGATCAAGTATGGCCAGCTATGTACAAGAACTGAAGGTTTCCGTGCAGGTTTTAAGTACCCCGAGGAAGATGCCGCGAAGTGACGACGGAGGTTGCGACCACACCACCGGAATCTCGCCGCCCCCACATGACCATCGCACTTCTCATCAACTCGCGGTATCGACATTACTAGCGTCGCATGTCCATCTTTCGTCAAAATAGACTTCACGCACAAAGCTTGCCTTGTCTCCCCGGTCAATTTTGGCATTCGCGTGCAGTTTCACATGCACGCATTGCTCACCGCTGCATCATGACCTCCGAGATGACGCCGTTAAACTTTAAAGCTCTATCGATCGCCATCGTGGGCGCAGGACCATCTGGAGTGGCGGCTGCAAAATACCTACTGGCTGAGAAAGCATTCGATAGAATCGTGTTGTACGAACAACGGCCTAGATCTGGAGGCATTTGGAACTATACGGGCGACCATACAGATGAAGATCTTTTCACTATTCCACAGATCAATCCGCGAGGGAAGAATCAAGATCCAGTTTTGACGCATAAGTCGTCAGGCCGGAACACTCAAACAAATGGCTCTGCTCAGGATCAAAAAGAGCTATCATTTGTATCGCCCATGTACGAGAAACTGGAAACAAATATCCCCCGGGGTCTAATGGGCTTTCAAGACTTAGACTGGCCTCAAGATAGTCAGCTGTTTCCTACGCGCGATACTGTCTCAAATTACATAGACAACTATGGGAAAGACGTGCATCATCTCGTACAATATGGCACTCAAGTCGTGAATGCCGAGCCAACAAGTGGAGCATATGATAGCAGCTGGCGAGTGCGTGTCCGACAACTAGATCATGGAAAAGAGATAGAACAGGATTTCGATGCCCTTATAGTAGCCAACGGCCATTTCATTGTACCTTTTGTGCCAGACATTGAAGGAATAAGAGAGTGGAATGCGAAATATCACGACCGGCTTAGCCATTCCAAGTACTATCGGAAACCAGAGAACTATCGGGGTCAAAAAGTCATCGTAGTAGGTAACTCTGCTTCCGGAGCAGATATAAGCGCGCAGGTCGCATCACACTGCAAAACGCCACTGCTATGGTCTTCAAAGTCCGTCTCCATGTTCTCAGCGACTCATAGTTCGGGAGGCGGTAAACGTCGCGAAATTCCACCGATCAAGCGCTTCATCGCAGACAACCGCAGTGTTGAGTTCGAAGACGGTACCATTGAATCCGACATTGACGCTGTCATTTTTGCAACGGGATATTTCTACTCTTTCCCTTTCCTCGAAAACGTAAAGCCTGCTTTGATCAAGGACGGGAGTCATGTGCAACATACCTACCAGCACTTGTTCTACGCGCCTCAGCCTACATTGTCGTTCCTCACGCTCAATCAGCGCGTCATACCATTTCCACTCGCGGAAGCACAATCTTCGGTTCTTGCGCGCGTCTACTCTGGACGTTTGCCCCTTCCACCCTACGCTGAAATGCAAAAGTGGGAGCAAGACATCATTGCCGAAGTAGGTGACGGGCGAAGCTTCCACCTTTTACCATTTCCAAAAGACGGTAACTACATGAACGCTTTGAGCCATTGGGCATTGAGTGCGCCACCAAAAGAAGGACTAGAAAATGGTGGCAAAGGCAAAGTACCGCCTGTTTGGGGCGAGTGGGAGTTTTGGTGTCGTGAGAACTTCCCAGCGATTCGACGGGCATTTGGAGAGCGTGGAGATGAGAGGCACCGGATCAAGAGTGTGGAGGAAGTTGGGTTCAGTTTTGAAGATTTTAAGCGGGAGAAGACAAGGAGTGAGGGAAAGATGATATAGTGCTATCTCATGTCAATGTAGTGCCCATGGTCGACGATCAGACACGTCCAACTGCCAACGCCGACCCCAGCTTCAGCCATCTTGTCGCAACCAGCGCCACTGCAGCCACAGCCATGACTGCCGCAGCGCAAAACCATACGCCGTTGAAGTTCTGAACCGCGTTCTTGCTATCCCCCTTGATCAGGCTCGTGAGAGGATTTCCAAGCAGGCCGCCAAAAGAAGCAACTAAATAGGCGAGACCCAACCGTACGCCAATCTCAGTATTGGTGGGTGAAAGTTCGGTAATCGTAGGTCCAGGGATGATGATGACGCCACCCGATAGAAATCCATACACGACGCTGATCGCAATGAGCGAGCTCTGTGTCTGTGCCAGCGGAAGGCAGGCAAGCGTTATAATGCAAGCGATACTAAGCGGGATCAGAGTGTTGACGCCGCCATATCGATCCGCAATGAAATTCGGCACGAACCGGCCAAAGATGTTCGCCGCGTTCATGATGCTCAACAGGTTGAACGCCATTTCCTTCGACACACCGAGCTGCAGCGCGTAATCCTGAATGAAGAAGAACGGCACGAAGCTCGACGCGACGAACAGCGTGAACGCACCGACAAACACCGAGTACGGCAGGTCCTTGAAGTGATGGAACCCAAAGCCCGACCCCTTGGATCCATACTGCGCCTGAAGCCTCATGACCGCAAAAGCCACAGCATTCGTAGCCAAAATGATGACTGCAAAAATCCTCACCGCCCACGCAAACCCCACACTCGTGAACAGCGCGCGCATAGAAAGCGTGTACGCAATACCTGCCACGCTCGCGCCCGTCGACGCCAATCCCGTCGCAACCATCCTCCTCTTCTCGAAAAACATCGCCAACACAACAATGGGAATGACAGCTAACAGCCCCGCTCCCAATACCCATGCACACACCCTGCGCAACCAGTATCTCCCCAATAACTCTTGCACCAACTCGTCGCCACCAACCCAACTACCTCCAACCCCGTGCCCACACCAATCAACGCCTTCAAATATCCCCGATCAACCCAACACACCCGCAGGCAAACATCCCAAGCGTCGTGAAAAACAACTGCACGCTGCCGATCCATGATATCGCCGATGCGGAGTGGGTGGGTAAGAGCGTGTCAATGTAGTATGTCTGGAACACGCCAAAGGTGTTGGGTAAGCCCCAGCGTATTCGCAAACAGAATGAAGCCGCCGAGGACTTGTAGCCATGCGATAAGGCCGTGGTTCGATGGGGGTATGTGGACGTGGATGCTGCGGTGTTTCTGGAGGTGGAGTGTGCGAGGAGGATGGAGGAGATGCGGTGGTCGGTGGAGCCGGCGTGGTGGAGGAGGGGTTGGCGTTCGTTGGGCGACATGATGGGAAACTAAAATCCTGCTCGAGAAGTTGGGGATTGTCGAAGCCTTTTCTCCTTCGAAGTGGGAGAGGGAAGTGGCTTTGTGTCCATGTTGGCAGTCAATGCATTTTCGGACGTGTGGAGTGGTGTCCTTGCGTGGATCGCTTCGGTTGGTTGCGGGATAGGCGGGAGATATGCAGGTACACGTTTTTGTGGGGATATGCGGTGAAGGGTTTGCGTTGGCAGATACGTCATCCTGATGAACTTCACAACTAAATTTGGGTAGCACAACAACATGAAGATTCACTGTATGCTTTGGGGTTGTGCGAGATCTATACATGTCGTCGATTTGTGTTGGCTTATTTGTGAAGGTAGGTGCTCGTCATTATGGCAAAATATGTGCACAGTTGCACGATCGCTAAGATGTTCCTGTATTATAGTCATAGACGTCACGCTTCTCTGGTAAACATTTTAAACTTGTTATTGCTTCTCAGCTACATACATGTTTTCATAATTTCGCTGCTGATGCTGTATGATACTGACTCTCTAATTCTTGCGGGGCTTCTTCCGCATCCTCGACGGTGGTTCCTCGTAATCGTCATCTTCTGTGTGCAGACGCTTGGTCTTCGCGGTCTGGCGTGCAGGACCAGCAGTTCCCGCATCGCCCTCCTCTTCCTTTTCATCATCCTTAGTGCGGTCCCAACATTTACGGCATTTCGGGCGAGCTTTTCCCCCTTGATACCTGCCTGTCTTGACAAACTCGCAGACTACGCACGTGTAGACGGTATTTGCATCTTTTTCCCGCTGTCTGCAGGCCTTGCATATTGGCTGATTGTCGCTCAGCCCAGAATGCTTGCCCTTCTTTTGCTCGCAGTCCTCACAGGTACGGAGAGGACCCTCCTCAGTCTTGATCTTACTAGTAGAACAAGCCGCTGTAGGACGAGCAGCCGCGTGACGAGGAGTTACTGGTGCGGTTTCTAAAGGAGGATTCTCGCAGTTTCGCTTACCGCAAAGACAACGGTCTTTGGGACCCTTAAACCACTCAGGACCATAGTTTACAGTAAGCTCCTCGCCCTTGGATATGGCTCGATTCGTTGAAACCCAGACGAGACGATAGTGTTCACCGCAGCGACCCTCGTAGAAGTCGCAATTTGGCTCGCAGCTGTGATTGAGGTAGCGAGTCACTGAACCTGTATGCGTCAAGTCGACCCAGGCATGATTGACACCCGGACTAATGCCAATCGAGATTTCCGTATTATAAATGCTGTCTTGCGCTCCTTGTCCCTTTGTTAGTACTTTGCCAGCGAGCTCGCCAATGTCAAGGCTGCTCTGCACAGCCTCACGAGCGAAAGCTCCCACGCCCCGGTCTTCCACTTGGCGCAGGAGGATGTTTTGGAGCCAGAATTCGCGGTCGCGATCAGAGCTCGACTGTGGGCTACAAGATCCGTTTGGGCATGGCTTGTCTTTTTGTCCGCATCCTACGCAGACGTCGCTCAACCGCGGAGACCCAGTGAGGTGAGCCAGACGTTTAGGTGGCCATATTCTACCCCTGAAATCCTTGGGTAACTTATTCGCCTTCATCCAATCGCGTGCTTCGAAGGTGTTCGAATCCGCCACTGTGCAGAAGACGCCGGAGTTGTTCGCATTGGGTATCTTCGCGATGGGCATGCCGTACTCATCCTGCGAATAGAAATAACGAGGACTTGACACCATCTTTGGGTCGTATATCTTACGGAGATAGTCCGTGATGTCGTCTGTGGATAGGTCCGATGACTCCATGCTCTGTCTCTTGACGCGAGCGGCAATGACCTTGAGCGCGGCTTCTTGAGTAGGAAGGATGGTGGCCATCTTTATAAGTTATGGTGGAGAAATTCGATTCCAAGTTGTGGTGGAGATCTTTGGTTGTGAGTTGGGGTGGAGAGGTTTTGTATCGTTATGGGGACATAGCGGTCGTGAGCAGGAGGAATATATAATCGCGGGGAAGTCGGGCGGGAGAGGGTGTTGTCTGCCATTGTTAATGTTTAGCGTCATCGTAGTCGCAAAACGATAGTTAGGTACAGATCAGTGATCTACCTCACTCTTGAGGGACGTTCTGCCTAGGAGCTGGCGTGACCCCGGAAAGATCGAGGCATTGTGAGCGCATTTCACTCGGATTGTCACGAGTAACGCTTCACAATCTAAGCCTCGACATCGTTATCGAATCCAGAGCTGGACTAGACAGTCTCTGATCTAGCGTCATTGACATCAGAACTGGACTCTTTCGAAGTCCGAATCAGTGTCGGAGGCTGCGCATTGGTGTCTGCGCTCTCGACTTTGTATCCTAGCTCCGCTGGCATATTCTGAAGTCTCCAGGGGATTGGTAGATGGAGAATCGGTCGCCGCTGCTTGACGTCGTGACATCTCCTTGGATCGTTGCTCGGGTTCATTGGTTGTGATTGTAGTGTTCGTATCCCTAAATGATTAGCATTGTGATCCATCCGAAAAGGGCGGCACCTTACCCTTGGGTCTAGCAAAACGTGTTTACAGCGACATATCTCAGTATTCCTGCCGCCTTTACTGAATGACATATGGGGGGTCATCGTCGCTTGATCTCGTCCATGTATCGCTTTTGGGAGTCTGGCCAGGATGGGCGACATCACTGATTGGCAACTCCGCAGAACAGGTCAGGAGTAGTTCATTGGTGGCAGTGTGTGTGAATCAAACTCCCGTTGCTTTCACTGCGACGGCTGGCATCATGGTTCGTAGCTGTGTTCGCTTCCAATGCCACTGCCCGTCCTTCGTGCTCCTGCATTGCTGTTTGTCGGATTCGTCAGGTGTACATATAACTTATGATGTTCGAGCTTGATTTATTTGAAGTGATAGAGATACTATTGAGAAGCATAATTCAGGTATATATGGGGACTTTTTCGGTAGCAAATCCATCGGAGAGAGCAAACATGCAGTTTGCAAAGCAGAGGTTCTGGTACAAGGAAACCTGTTTTACAGGTCTTACAGTGCTGGACGAGTCGTCGAGTAGCCTCAAACAGTTTTGTAGATTTCATAGTCCTGGAGAAATTGGATAGGCTCAAACTGTTTTCGATTGTTTCTTACGTTGTGTACAGAATGAGCTGGTTCAATCTCCTCCGCAGCACACCAAGAGTGCCATAAAGAACAGTCGAAGGCTTATGTAGCGTATGTGGCGGACTTTGCAACACCGTCATGTTTCAAATCCTTGCTCATCCATCGATGTATCGTGGTGTTCCTCATCACTTAGCGCTTATAAGGTGCCGTTGGGACTCCTGGATTCTTTGCCATCACCTCGGTTTGATGTCTTCCGGAGTAAGATGACTTCGCTCAACCTTCTAGAATCTTACAGTTCACGTGTTTGTGTTTGATGAAAATTTGCGAGTTGGAGATGCTTGGGCAGCCGGCGCTTTGTCGCATGGCGAGCAGATGCTGAGGGTGAGACTGCCCCGGTGTTTTGGGGTACATAGCGTGATCAACTATTCGCACGCGGCGCTGCTACGATGACGCACCTGTGTGCGCCTTCCGCGCAAAGATTCCTACGACAAATCCCTCAGCACGCGTTGCCCAATAGTGAGTAGTTCTGCTGTAATCCAGGTTCTCGTTGGGCGAGAACGATGTTTTTCTGCAAATGGTAAGCGCCGTGATTAGGGCACCGACAAAGGACCAAGACTGCGCAATTCCGGGAGGCGAATGGTAGGGCCGAATGTCTAAATAATGCCTTGCTCTTGCACTCTTGCCATGCTTCCTTATAGTAGGAATCCGCACTCGCACATTTGATGTCGAAGAATCAGCAAATGTGGCAGTATCTTTGCGCGAAATGTATGGCTACATGAGTGTGTAAAAATCGTACGTTCATTACATGCAGCCAAGCAGCCCGAGTATCCAAATTTAGGAAGTCGAGATTCCCGGACCCTGTTGGGCCGAGCGGAGTGGTTGAAATTACTTTCGGTGAGATTATTGGTATGCGCTTCGTTGGCTACGATACAGTTTGGCTCCCTCCGTTTCGAAATCGGTCTAGCCGAACTAGAGCTACACGGATCATGCCGACAAAAACGCCCGTTACATTCGCAAAGTCCTGTCAGCTTATGGCATAATTTCACAAGATTTACCCTTTGTGGACTACATTGGAATCTAGAACTGGAAAGGGTCCTGGAACGGTGAGTATAAGGACTTGGTCGTCAACCTCACTCCTGGTTACGCATCCTCCAGCATCATCAACTATGCAGGTCCTTACTACGCTGCTTCTCGCAGCCTCTGCTACCGCGCAACTCACCTCTAAACTCACTCAAATTACCGACTTCGGTCCCAACCCTCGCAATGTTGAGATGCATATCTACGTTCCTGCAAATCTACAGGCCAACCCACCGATTCTCGTCACCCCCCATTGGTGTGGCGGAACCGCTCAGCAGAACTTCGAATGGCGAGCCTGGGCATCTGCAGGCGACAAGTATGGTTTCATTACCATCTATCCCAACACGACGAACGCAGATCGATGCTGGGATGTAAGCAGCAAAGCAACGCTTACACATGATGGAGGCGGTGATTCACTGGGTATCGCCTCCATGGTTCGCTGGGCGCTGGAAAAGTACCACGGCGACCCGGACCGCGTCTTTGTACAGGGAACAAGCTCAGGCGCGATGATGACGAACGTCCTCATTGGAGCCTACCCGGACCTGTTTGCTGCTGGAAGTGCATGGGCTGGCGTGCCCTTCGGTTGCTATGCCGGCGATGGGTTCGACGTGTGGAACCCCGACTGCGCAGCTGGAAAGATCATCAAGACCGGAGCGGAGTGGGCTGCGATCGTGCATGCTGCATTCCCGGACTACCAAGCATTCCGGCCCAAGTTCCAGACTTTCCATGGTCTGGCAGACACTACAATCAGCCCGCAGAACCTGAAGGAGCAGATCAAGCAGTGGACTGCTGTTCTTGGTGTGAGCGAGACACCTAGCTCGACTACGCAGGACACGCCCTTGACTGGATGGACACGCTACCAGTATGGAGACAAGTTCGAAGCTTACGAAGCAGCTGGCGTCACCCACAACATCCCGACTCAGGACGACTTGGTCATTGACTACTTTGATCTGAGGTGCCAGAAGAGTGAGACAACCAAGTGCTACTCCAGGAGGTCTTAATTGTAGTATCATGCAGTTGATAAGCTCAAAATAGAATTTTAATTTTTCTCTGAACTCGCTTAGTGCTTGTGGGAATGACCATGATGATGGTGATCGTGCCCCTCGTCGTCTTCCTCTTCGGCTCCCGGTCGCGCCCATTCAGCCCAGTAGCCATCGTCCCACATCTCAGCCAGCTTCTCCTCCTTCTCTTCCTCATCCATTTTGTCATTGTGCATAACCTTCTCCCACTTCCGCATCTCTGCGCGACTCAACAAGCAATTGTCTAGTAGCTTAGTCAAACCTTCCACGTCGAGCTTCTCACCAATTAACACTAGCTCCTGTCGGCGATCACCCCACTCGCCCTCAAAATCTGCTCGAATGGCTTTCTCGGTCTCTTTGTCAGCGCCCCAATCTTCCTCTGACACGCAGCAGAACCACGGCATCTCAGAGCCGAGAGTGAGCATCGCGCCGGCGGTACTCCAAGACCCCATTTGGAAGGGGCGAGTAGCTAGCCAGAAGATACCTTTACTTCGATGAAGACCGCTGAAGTATGGACTAGCTTTCTTGTTCGCCAGGATGGTTGCATCGTCCAAAGGAGGAGAACTATCGCCCTCCTCGCTGCTGTTGTCTGAGGCGCCGGCTGACGGGCGCGACTCATCTGAATCGGACATGACTTCATCCTCGTCTTCCTCATCTTCGTCGTCAACGTCCTCGGCTTCATCCTGGAGGAGAATGAACTTTCCCTCAATGAGGCGGTACAGCTTCATTGGGTCAAACGGACGACGGGCGCGATAGACGAAGCTGCCGATACCGTATCTACATCGAAGATCAGTTTGGTGAAAACATGAAACTGAGAAAGAAAGACGTACTCGAGTGTCTCTGGCTTCGGAGCAAGGCGTTTCTTTCCTTGGACATCCATGACCGTCATCTCATGAATGCTCTTCAACCAGCCCGGGCTCGTGATAGCTTCCGCAAAGTTGAAGACACCAGTGTTTAACATCTCACGCACATCTACCTTAGAGTACCTGGCCTCGATGATCTTGGCAGTCGGATTGAGTGTTTTGACGTACGCCTTGACGCGACCCAGAGTCTTCTCATCGGCGCGATCGATCTTGTTCACGATGATGACGTTTGCAAACTCGATTTGGTCAGCGAAGAGGTCTGAGATCGTACGCTGATCCTCATCGGGTACTTCTTCTTTACCAAATCGGTCTTGAAGAAATTCGGCAGTGTCGAATTCAGAGAAGAAGCGGAATGCATCGACGACAGTCACCATGGTGTCCACGGAGGCTATGGTCTTGAGCCCACCGAGCTTTGCACTACAATCAGGTCAGCAAATGGAGTGCTGTAAAAAACTTGCGTACACTTACACTTTCATGAATGTCTCCTTCTCCTCGGTTTCCATGCCCTCGGCATCAACCATCGCCTCAGTCAACTCCGTGGTGAATGTCTCAGCAACTTGCTGCGGCTCACTGATGCCGGAGCTTTCGATGACAACGTGGTCGAACCCATCCTCGCTCCACGCAAGCCGTGCCAGCTCAGTGAGCAGATCACTTCGCAGTGTGCAGCATATACACCCGTTTTGCATCTGGACAATCTTCTCCTTGACCCGTACCTCTCCGGTGCTTTTGTCCTTGCCACGTACATCGGAGGAGCGAGCGATCAGGTTGGCGTCGACATTGACAGCAGCCATGTCGTTGACAATGACCGCGATTCGCAGGCCATGGTCAGGAGATTGGAGGATATGGCGGAGCAGCGTTGTTTTGCCGCTTCCCTAACAATCGTCAGTCATCTTTTTTCTCTCGCAGAGCGACCTCACACTTACCAAGAAACCAGATAGGATGGTCACTGGAAGTGGTTTTCGGGCAGTGTCCTGTGACTTTGGACTTCCCTTTGCCGCGCCATTGCTCGCTCGCTTTTGTCGCGCCATATTTGTGCTTTTGTTAGGAGACTGTATGAGGGGCAGGAATGAGTTTCTCGAGTTTCTCAAGCACTCAGGAAACACCTTGATGGTTTTTGTGTATGCTCATGCCGCGTTGTGCGTCCGACAAATGATGAGTACCTCGATGGCTTGCATCATCCTCAACAGGCGGCACCTCATTCGCTGACCCTCATTCGTAACGACAACAATTCATTTCTTATTGGTCGTTTGATCTGAAGAACCCGGTAAAGCTCGATCTCGTGAAGCCATGTCTGCTCGCTTGGATATGAGACGGACCTTAAGCCCGATGATGATGTTGTAAGAGGCACTTAGCTCAACTCAATCGTACACCAAGCAGCACGGGAGGTTTGGGTATGGATCCACCCTCCCAATTTGTTTACAATCATCGCAGAAAGCTTGAGATGCTATGTCATGTCAGCGGGCGGTCGCACGCAAATCAGATCGTGGGGAAAGCGAAATTTACGGAGGCGGTGAGTCTCATTATACATTGATTTGAAATCCAGCACGAGTATTATCGGCTGGGTTACGTCTACTTTTTATGCCGAATGGGCGACTGATGACCTCAAAACTATGGGCAGTTGGTACCGTTGCCCGCACCCGCACCCGCAACCTCGGTGTCCAAGACGGCAACACTCAGCTGCGGCATGTCGAACTTGAATAGACCGCTAAAGTCAGCTTCGAGGATGCTGATCGTAGTGTTCACAATGTTGATGCCAGTGTGGGGATCGTTGTATGCGAATGGATCGCCGCTGGGGTTCGTCAGGAGCGTCAAGTTCGCCTTGGTACCTGGCTTCACACCCTGGAAATGGACCGAGACCGGTACAGAAGACCCGTTGGTGGTGTTGTAAACTGCGCCCTTCCAGACCATGGCGTTGTTCCTCCTCTCGTCCACACCCGCGCCCCAGTAGACTGGGCCATACGAGCTGTTAGACGAGGTAGGAAGAGTATGGGTAATAGGGTGGTGAGCAAATAGGCTCCAGCAGTGGAAGCTCACGGACTTGGTCGTCAGCTTCACGTCGGCAGCAAATTGAAGAATGGTGATGGACCACTGCCAGCGGTTCTCGTTCTTCAATACCGGGGCGTAGAAAGCTCCAGGAATGCGGTCAGAGTTGCGCTCGTAGCCAATCAATGAAACGGCCTCTCCAACGGCGCCAATCCACCAGGGGTATGGCATCAGTTTGCCCTCCCATTTGGTTCCGCCGTTGGGATGGATCGCAGCCATCTCTCCAACAATGTGGCCAATGTCGTTGTCAAAGCGATTGAACTCCTTCACAACCTCATCAGGCTCGCGGTAAGGGTGGTAATCACCGATGGCGTCCTCTGGGAAGTCTAATGGTTCGCCTTCCTCGGGATCGGTTGTAGCAGCAGATGAGATGATCTGGATGTTGGGGTATTTGGCTTTGATAGCCTCGTAGAACAATGGGAAGCGGTATTGACGGTAAGAGTCCCAACCTCCGGGGAAGCCAGCGAGCCAGTCCTCATTACCAATCTCCACGTAGTCGAGCGAGTAAGGCTCGGGGTGTCCAAGTTCAGCGCGGACCTTGCCCCAGGTGGAGTTTGCTGGACCACAGATGAATTCGATCTCGTCAAGAGCGTCGTCGATGAAGGGCTGTAGGTCTTCTTCCGGAGTGGTATCGCCATTTAAAGCGAGACCAGCCCAAACAGCAAGAACTGAAAGATGTTAGCATGCAAAAGCATTGAGATAAGATTGGAAAGTGACCCACTCCTCTCAAGACCCATATCTTCTGACCACTCGAGATACTCCATCAGACCCAATCCGTTTGTTTGTTGGTAGCCCCAGACACCCTGAAAGCCTGGGCGGTTCCTGAGAGGGCCGAGTGAGTTCTTCCAGTCCCAGTATGTGTCATTGGTGAGACCCTCGAGCATATTGCCACCTGGAAAGCGAAGAACAGACTAGTACATAGTTAGTGTCGTACCGTAGGCTATGCTCATTAAGACTTACAGGGTTCATATCAGCGAGTGCCTCAGCAATATCGATTCTCAACCCATTCTTCCTGTTCTTGTATGTAGGAGGAAATAGACTGATAAGGTTGAAGTCCAACGCGCCGTCGGAAGTTCCAGCAGGGTCGAACGTGATTGAGAAAGTGTTGTTCGAGTTAGGAGCATCCTTCTCGGGTGTGAGCTCGAAAGTGTGTTCGACCCAGTCATCTTCGACACACTTTGACGGCACTTCAACGGATCCGAAAACGTCGGAAGTCAAGTTGGACTCGAGCGATGCAGTGAAGTTGCCTTTGTACTCGCCCTTGACCCAGAATGAGCCAGTGTACTTATGCTGCTTCACGTCCATGCCCCAGTAACCTTCGTTCTTGAACCCAATCTTTCCGGTGCCGTTGCTAGCTGCTACACGCATGGATGCAGGCAGGGCCTCGGATAGTGGGTGTGAAAGGTTTTGGATGCTGAGCTCGGCGCCATTGATGGGAAAGTAGTTTGCCGTCGACACTGAGTAGTTGCGGCTGTACTGGAATGCGCGGTTCTGAATCAAGCTCGGCGTAAATACCTCCGTCTCCAGAATTGTTGATGTCCTAAAGACTTGTCAGCTTTGTTGAGATCAAATGCGATTAGCTCACTAACCTCATGAAGGAAACCATATCCGTATGGGCGGCCAAACTTGCCGGTAAGATGTGCCGCCGGTAACACTTGAACAACAACTGATCTGACAGCAAGAGCTGAAGCAATGCACGAAGCTGCAACAAGCGCTCGTTTGAAGAGTGCCATTTTGTCAATTGAAGCGTGCAATGCTGATCGCACATGCCTGCACGCTCCATTTTATAGTTCCCCAAACTTTTTGATCTCTACCGTTATTTACCCAGAACCAACTTGGCGGGCGGGTCGACCGTACAGGATCGTCACTTTCGCCTCAATTCTCTCCGGTTGAAGAGCTGAAAGCGAGGGGAAACCCCGGATGATGCACGTCACTAAGGCGTGGGGCTCCGGGCGCGTCTACGCCAATTGGAGGAAACATCGCAACCCCAGACGGAAGAATGGCTGCGACTCCGCAAATCCTCGTCGGCCCTTTCGAATTCGTCGACGTGACCTTCTTCGACAGGCATCAAGCTGCCATGAAGTCCTTGGATTTTCAACTATTTTGTACAAGCTGACGGCTCGGCGACAACAGAGCGATCTTTGCATCTCGACATTGAGGCGGAATGGAGGAAGGGACCTTGGAACGGTTGGCAAACAAGGTTCTGCTAAACAGGCTGAAAGCGAACGGCCGAGGTGATGCGCCCCTGCGTCAGATACGAGGGCTTGGTGAAGCTGTGGATGAACGCAGTAACCGCATCGTGAAGAGCAAGGTCGACACGTTCATGTTGCGGAAGCCATGTCCGAAGAGGCTGGAAATTGGACATGAAAGGAATGGCGGCGGCCGAACCTCGGATCTCCGATGCAGGATCTTTTCATCTGATATGATTACCCCTCATCGATAGAAGACAGGGCAACTTGACGTGACACCAAACAGTCATCATGACCGCAGCAACGAAAGCCACAATCTTCGCCAACGGCAAATTCTTCCAGAGTGGCGAGTCGCGTTTTCAACAACACTTTCACGACACCCTCGTAGTCCAGGACGGCAAGATTGCATACCTCGGCAATGGGGACGCTGCTGAGATCCAATCTTTCCGAGAGGCTGGCAGTGAGGTGAAAGATCTCGGCGGACGACATGTACTTCCTGGCTTCATCGACGGGCACATGCACTTTTTGTTGCTGGGTCAGACGCTCAACAAAGTGAAGCTAGACGGATGTGAAAGTTTAGCGGATATCCGGGCTCAAATCACGCTGTACGCAAAGGAGCATCCGGAAAAAGATCGCATCTTGTGTTCAGGATGGATGCACTATATGACGGATGGTCAGGCAAATGCGAGCATGCTGGATGATCTAGACCCAAGGCCCATATACATTGACTCGAAAGATCTCCACTCGTGCTGGTGCAACAGCGCAGCGTTGAAGGAGATGGGCGTTCAGGGGATGGAGAACCCAGCGGGAGGAAAGATTGAGCGAGATGCGGACGGTAAAGCGACAGGCCTTCTCAGCGAGGCATGCATTATCCTGATTGTATGGCCGTACCTGGCACAGGTCCTGCCACTTGAAGATAAGATGGCGGCACTTCAGGCAGCGATCAATGGATATCACGCTGTCGGAACTACAGGCTGCATCGATATGGCCATGGAGGATCCTGCATGGGACGCAATTCTAGCACTTCGAAAAGCTCACGGCGGCTCATTGCCTATTCGCGTAGCTGCGCATTGGATCATCATGCCGGGTGATGGGGAAGAGCATCGGTTGCGACAGGTCGCCCGCGCAATCGAATTGAACAAGCAATACAACGAAGAGACTGACCCGGATCTGCGCATTGTTGGTATTAAGCTCATTACAGATGGTATCGTAGATGCTTGTACAGCAGCATTGTCCAAGCCATACACTTCGAACATGCACTTTGAAGGCCCGATCTGGACTCCCGAGATGCTCGACCCAGTCATAAAGATGGCGATTGATGCAGGCCTACAGTGTGCTGTGCATGCAATCGGTGATCAGGCCGTACACAACGCCATCAACGTTCTCGAGAAGTACGGAAAGCCAGGTCAACGCCACCGAATCGAGCACCTTGAGGTCACGGCACCAGAAGACGCCAAACGACTTGGAAAGCTCGGAATTACAGCAAGCATTCAGCCAGTACATTCCGACCCGTCTATTCTGAGAGCGTGGCCGAAGTTGATTGGTCCTGAACGCTTGAAGCGTGCATTTGCATACTCTGAGTTCGCAGATCACGGAGCTCTTCTGGCTATTGGTTCTGACTCGCCAACTGCACCTCAAGCAACACTACCAAACCTATACGTGGCGACTACACGCAAGTCTGCAAGACAGCCAGATGCCAATGATGCGCCCGTTAACGAGAACTTCGTACTCGGGTTGGCCCAGGCCGTGACTGCAGCGACAAGTGGCGTGGCATATTCGTGCTTTGCGGAAGACCGGGTTGGAAGCTTGGAGGTAGGCAAGATGGCAGATTTTACTGTGGTGGACATGGAATGGAAGGGCGAAGAATTGCTCAAAGCGAGCATCAAGGAGACATGGTTCGAAGGCAAGAAAGTTTATGAAGCTTAAAGTGTAGTCGAGTCTTCGGAGCCAAAAGAAGTTCCCTCCTGCATGGTATACACTCCTTAGACTATATTCTCACTCGTTTGCACAAGATGCGCATTGACTGGTGTCAAAGCCTTCCCATCCTTCAAGAACGCTTCAATATTCTCCATAGCTAACCGCTCGAAGCCAGCAGCTGTATCCCACGCACCACCCGCATTGTGACAGGTCAATGTCACATTCCGCATCTTGGTGAACTCCTGATGAACATGTGGCTCATTTGCATGAACATCAAGCCCTGCAGCAAAGATGTGCCCGCTCTTCAGCGCATCAACGAGCGCATCTTCATCGACCAGCGTCCCTCGCGCGATGTTCACAAATCGACTGCCTTTCTTGAACTTCCGCAATCGCTCAACGGTGATAAGCTTCTCGCCAAAGAAAGGAGTTGCTACGACAGTGCAGTCTGCAACCGCCAGCATATCGTCCATCTTGTCATAAAAGGTCGCATTCACTGCTTTTTCAATCTCATCTGATTTGCGCGCAATGTCGTGATACAGCACATTCATGCCGAAGCCCAACCACGCTTTTCGCGCAATCGTTTCCCCGATATTTCCCAAGCCGATGATGCCTAATGAGCGACCTCGTGGATTGAAGGCAGTGTCCTGCTGATGCTTGTGCGCGAACTTCCATTGCTCCACATCGCCTGACTTGGCGGCTTCGGCGCTCCAGATCAAGTTCCGGAAAACGGAGAGGATGTGCCATATTGCCATGTCGGCGACTGCTTCTGATGAAGCCCGGGCGCCGTTGCAATATGTGATGCCTGCCATTATCAGTACTGCTATTTCCACAGACTTCGGAAATGCTCACCATGTTTTGACAGCGTTGGAATGTCTGCCCAGTCGTATCCTGCTCCTGCACTCGCAAAGATCTTGCACGTCTTGGGAAGATGGGGAACGAGCTCTGGGTCCCATTTCCCCATCTCACCCCCCGAATTCCAGAAGGGTCGGAATACGGCATGGAAGTCACCCCATCTTCGTTCCCTGAGGGCAGTAATGAAGTTGTCTCTTTGGCGCTCTTCAAGTGATGGTTGGATGACGTTAAACTGCGAAGAGAAGGCTTTATAAACATCTGGGTTGTATACGATATCGTCGCCGATGTGTAAGACCGTGAACTGTTTTTCAGACGGCATAGTGGATAAAACTGTGCTTAGAGTCGCTTAAGAGAGTTAACCGTATACTGGCTGCACCTTGATCTATATTGAACAACATGGCTGGGCATGTACCGAAGGCTGGCGCTTACCAACCGTTCTTAGGTACCCAAGTCGCCTTCCGAGCGGCTCTTCGTCGGATGCGCGAGCGCATCGCATGACACAACATATGCGGAGATCGACGCATGAATGACAAGATTGGATTTGCCCCAGTTTTTTGAAGTCGTTTCCTATGGGGAAGCAAGGCCACGAAGCCAGCACACCTTACCTGAAGCAGATTAGACTCAGGCAGGCCAGCGGGCTAAAACGGCTGTAGAGTTCCGAGTGTTCGATCTACCCAAGCATCCTGGACATCTGCAGTCCAGGAAATAATTGCCGGGGCTTTTGACTCTGTTAAAATCGTCGGCTGTCGCTTACGCTAAGGTAGTTCGATGGAGATGTGGAGTTCAGTGACCTCGTGGGCCAATACCCCACTGTCTCCAGACTGAACCTGGAGAAGTGCAGTCTGGGGAACGATTCAGTCCAAATCACTGAATTGTTTTAAGAGAGACCGACTGCTAGGTTTACCAACTTTCGTTCGCGTTGCACTCTCACCAACACAATGGCAGATGAAAAGAGATCCGTCGATATGGTCGACCACAAGAAGGTGCCTATCCTCTCAACCATCGATGGCGATATTGCCTTAGACAGCCTCGTGATTGAGGACCGCGAGGTCAAGGAACAGGCTTTAGTGCGCAAGGTCGATATTCGCATGATGCCATTGATGATGTTGCTTTGTTGGTACCACAAATTCTTTATATTCATCTAAACCTGACAGTGCCTCCTAGATATCCTCAACTATCTTGACCGGAACAATATTGCAACAGCTCGACTCGGATCGCTCGAAGCAGACCTAGGTCTAAAAGGCAATCAATACAACACTATTATCAGCATCTTCTTTGTGTAAGCTAGAGACAACTACAGAGGCCCAGGGATTGCACTGATGGTTTGCAGCGGGTACATCTTGACACAGGTGCCGACCAATATGATTCTTGACAAGATGCGTCCTTCCATTTTCTTGCCGGCCATCATGTGTATGTGGGCGACCGTCTCCACCTGCACAGGCGCTGTACAGAACTACCAAGGCATTGTCGTCCTCAGATTTTTTCTCGGCTTCGTTGAGGCTCCATTCTTTCGTAGGTGCACCTGAGTACGAGCAATTCGACTTCGCTGACAACTCTCAGCTGGTGCGCTGTATCTATTCAGCTCATGGTATACCAAACGCGAACTTGCCAAGCGCATATCTATCCTATACGCGGCGGGGCAGATGGCAGGAGCCTTCGGTGGTCTTCTCGGAGCTGCAATAATGGGTGGGATGGACGGTAAGGCAGGTCTACCGGCTTGGAGATGGTTATTCATTATTGAAGGAGTTGTGTGTTTCCCTGTTGCAGCTTTTACGATGAAGATCTGTCCAGACTATCCCGGAACCACTAAGTGGCTTACTGAAGAAGAACGGAAACTCGCCGTGCTTCGCATTGCAGAGGAAGCCAACCAGGACGATAACCGCGCCGAGGTTACCGCTGTACAAGGTGCTAAGCTAGCTTTTGCTGATCCAGTACTGTACCTCATTTGGTTCATGCAGTTAGGTCTGAACACTGCTGCAAGCTTCATCAATTTCTTCCCGACCATCGTCAAGACGCTCGGATATGGTCAAACGACGACTTTATTGCTCTCCGCACCTCCATACGTCTTTGCGGCCATCCTTGGTATTTGCAACTCATGGCACTCGGACAAGACCAAGGAGCGCTGGCTACATGTCGTATGGCCTCAAATCTTCTGCAGCATCGGCTTCATCATCTCCGCGACGACGATGAACCTCGCTGCCCGCTACACAGCGACCTTCATGATGATGTCTGTGTACGGATCTTTTGGGTGCATATTGTCCTGGGTATCTACTTCGCTTCCTCGTCCACCCACCAAGCGCGCAGTTGCATATGCGGTCGTAAACGCCGGTTCAAATCTCGCGTCCATATATGCGTCGTACTTTTATCCCAGCTCGCAGGGACCGAGATATTGGCAGGCAAATGTTGCGAACGTAGCCTTTGCAGGAATGTGCGTCATTCTGGCGACTGTGACGAGGTTCTATCTGGCCTGGAGGAACAAACAGCTGGAGAAAGCCGCAGCAGAAGACCTGGCGGAGGGATACGATGGGCCCGTGGAAGGCAGCAAGGCAGCGATGGTAGCGGCGCGCTGGCATTGTGACCCGGCATACAGGTTCACGCTTTGAAGTTTTCGTACTCTGTTCGAATGTTTCACATCCGAAGTGGGTTTACGCAGTCGTCTCCGTAGCTTTACAGCTAGATCAATTCCGGTCTGATAAGCAAAATTGAATAGGCGTGAACATGGCGCTATCGCAGATAGCTACGTAGGTACCAGTTAAATAGTTGTTGCTGAACTTGTTTGATAACGGGATAAGAATCTTGCTGTCGTGGAAGAGAAATTGTACTGTCACGGTGAAGAAAACTAGATGCGTGATCTATGATCGACACATGTGTTGATGCAGATCAAAATGGATGCGATGAGGAACATGAAGGTTGGCCGAGGCAGGAACGAGCATTCCCAGGCAGAACTCAAAAGCGATGTCCATGCCTCCTCATTGGATGGAATGTCAATTTTCCGCGCTGGTACCTTCAATTAGCGCTTTGGCTCTTCTCTGATCAGCTAGATCCAGTGTTTCATCTTATCGCGCGCCGCTTAGACCCGTCTGGCCTTTTCCAATTTGCGCAATTAGTGCCTCGCTGGGTTCACCCCGTAAGATGTTTCTTCCGAGCCGTTGTTTGACAACCACGCCTCAGCGGCATATAGTGGGGCGCATCTCTTGACGGCTCTTGATTATACTCGGCGATGGGGCTTGCGATGCTTAGCTTATAGAAGGATGCAGGGCCCAATACATACTGCTTATGCGGCTAATCAAAGTAGTTCCGCGGTGAGATGGGTGGGCTATAAAGCAAAAGATCCAGGGTCCCGACAATAATCTTGCATCGACTGAAGGTCTTCGATCGTTCTACAACCTTCATCATGCGCGCAAACGGTATGATTGAGTACATGTCCTCACGACAATTGAGTTGCTAACAGATGTAGGTTCAATCGCATTGTTGGCTCTTGCTGCCGCAGGACACGCTGCCGTCCTCCATAAGCGCGAAGCAGCAATTTGCGTTAAGGACTCCTGCCTTGAGCTTTTCCAACGCCTTGAAATCATCGCAAAACCGTTCTGCTCTGCCTATACCCATTCTCCGACTCATCCCGTACCAGCGTTCGCCGCTCGATGGTCCGACGTCCCGGCTAAAATATCAAGCGCATGTGCATGCTTGAATGGTGGTAAGCCGACCGCAGCTCCTAGCAGCACATCTGCGGTCATCTCGACGCCGATCTGCTCACAGACTGTCGTCACAACTGCTGCGCCTTCAGCAACCACGTCGCCAACTACTGATGCGTGTTATGTGACGAAATTCTCGGCCATTCCAGCAGCTACAGCGGCTTGCACGGATATCACCCTGGATGGAATTACCGTTCCCGGAAACTCGACCATTGACCTGTCGAAGCTAAAGAAAGGCACCAAGGTCACGTTCAAGGGCAAGACGTTCTGGGAGTACTTTGATGCCAATTATCCTTTCATCAAGGTCGGAGGCACCGATCTTGAGATCACGGCTGCCGAGGGTGCTGTCCTGGATGGCAACGGTCAAGCATGGTGGGATGGTATTGGCAGCAATGGCGGTGTCAAAAAGTAAGTTTTCGGACCTGTGAATGCATGCACATAGCTAATTGGGACAGGCCTAACCATTTTATCGAGCTCACCAAGGTTCTTGGATCCAGTTCAGTCCACGATATCTACATTGAAAACTATCCCGTCCATTGTTTCAGCATCAGCAACAGCGCGGGTATTGATCTTCACCACATAACCCTGAACAACAGCGCCGGATATGCACCAAACAACCGCTCAAACGGCCTAGCAGCTGCTCACAACAGCGATGGTATGTCACACCCTGCTTGAACAATGTGCAAACACTAACAATAGACCCCAGGCTTCGGTATCGGGACTTCAAACAACACCGTAATCCGTGACAGCATCGTCATCAACCAAGACGACTGCGTAGCGGTAACCAGCGGCAACAACATCATGGTTAACAACATGTACTGCAACGGCAGCCACGGCCTCTCCATCGGTTCCGTCGGCGGCAAGTCCTTCAACAACGTGACCAACATCTCCTTCAAGAACTCAGTTGTGCTGAATGCCGAAAACGGTGCGCGCATCAAGAGCAACTCCAACACCACGGGCTTCATCTCCAATATTCTTTTCGAGAACATCCGCGTGGAGAATATTTCAATCTATGGTATCGATATCCAACAAGACTACCTCAATGGTGGCCCCACGGGCAACCCAACGAATGGAGTGTTGATCCAGGATGTCACGATCAGGAATGTTACTGGTACTGCGACTGAGGAAGGACGGAATTACTACATCCTCTGTGGAGAAGGAAGTTGCAAAAACTTCAACATTAATGATGTTGATATCCAGGGAGGAGGGAAGCCGAGTGCTTGTAATTTCCAGACGAATGGGAATTTCGATTGCGATGGGGGGTTTCACTAGAGTGTGAGTCAATAGCGACGCTATAAGTCGTAATGTATATGCATGTAATTCGATCAATGTCTACTATATGAATCGCTGAAGTTCTGCCCTAGTTCTGTGTATTGGTATTGCAGGCCGCACTTTCGACGTGGTCAGGACAAATATTCTGACCAGAATACATTTGGTGTAAATCTCAGTCGACAATGAATCTTTCAAGGTTACAAGCGACCGCGTTTAAGTGCTTTGAGTACTCATTCATCAGGCGAATGCACAACGAAAATTTATAAAGTTATGTGCATTATATCCAAAGCTACATCTGAGAAAGCTACTAAAAGGGTATACATCGTCAAACCGTACAAATCGATTGTCCATGCGACTACACAAAGCTGAACGTCTACTGCTTCTGCGAAATCATGACCTCCTCGTTCTTCGCGATCTGAGCAACATTAACACCCTCACCGTTGATCGAGTTGGCACGGACAACGCTCCTGGTGCCCGTCGAGTCAAGGTGGTAATCAACGTCCGACTCGTCGCGCATAACGAGCTCTTCCTTGTCGATCTTGCGGAAGGTGAAGTAGAAGACCACAGCAGTGATGAAACCAGCGATAGCTGGGCCACCGAAGTCCCAGGTGAGGTACGGGTCACGAATGACGGCCGAGCAGGCAAGACCGATAGCATAGGCGACACCGGTGTTGAAAAGGTTGATGGCAGATACCAAACCACGCATGCTGACGGGAGCGCGAGAGTAAGCGATACCGTAGGCGGGGACGTTGACGAAGACTTCGGAGATACCACCGAGAGCGTAGGGGATGGCCATGTACCAAATGGAAATAGGCGCGACTCCGGTGCCAATCTCGCAGTCGTCGGAACCGAAATTACCGCAAGGAGACTGCTTGTAAGCATAGTAGTTGAGAACAGTGTATCCTACACCACCGATTGATGACATAAGCAGTCCGGTGGTGATGCGGGCGATCGGGCCGTATTGGATTCTGGCCTTGCGCAGACTGGGGTAGAGGACATAGTTGAAGATGGGAACAGTGCAGATGATGCTCAAACTGTTGAAGTTCTGGATGACATCGTTGGGCACGCCGTTGGTGGTGAGCATAGTCGAGAGATAACCGGCAGCGCCACCAATACCGTTGTCGTTGAGGTACTGGATGGGGAAGAAGCAGAAGATTCCGGTAGCCTGAACAGCGCGGGCGACATCATCGACGAACTCGTCATTCCAAGTTGTCTGAATAGAAAGACCAGCGGCAGCAATATTTGACGGCTTTCCAAGTGCCCAGAAGCCACCACGACCAATTTTACCAAGACCACCTCGTCGGAAGATGACACCGAAGAGCTTGAAGACTTGACCGAGGTTGCTGCCGGCAGGTGGGTGGAGCACAAGACGCTTCTTGAGGAACCAGAGCAGGAGGGGAAGGGGAAGGTACAACAGCAGTGGCAGCAAGAAAGCCAACCACCAACCTATGTACTTCTCGGTGTAAGTGGTTGCAACACCCATGAAGCCACCGACGTTGATGAGGAGGTAGAACCACAGCATGACGCGCTCAGTAGTCGCCTCTGGGTCTTCGATAACTCTCTCTCCTTTCTTGGTGGTGACCACTTTCGGCACCCTTGTGGTCATTTGGTCGAGAAGCATGGGGGAGACATTTGGCTTGAACATGGCTGGTCATCGTTAGGATTGATCGTATATATTGGAGAAATATGCTTACCAGCTCCAATAGCAAGAATGTACAGCGCAAGGAAGAAGGGGGTTTTGGCACTTCCATCAGCCAGCAGACTCTTGCTAGCACTGACTACCATCAAGACGTGGGCTACACCAAAGACAAGCACACCCCAGCAGATGAGCTTGAAGCGACCGGTCTTAGTATCGGCCAACCAACCGAAGAAGATGGGAAGGATGTACACCATCATCTGGAAGGATTGTGAGACAGCATTGGCCTTGACGGTTCCCATGCCAAGAGCACCAGCGGTCTGCTGAGTGCCACGAGGTGGAGCTCCCCATCCGTTTCCGCCCTTGGGAAGCGGTCGGTTGATGAAGTTACCGAGGAGTTGCTGCACTCCGTAGTAGGATGCGCGCTCAGCGAACTCAACGGCACAGATCAAGTAGGCCACAGTGGGCATAGGCCCAGCAACACGACGGAGGGTCAGGAGTTCCTCAGGCGTGGGCTTGCCCTCATAGTCGCTGTTCAACAGTGCATGGTCGTGAACAGCGTTGGGATACTCGGGCGTCTTCTCGTCTGCCGAGAACTCACGCTCTGGCGAGTGGGAGATTGCGGAGGCTGTGTCATTTGTGAGTAAAACCTTTTAATTCTTTTGAAGTTAAGCGCATACCCATTGCAGCGATTCTTGTGAGAGAAAAAGCTGAGCAGTCGGTCTAATTGCACGCGACAGCGGTGCTCTTTAAAGCCTCAAAGGCTGGCCAATACTTGCTAGGGTGGTCTTGTCAAAGACAAGCCTTGATTAGCTGCTTGCTTATCTAGCGCGATGCCGGATTAGGAAGGTATGATGGAGCTTAGCTCGTTCGGCCGTACCGAATCCAATTGCTCGGGATCATCAGAACGCGGCAAACGGGGACACTCCAGGAACATCCCTTGGTCACTTGCTTATCGACTCCGTTTTTGCAACAAACGACCGGCGCGCCACCAACTTCACACCGCGAACCCCGTCCCGTGCTCGACGCTGTGGACGAATGACAGCGCATGTGTAGCGTACGAAATGATGAACCGCCGTCAGATGATTCGCCCGAGCTAGCCGTTAATGTACGCCCCTCCGCGCCCTCATATCTCTTCCATGCTTCTTTCGATGCACCCTCCGGCTTGCGTTATTCCTTGGGGAAATTCGTGTGTTCTCACTGGGCCTCGAACACCATTGCACGCGACTATCTCTTCCGTCCCAACCAAGCTTTGCACTACCAGTTACTAGCAGCGATAAGCAATGTTCTCGAAGGCTTCGCCGCATGTCCCAAGTGGGGTTCACAGAGCGGCAACAGCCCAGGCTCCATTCCAATTTATGATCATGGTAAATAGGGCGTCTGAAGCGTGGGTCGCCTAGCTATTGGCTTCTGAACGGTGTCGTGGGACACGAGGAACTGCCTAAAGTGGCGAAGACGGCGTCTAAATCGCTCAATCTAAGAACCCTAGACACGATACCAGACTTGACCGGTATCTGATGAAAGACCATGGACATGCATCCTATTGGGGTAAGCAGATGGGATGCCCAACGTCTCTCGCATGTAGGATTCCTTTCATTTGACAGGTAGCGAGACATGCAACCGCGCCGTACTTCAAATCAGGATACCTTGCAGCCGCTCAAACTTGTTACCTTCATCTGTGGACAGTCAATTGGTCGAAGAAAATTGAGATGACGGATTCACCGTTGTTTGGTGGCAATATGACGACGGCATTTCCATCGAATCGTCACTGCTAGGATTATAAGCAGGCACACAACCTTGGAAAAGCCAAGAGTGTCTACATTCTGGGCTTGTTCAACACCTCATAACGGCAGGCCGGAATTGCAATCTCATATAGGCTAGCAAACCACTATGCGTAGACCTTGAATGGTCCAGGACCTCAAACAGAACAGACAGAACATACAGCGGCCGCATTAAGGCCGTTTATCTGATGCCGCTGCAGGGATCCCTTCTATCACGTCAAGAGCACGCAATTCACAGCGCGCAAATGTCGGGAAGCCCGTAATCGAGCCCTGTCGCAAGGATCTGTAAATTCCGGGGCATGCTTTCTTAAGCACGCAGATGCCTGGGGTTCTTCAGCCTCCGCTTAGACGGCAAGATCTTGCCCATGATATCAGCTCCTAAACACCATCTTTTTGTCATTTTTAAATCGCTCTAGGTATTCTTTCCTTCACAAGTTTATTGTGTCAGATTATAGATCATAGTCAGCACTACTACACTCTGGTAGACTACGAATGCGCCACTATCATCTGTTATCCCAGACCTTGATTAGATGTTTCTTTTCCATACACAACTGCTCTCAAAGTCTAGCGCAGCACGGAGGAACCATAATTAGTATCTTGCATCTTCACAAGCAGCCGACTCCAACAACCTTTCCGACACAATCTGCTCTAACAGCTCCTACCGACTCTTTAGCCAGCCCTCATCCACAAATTTGACCTTGGACGGCAGTAAAAAAGCCAAAGCCAAGCCGGCGTCATTTGCTACTACAATACAAAGACTATCATAACTAACATGTCTGATTAGACGAGTAAAACACGAATATACGTCGATGTGTGCTACCACCCAACAAAGACTATGGCCACTGAAGTCGTGTACTAAATAATGATACCGCAAATATATACGAAGTTTACAAAGCCACTCTTCATCCCCGACACTCAAAGTAAGCAGCATGTGTAACTCAACCACATCCACCATCGATGATACTCGTTCCACAACCCGGCCATATCCGACTCCACGGTAACAAGTACTCCGCAACATGTCCCTTATAACGGCCCCGAAGGATTCGCGAAATGCAGAATTCCTCACCGCACACTTACGGATCTACACACATAACCACAACAAAAACCAGCCTCCTCCTCTCGAAATCCCCGGCGATATGCTCAGCTGCACCACCAAAATTCTCGCTCTCTCCCCGGACTGCCGTGCGAATCCCATTGCCCCGGAGTGGATCTGCGACTTGGGGCTGGCGGCCGTTGTGTGCCTGAAGAACTGCTTTAGGATTTCTGGCAAGCCGTTGACGGATGCGCTGGGTATGGCGGACGACGTGTGCGAGGGGTTGTCGTGCCGGAGGATATTTGGGCTGTGTCCTGCAGAGGGGTAAAGCAGAGGTGATGGGGATGGAGGATGGAGATGGGGAGGTGGAGATGCGAGATTGGATGCTTCAACAGGTATTAGTGTTGTTTGAGTTGGGGGTTGAACAATCTGTGTTGCGCTGTCATGGCGTTGAGGTTTCTGGGCGATGTCAGGAATAGGGGGCTCCGGGCGGAAGCAGCTATGTGCCCGCCTTCACGATAACGTCGATGTCAGGTAGTCTACAGGTAGAGATCAGATACAGGTATGTCAGCGTACGGCGGCGAAAGAGCGCATCTAAGCTGAGCCTTTTGAACTCCTGGTACTGTTGGAGTATCAGCAATATGTTGCATTACTTACTCTGTGACAATCTCTCAGCGATACTTTGCCCTAACGATGTCTCCTCCTCTAACACATTGTCAAGAGTCAATATCCGTTGGTGAGGACAGGGCATGAGCAGGCATCAAAACTCTTGACATAGTCTATTCCCAGTAATCTGTTTGAATTGGTGGAGTCACAAATTCACAGACTGGTGTGTACGCCGTACGGTGGAAAATGTATGAAACGCCAACACGTCGAATAGTTTGGTGTGAATGTCGTTGATTTTGTCAGTGAGACAAAGATAGTTGATACTAGCAGACTTCAGTGCCGTAAACCAGCCCAAACGCCGAGGCTATGCATCGAAAAGACAACTTCGTAGAGAATAGGCCAGGGCTACCGCCTTCCTCCCCTGCCAGCACCCGGACTTCCGCCTCCCATTCCACCCATCCCTCCCATCATCTTCATCATGGCGTTCATATCCGGCATGCCACCCATGCCACCGAGTGCTGACATATCCGGCATACCGCCACCACCACCACCGCCCATCATCTTCATCATAGCGCCGAGATCAGGCATGCCGCCGCCGCCACGACCCGCGGCGCCGCCCATGCTCTGCATGCGCTTCTGCATAGCCGCAAGCTGCTGCTGCTTGTTGCCGCCGCCCATGGCGCCCTGGGCTTTCTGCATATTCGCCATGCCGCCCTTCATCTTCTTGGCCATGCCGGCCATCATGCGATGTTGAGTAAGCAGTTCCTCAACCTCACGCACGCTTGTGCCTGAGCCGCGGGCGATGCGGGTCATGCGGGTAGGCTGGTCGACGAACATCTTGCCGTCAGATTCGAGTTCCTTTTCTGTCATGCTGTCGCAGATGTATATCATGCGCTTGAGCTTGGCGCCGCCTTCTTCGTCGTCCATGCCGCCCATCATGTTGCCGAGACCGGGGATCATGCCCGCCATTTTGGAGAGGGGGCCCATTTTCATGATGTTGGAGAGTTGGTCGCGCAGGTCCTTAATGGTGAATATGCCCTGGGTGATGTGCTTCATGGTGTCTTTTTGGTCGAGCTTGAGCGATTGCACGTGCTCGACGAGACCTTGCACGTCGCCCATGCCGAGCAGTTTCGAGACGAAGGGCTCGGGGCTAAAGCGCTCGAGATCGAGCATGTGCTCTCCATTACCGATGAAGACGATGGGCGTGTGTGTTGCTGCGACTGCGGAAATGGCACCACCACCCGCTGCTGCACCGTCTGTCTTCGTGATGACGATGGCTCCGAAGTCTGCCGCGTCTTTGAAGGCTCGCGCCTGGCCTTCTGCTGCCTGACCGATTGTCGCATCGAGCACCATGATTGTCTGATCGGGCTGGACTGCGTTTTGAATCTGCACCATCTCATCGAAAAGGTCCTTCTCTTGCCTGTGTCGACCTGACGTGTCCACGATGATGATCTCGAAGCGCTCCTTCTTGAACTTTTCCACACCCTCTGCTGCCACAATGACGGGGTCCGTTTGGGTGTGGGAACCGAAGTACGGAATCTTCGCCTTGGTCGCATTCTGCTTCAACTGGTCGAACGCACCGGCACGGAAAGTATCCGCGCACACCAAGCACGCTTTGAATCCTCTCGCCTGGTACCATCTCGCCAGCTTCGTACACGTTGTCGTCTTTCCGGAACCCTGCAGACCAACAAACATGATGACGTTGGATTTTCCCTTCTTCGGCTTGAACGGCTCGGCGTGGGGGTCGACGAGCTTGACGAGTTCATCGAAGACGGCTTTCTGGATCACGCGCTTCTTGTTGACATTGGGCGCAAGGTGCTTGAAGTCGACGGAGCGCTTGATGGACTGGCGGAGGTTCATGACGAGCTTGACGTTTACATCGGCTTCGACGAGGGCGTTGGAGATCTCCTTGACCATGGCTTCAAAGGCCTGCGACTGTTAGCTACGTCTCAAGCTCGGATTGTGGTGGCTTACCTTCTCATCGAGGTTTGGCGACCGCGTGAGGTCGTTGACCGCGGCATTGATGCGCCGCCCGAGATCTTGAAGCACCATGATTGCGGTTGGGTTGTGGTAGGGAGTGGTGGTTGTCGAAGGCGACGATGCGGTCCACGGGTTGGATATGTGTGGGGGATTGTAGCGGGGCGCTTGGCGTCGGTGAAAGCGCGCTCGAGTTGCCGATCACCAACTTTTTTCTGTCGCGCCCGTAACTTTGTGCAGGCTACAACCACAATTGCAATCACAGCCACAATGGTGAACACTTCGCTCAAACGACGGCGGACCGAGGACCAGCTGCGCGGAAAGGTGCCGAAGAAGGAGAAGAAGAAGGTCAAGAAGCAGAAGTACTACCACAGTTCGAGCGAGGACGAAGGCGGCGCGAGAGATGCGCCGCTCGACTACAAGTCTGCGCGCGCCGAGGAGAGCGACGATGAGCCGTTCGAGCCCACTGGTGCGAATGCGACGCTGCCAAAGTCCAAGGACTCGCCAAAACCAAAGAAGAAGGCCGTGAAGGAAGCCGCAAAGCCAGCACTAGAAGAAACGACCACACCTGTGGAGGCCGCACCTACCAAAGCCACGCCCAAGCACTCTCTCAAGCTTCCGGTCAAGTCGGCGTTGAAGAAGACGGCACCGGTCAAGGAGCTCGAAGACGGCGATGAGGTGGACGACTCGCCTGGCGACGACGAGGACGAATCCGAGATGGAGGTCGACGAATTTGACGTTGAGGACTCTGAATCGGACGCTTCCGATACATCGACAGTCGCCGCACGCAAAGTGCGAAAACGCAACGACCCCGAAGCCTTTGCAACATCCATCTCAAAGATCCTCAACACGAAACTCACAACCACGAAACGCACAGAGCCTATTCTGTCGCGGTCAAAGGATGCACAGACAGCAAACAAGGAGATTGCGGACAGCAAATTGACAGAGAAGGCACGGCGTCAGGTTGTCGTGGAGAAGAAACAGGCGCTCGAAAAGGGTCGCGTCAAGGATGTACTGGGCCTCAACGACACAGCCACGAGCACAGCAGAGACGACTGCCGCTGAGAAGGCTCTACGGAGGACTGCACAAAAGGGTGTCATCAAGCTGTTCAACGCAGTCCGAGCTGCCCAAGTCAAGGGTGAAATGGCCGAGAAGGAAGCCAAGGCGCACAATGTTGTCGGTCTGGACAAGAGGGAAGAAAAGGTCAAGGAGATGAGCAAGCAGGGTTTCCTCGACATGATTACTGGCGGAACAGCAAAGGAGGGTTCCGTCGAAGCTTAGACATACATGACAGGCGTTCCGGTGTCCAAAATGTGGTTAGAGATGCATTCATGATACCATACATATCTACAAGTACAATCATCAAAGCCGGCCTGGCCGAGTACCTACATCAAGATATCAAAACACATACAATGCCGCCCTCTCTTCCAGTTCATCCCCTACCCCTTCCCATCTATTTAAAATCACTCGCCTGCAGATTCCGCGTTATCCTCGGCAGCCTCACCACCAATCCATCCAACTCCTTGCGCATCACAACCTGACACCCCAGCCGACTCGTCTCCGTCAGCCCAAACGCCAGATCCAACATGTCGTTCTCGTCGTCGTCGGGCTCCTCCATCTTCTCGTACATGCCCTCGTCCTCGACGATGACGTGGCACGTCGAACACGCGCAGGACCCCCCGCATGCGCCCTCCATTTCGAGGTCGTGCGCTTGGGCGATGTCGAGCAGGTTGGCGCCGTCGGCGACGGTGAAGGTGTGGGATTGCGAGTCTTTGTCGATGAAGGTTATTTTGCGTCTGGTGGCGCGGTCGTTAGTAGGGAAGTGGGGGGGGGGGGGTGGAGGGGATTGGGTTGGTACGGACTCTTCTCCCGGTTTCGGCTCGTCGAGGTGGCCATGGTGGGGGGTAGGCGTGCTTGAGAACTGGCGGGTCTGGAGGAGTTGTAGTGTGGATTTGGGCGATTTTGAAGATATCAGGCTTCTTGGAGAGGGGGCATTGGCGCGTGGCGATGGGTATGCGAAGCCGTTCGCTCTACTCGAAAACTTTCGGAGACTCGATGATGCGCATGTTGATTTTGACGAACATGCCTCGCTGGATCTGAGGACGCTCACACAGGCCCGTCGCGACGCCATGATGTGTGAGAAGGTGAAAGGAAAACAGCCGCAAGGAAAGGAAGCGTGAATAGAAGAAAAACGAGCAGTTGTACGAATGCTGCACAGCGATAATTCCAACGCCTGTGAGACGTCAATCCCCCGCTCGGACCAGGCTGCGGCGCACTGACGATCTCGCAACCCTCGTCACCTCGGAAAACCGCCTTGTTCACCGCATCGTGACAAGATCTACAAAACATTTCCCACAATTTTTCCACATCACTCGCTCAACGAGAGTGAATCATGGCAACCTCGCGCGATGCCCCGAATCCGCTGCGACCGTATTACATCCCCCCCTCGATTGGCCTCCCCCCAGATGTCCCGCAGAGCCAGACTTCGGGCGCGACGTCGAGTCCCCGCATGCCCAAGCCCAGTTTAGGCTCGCAGGCACGCGATATCCTCAGCGACCTCGACTACGACTCGTACTTCCCCGACACATCGCCGACGGTCGCCGGCCACGCGAAGAAGCTGCTGGACCAGGCGTTGTGGAACTACACGAGCGTGTTGCTGGCCCAGCCATTCGAAGTCGCAAAGACGATACTGCAGATCCACGAAGCGAGCGGACAACTGCCCGCGCTGAACAGGCTGAAGACGGAGGAATGGGGGGCGAGGAGTAGGCCGGACAGCTTCCATAGCGGGAAGTATGAGGATGTGAGTCTGAGCATTTGGGGGTTTGGCATGTGAATATGGACTGATGGCAGGTAGTACCCCTCGGAAGAAGAGAGCGACGAAGACTCGCCAGGCTACTTCACTTCGACGGCCCCGAAACACGCACAGCCTGCCTACTCGCCGTCGGCTGCGCGGTCACAGTCGCCGACAAAACGCTCGCGACAACCGAGGAGTCGGTCACGCTCGGAAACACCCACACGCGCACCCCCGCCGGCACACCGCAAGCTCGACCTCAAGCGCGCGGATTCGTTATTGGAGGTGATTGCTCAGCTGTGGCAGAAGGAGTCGGCGTGGGGCCGTGTGGAAGGCCACGAATGTCTCCTTCATCTACAACTTCCTGCTCAAGACGACCGAGAGCTGGTTCCGCAGTGCAATATCCGCGATTCTGAACGTACCGGATCCCGGCCTCGTTTCCTCAGCAAGCGGCATTGGCGGGCTCGACATAATAGACAGCCCGAGTCCGCTGATGTCTCTCGGTGTTGCTGTCGCCGCGACTGCCATCGCCGCAATCATCCTCGCGCCCATCGACCTCATCCGGACGCGTCTGATCGTCACACCTATTTCCTCACAACCGCGCTCGATATACCCTTGTCTTTCTCTCCTTCCCTCGTGGTCTGTTTCGCCACGACTTCTGCCCGCTACCCTCCTCCACGCCTGTGTACCTACGCTAGTATCCTCCTCAACTCCGCTCATCCTCCGCTCCACACTTAGCATCGACCCCATTCTCACACCCACAACATATTCCTTCGGCACCTTCCTCTCCTCCACAGCCGAGCTCTTCCTGCGCCTCCCCCTCGAAACCGTCCTGCGGAGAGGCCAAGTCGCCGTCCTCCGAGACGACGAGACTGAGCGCGTAAATCTCGCCTACCACACCACATCCCGACAAAAGAGCCCGGCCTACGAGGCCGACGATGCAAGCTTCAAGACCATTGTCGAGCCTGGTCCGTATCGCGGCGTTCTCGGCTCAATGTGGTTCATCGCCCGCGAAGAAGGCATCTCCGTGTCCACTCCTGACGCAGCCAAAGCCGCGAGCGCAAAGGCCATGGGCTTCGAGCGCCCGAGTCGCATGCGCAAGGGCCAGGGTGTGCATGGTCTGTGGCGAGGATGGAGAGTGGGTGTCTGGGGGCTTGTGGGCATCTGGGGCGCTGCTGCCATGGGCGGTGGCGGTGGGGAGTTTTAAAAAAATTTACGAGACTATGAATTTGGGCCATGA